TGTGTTGTCCCACAGTCGTGCTCTTGCAGGTGTAAATCTGGGATGAATTTCACCATTTTGCTGCTGTGAAAGTAGTCGTGAAAAGTCTATTTTCGGCGGGAGTGACTGATTTGGTGTGATGTTATCGGCTGACTCAAGTAGCGTAAGTTGTTCAATTCCGATCCATCAGAAGAGTTAAGTCGTTCTTTTTGTTGGTTTGTTGCGTATATTTCGTTACTAAGTCTTTGGTGTGGTACTGGTAGCTGTTGACAGCTGTTGAAAGGAGTCTAAGTGTTTAAAGTAATGGGGCAGCTTTCCAGAGTCGTCAGAGTGATGATGACTTCCGCTAGGAGTAGCGAAACGTCAGCCACTCCTATGAATAGCAGTCCCGCTCAGAGCCCCTTTAACCCAGACAATCAGACTTCACGATCAAATGTTACTTTTGAGTTTCAACCGTTTGCTGTGTTGCTGTGGTACATTGCACTTGATTTGCAGTTCCCTTGAAAAGGAAGGTAGAAATTAATTAAATGTGTATTTTTTCTTCTCCATTTAGGTATTTCGTGGACTCTTATTGACGAATCATACTTGGACCGGTATGCAGGATTGAAAGCTCGTTCAACGGATTGGAAAGAATTTCTTACCAAGCTCGGTGTCAAACACTTTTTGGCCATTAAAAAGAAACAAGTAAAGATACATCGAGACACCATGGTACGCTCCTAAATCTTTATCTCAGTACCCACCTGGTTATAATTTTTTTTTACCGAATTGTTTTTATTTTATAACAGTAACATAGCACTTAAGTCTCTCAGTTTCAACCCAGGAGGTGCATCTTGGAAGTATGCCGTCAGAAAAATAAATAGAAAGTATGAAAGGTTTATGCATGGTTAGGACGTTCAACCAAATATCTCCTTTTTTGTTTTCTTCAGGCTAAGTCACCTTGGGCGTCCTACGAAAAAATTTGGCAGACAACTCCTGATGGCTTTTACATTATTAATGACTGGGCCTGCGAGCAGTTTGAAGAATTTCTTCAAAAGATTGACACCACTGATACAAAGCAACAAATCAGTCCCGAGGAGTCAAAGTTCTTGGCTCAGTGTATAGATGAACGTTGGGATGACGAGTACGCACAATATGCTGAAGAATCCGTTCGTGTTGAAGATACAAACGGCCATAATCTCAAGGAAACTCGATCTTCCTTCTACCTGAATCTTATCACCCAACCGTGGATGGCCTCTACCACTGGAGGGAAAGACTTCCATCTTCCAAGAGACCTCTTCGTGCAGAGTGAAATTGTTTATCAGCTTCTTGAGAACCGTGTAAAGTACGTCGCCGCAGATTTAAAGAGTTTGGCTTTCAAAGAAATTCTTCGAATTCGAGAAAATGTAGACGTGGATTGGCTGATGAATGAGATGAAGAAGTGGTCAGGTGGCGGCTGCCAACGGATGGATGGAAATCAACGAAAGGAATTTACGACTTCAGTTGCGCACATGAGCAGAGTGTACTCCTTTCTTCTTGAGAAAACGAATCACAGTGAGGTAGAAAGGAGGAAAATATGTGAGGCATTTTTAAAGAATGAGATGATATTTGTTCCACATCGCCCCCCAAGTCAGCCGCAGTCGACACGTCAATCAGCTGGATTTTTTTATCTGAATAAAGACGTTTGCTGGACAGATCCAACAGATGTCTCTTCGAAGCTTCTTAAAGAACAAGACAAGAAGACCACAAGGCCCTTATTGGAAATGTTCTATGGACGCCAAGGTGCTCAAGAAAGTCTCGCAACCTTTTTTGTCGATCTTATCCGTGTCGACGCGACACCTAATGGGGGTGAGTACATCGAAATGGCTTCAACTGTTGCTGAAGTTTCTCGTTTTCCCTCTCCGACTTCCTTGAGCGATATGTTGAAAATCTTTGCAACTTTGGGAAATAAATGTGTCGGACGCCACCATAATGACAGCCTGCGATTTGATCAACAGATCGACGAAGCTATGGCTAATTTTTTGAAACAACACTTACAAGACGACCAAAAATGCATTTTCCCCACAGCAGATAAATGGGTTGCACTTACTGACAAGCCACTTATAGTCGACGATAGAAGTCTCTTGAAAATTTTCCAGAAGGAAAAAAGTGTCCACTTTCTTGACTTCAGGGATTTTTTTCAACCTCAGAAGCGTGGATCACCCAAACATGGGCCTCCAAACGAACATGAATTAAGGAAGCACTATGTTTCCTTGTTCTTGAAGACCTGTGAGGTAACAACGTTGAGTAAATGCATTAAGAAAGAGTTTACCCCTGGCGGTTCAGTGAAATACCAGTGCGTTCCCGTGCAGAAGCATTTCCACCAACTCATTCCATGTGTGCAACGTTTCCTATACTCTAGGTATCAATCGGAATACCAGGAATTGAGCAATCAAGGATTTGCGCAGAAACTGTCGCAGATGAAATTTGCCACCGTACCAAGTTTGGCAACCGTTTATTCATTGTCCACACACCCTGACGTTCATGTTCACCTGGAAGAGAAATCTGGCATAGAAGAAGCAGGAGACATGTACTGTCTTTATGTCGCACAAGAGCATCAGGATAATTTAGAAGTCCTAAATGCCGAGATAATAAAGCTGTTGTTTGGAGGGAAAAAGCAGGGTGCTTCAGACCTCAACAACTTTTTGGTTGCTGTGAAAAATTACAGTGGGAATGATCTTGACAGCTACTTGGAGGATAAGCAGGACTTGGAGCCATTACCGCAAGACGAAGAACGGTGGATCGTTCTACCTCCTGAGGTACCCGAAATTGTAATGGATGAAGGTGAAGAGGCAGTGAATGAAGCAGTTCCTTTTCATAAGGAAACCACTACTCCGTCCAGGTCAGGCGACGATGGTCTTCATTCTTGGCCACCAAAATCGTCTGCTCAATATGACAAGGCTTTTAAACGTGAAGGGGATCCCGGTGGCGAACCCATCCTAAAGACTTGGCCCTTGCCGGAGCCTCCTGAAACTACAGATAAGCCCCTTAGAGAAGAGAATCAAGATTATTTGGTTCAGAGACCTACACAACGTGATATTAATACCACAAGAGCGCCAGAAGGTATGTCGGAAAAGCCCCTGAGGGGAGAGGATAGGAAACCGGTGCAGGATAATCCTGGTGCGGTCGTCCCTAGACAACAGCGCACTGAAAACGATGCAGAGCAACCACCTGAGGTAATCGTTGAAGATACTTTGGTGAACAACGAGCAGATAAGTTCTCGTGAAACAGCAAGCGATTTGTGTCCCAATGACAATGAAAACCGTCAGCAAAATGCAAAGCTTGTGGAACCCCCTCCACCCCAGGTGCCCATTTTCGTAACCATTCCTGGCGATGAAGCGAGGCTAACGTCTCCCAGCCGCTCCTATGTCCGGTTTGATGGAAGTCCTTCTGAAGTTGACTTCGAAGATCTTCAATTTAATGGTGATCAAAGGATCTTGGAGCGGATCCCGCTGGTGGATAACCCTAACAAAGAAGACATTGGTCGTTGGGGAGAACAGTGTGTGTTTGAGTTTCTCCAGGAGCAAGCACGAAGCTTCCCTCCTGGTGCGTGTGAAATTGTCTGGATGAACGAAAACGAGAACACAACCACGCCGTACGACATTGAAATTCGACAACATATCTCAGGTGTTAAAGAGAGTGACAAACGCACTGTGGTAACGTTCGTTGAAGTGAAGACCACTTCCTCAGATCAAAAGGACTCTTTTGAGCTGTCCGTTCCGGAACTTCAATTCGCTTTGAAGCACCAAGTCGCCTTTCACCTTTATCGCGTTTTTAATGCAGGCAAACCTGATATTGTTCGAATTCGCCGTTTGCAAAATCTTGCCACCCACTTAGAAAAGAAGACCGTAAAACTGTGTATGGTTATCTGAAGGTTGTGGGCGGAGTAACAATACTTCACTTTGAATGAAAACTTTTGGGTGGTCTAAAAGTTGTTAAGTTGTTAGAAAGTTAAGATGATGCAGTTTTAGCGGTATATTTCAAAATCCTTGTGCGAAAAAGGAACATTGTTGAATGGCCTGAGTAGATAATGAGAATTCAAACAATGCAGTGAACAATCAGCTACAGATTTGCAATCTTGACGTTTTTACGATCAGTATGTATTTTCGATTTTTTTAAAATTGGCTGTTTTATTTTCTTTTTAAGTCGGATCATAGTTTTATTTGGTATTATAAGTTTTTAATTATCGTTTAGCTTTGTCATTTTCCTATTACTGCATGGTTTAAAGGGAAACTATTGTAAACAATTGAATCAATGTTGACTCTGAATAACTTGCAAAAGACTTGAAATCAAAAAAAGAAAGCCTGTGAGTTGCACAGAATGATGGAAAAAACGATCAAACATAAAAGTGTACTGAGAAAACAACAAAAAAGACAGCGGAGGTACATCAGCTGACCTTAAACCAGTTCTACATATGGTGTTCAATTTCCCAAGCTGCTTATTTCTCGAAAAATTTGATTGTAAATTGAAGTCACTCCAATGTTTTATCACTGTAAGCTAAATTTTGATCGGACTGTACATACTATTTGCGTAAAATATTTTAATGAGCCTCAAGCAATTTATGCGATATGTTTCCAAATGTACCTATTCCTCCACAAGGAACAAGCCTTATAAAAAAGGAATCAACAACTGTAATTATTTAGACCAGCTGAAATGTATTAATTTATGGCATAGTTTCGTCGTCTTGATAATGAAGAATAAAATACAGTTTAATTGTTAACGGATCTCCTTATTTACACGTGAAGGACGAAAATTATTCCATCTAAATGATTAAGAGGGAGTGGAACAATTGCTCCTTTAATTTAATTATCCAAAGCCACATAAACAGAGGCTGGATTTGGGAGAAAACCCTTAAGTCGGCAGGATGTGCTTAAAGTTATCAAACAACTTTGAACTGCTGCGTTGTCATTATGAGCATTTTGAAATACCAATTTTCTTTTTATTTAAGTATCAAAGTCTTAAACCACTAATTCTTTCGAAATGATCGTTATTTAACTTTCCAACTGCATGAATACACCTCCGAATGAGACAAACTGGAATTGATGTGAAAAATCAAATTGAAAGAGAGATGCTAAATTCCAATCCACTACTGCAACAAGTTCTCAGATGCAGACACCTGAGTATATGGCGATTATTAAAAAAAGTTGATATCTTCTGCTAGTAACTGGAAAGTTTACTCGACTGACGCTTCAGTAAGCAAAATTCAAAAGGCATGCGGCATCCTCTTTATTCCTTTGTTTTTTCTTTAATTGCAGTTATTGAATTATTCTAGTCGGATGATTTAAATGATTATTCCAATACTAATTGCCGCTGACGATAATTAATCAACACAAATATCTTATCAGGTTATTCCACATGAAATCGTGACTATTGCCAAACTATAAACTTTTTATTTTTCCTCTCTAGGACCGAAAAGTGAAGTGTGTTCTTGCTATTTCCCTCAATTGTCGATACGTAAAATAATTAAACGTATCCTGTCAGTTTTATAAAAGATTGATTTACTTACACAATTCAACATGGTCGGTTGGTGTTCTTTCCGTCGTTTTGCTCAATATCTATTCCCAACTATTTGGATTTCTTTTGTCTTATCTCTTAAAGTCTTCATTATCTCTTAAAGTTTTTAAATAATCGTCCTCTTCCATATTTATCTTTATCCTAGACAGTCCTACAATACCTTCAGGTTGAAACGTAAAAGACTAAAGACCATTAAAAAAAACCCAAATCCATAGTTAAATTTTTTTTTTGTGCTATCATGGACTGATTATTATCATGTCTTGCCGCCCTTTGTTTGCGTCCAGAAGCACTTTTATGCACTTTATGCATTTTGATAGAGCTAGCCTATTGATTATTCAAAGTTTGTCACTCGAATCGGCCACAATCGTATCCACCTGAACCATGCTTGTCTATGTACGAGCGGATATGGTTACTACGCCCCTGTCGTACGTAATTATAATTTCAAGAATTCCTGTTACTTGAATATGGTTCCTTGCGTCTCAAAACTACTTTGAATAACCTAATTTAACGCAGCTCCTTTCAAATGGATAAAAGCTTAGACGATTATGTAGATTAGCGCAAAAGGAGCCATGTTCGGTTTGAATTTGACAGAACTTCTTTATTGTCTGAAAAAGCGTTAGGGTCATTGCGTTGAGGTTCTGACTAAAAAAATTTACATACCTGACCAGATTTCATCGAAACTTCGACCGTTTTACTCTTTCGAGATTAAAAGAGAAAATACATTCATAACATCGACATGTTTCGTGATCTGAACTGGACTATTGACCTAAAGAAATGATGAGAGACGGACTCTTAAACACTGTTATCACGCAATTAACATAGCACTTAACACCGGATTATGCGAATAGAACTCCTGCAAGGTTCGTCAACCTGTTCCTAGCTTCAACTTGAATTGATGCTCTAGGATTTAGAGTTATCGACAACCACAATCCGACGCGACCATACCCGGAACATCTCTCAGCACAATTGTATCGTCATGGTCGTAATAGAGAAGACTCATCGAGCGAAGCTCAGTGGCTACGCAAGTGGCGGCCGGTATTTTTTTGCCCAGCCGATGATGGATAATGTTTTGCAGAATTGCGTGATTTGTCGGATTTGAGTCCAGGCTGAGAGTACCAGGACATGAACCCTCACAGTAATGAAATCCAAATCGCGTAGGTGCAATAATCCATCCACTCCACTTTAAGTCGCGGAATCGAACTGCGAGTCTTCGTTTTCGACACATGTTATCCTCCGAACGCTTCGTTCGGGAAAGTTTGCCATAGCTGTTCTCTGTCGCGTTACCTGTCACGAATTGTCGCCTCTTCATTGGGGGAGCGCCGAGTACTCCTTGGTTTGGAATTTCGAGTGGCTCGTTGAAAACAACAAGGAAAGGCTTTCGTTTTCCTTTTGTGGTAATTTTGAATGCAGGATTAGTTGAAATGGCCAGAGTTACAGTTCCTCTGCGCCTTTTGACCTTTGAAAGTATAACTTGAGTCAGGTTGAACACAAGCCATCTGCTTTTGATCGTCTTGTGACAATCCCGAGTTGATATTGTCTCCTTATCGCCGTCTGCAATATTTTGTGACCCATCGCTGTAAACGATGCTAACTTTCACATTCACACCCTCTCCACAAAAAACTTGGACGTGCAGTTCAGCTTTTCGTAGAATTTTACCGGAGCCGAGGTCAACCGAAGACAAGTTGAACTGGAGAATTGAGCTGTCGGTGTCCTCATTAAGATCTGTTTGAAATCGATCGTGAAAGCAAACAAACAAATTAGAACCTGCTTAGCACATATTCATCACGAAAGAGACATGTTGGCACCTCGCATGGATTTATGTACAATCGAATTACTGCTGTAATGCCTTAATACATCCGGCATCGTTACCTTGCGGGAACAGAATCCGTGTGGTAGAGCCATCTGGAATTCTTCTGCCGACGCTAGATCGCTTCCATGTAAGCTTGCCCTTGTACAGATTTAAGATGTAGCGCGGAATGTCATGGCGATCGCTCGAGATATTAGGAGCATGATCCATGTCCAGCATTTGAAGGAAGCCAGAGGCGAATTCCTTCTCTGCTTGGAGCGTTAAGCTTTCAGATAAAGCCAACATCGCCAGAGATAACGCGGCAAGAACTGAAGACCACGCTTTGAACATGTTCACTGGAAAATTTGTGTGCTGGTCTGAAGCATGAAACGAAATGCTCGACTACTGGCACCAAGTTAAACAATCACGGCGCCCTTTAAAGGTGCTTAAAATATCAAATGAGATTGCAATTCACTTCTTATCATGTCAAAGTTATTAAATTAAATAAAAGTCAATCATGCGTGTGGCTTTAGAGCATCATTAATTCGCGATGACCAGAGAGAGCGAAGTCTCGAAAGTTCGAGTGAAGACCAAGAGCGTTGAAAATTGAACGCTGTTCCCTTTCAACTAAGCTGTAAAGATTCAAAGGCCACCGCTGATAATCTAAGATCTATATTTGTTAATATCTTGGGAAAATCGTCGCGAGGATCTCATTCCTTCGGCAACTGATAACCTCCAAGTCTTCCTGAATAGTGAGATAAACGAATCATCACGTATTTTGTGTTGTAATTCATCTTCTTATCCTGACTTTCCTAACAGGGAGTGCTTGGTTGGAAGCGAGTCATTATAATAAAGGGAAATAAATGCAAAACTTAATAATCATTTTAACTTAAAAAAACGCAATATTGAAACTAGAAGGGTTGGTTTTGTTTGGATCGTTCTCATTTACAAAAACAAATACAAATATTTGGATCTATAGATATTGTTTCGCGTTACAAGTGTAATCCTTACTTGGAGAATATAAAGAGATACTCTATTTACTATTGTAAATTGGAACTTTGTCAAAGGAAACACCGAACAATTGGGATGCTTTGATGGAATCCGTTAATATCTGTGACCTCCTAATAAATTGTGTTTATTTTTGTCATCTAACTGTTTTCGGCAACCACACCTTGCTAGCGGAAATCGCAGAAAATAAGCTCCGATTGGAACTGAAAACAATCTGGATAGGGCTACAGTTCGAATGCGAGTTTTGGATCTATCAGACAGATCTATCACATTGATTATTTTGTAATGATAAGATGTTAGAGGTTGTAGGCAGCCCGTATCACAAGAAAACGATAAGAAGAAATGCTAGCAAATTTGTAATGCATTTCAGTTGATTTCGTAAAGAGTGGAACGGTGGTCATCAGAACAAAGAAAAATATCAAATAAAGCCAAATAGAACTCAAAGAGAATGTATTTGATTCTCTGCACGCAAGGAAAACACGATGACCGAGTCGCGATTGGGTTTAATTCTGATACGAAGAGAACTGCTTTGCGTACGGCACGGAAAAAGGGCTTTTAAAAGGGTGGCACAGTTCCATTACGCAAATGTTACACATGCTCTTAACCATGGCAAATTAATTTCTTCATAGTGCTGTCGCGTTTCTGTTGTTATTTTTTACTGGTCTCCGAGTTATGTGTAAATCTAATCCGATTGATTGTATTTTCGGCAAGCAATAAATCAAGAAAAATGGCCGGCGCAAGGGCTGCCCTAGATTATCTCAGTTTTTGTAACTTGAGGCGGCTGGTAGTATCAATTCCCTCGCCTTCCGGACGGGATACTGGCCTATTCCTTCCTCCCCCTCTCCCGGAATTTCGTTGAACTTTCCCGACAGATCGCTAGTAACCAGTTGAAACTCTGGGTGTGCCTGTGCCAGGTGCTGAGAGGGGTAGGGAAGAGGGGGGGACGCGGGTAACGCGATTACCCTGGTTAAGGTCACACATTGTCGACAATTTTAAAGAGTAAACTGCGATTAAATAGGAAGCCTTGGGAATATACAACCTGCAAAAATGTACAGTTGATTAAAAATTTCCGCAAAGATCAAAGTTGACTCCACAATGTCTGGAGAAAATAAACATCAATTAACGGCTGTAACTAAGCCGATTGCAGACTACTCAACCATAATAGGTATGCAAAGTGCGAAAATTGGTGTGGCGTTTATTGAAATGAAATCAGCTGGAAAGCTTCAAGGAAGATCAATCTGTTCTTGATTAGTTAGCTCGTTCATTAGTTTTCTTCTTCAGCTGTAGATCATCTGCGGCTCAATTTATCATTTTTTTCATTTAATCGAGATCACATTGGTTGTAATATCAATTAGTATCAGGAAGAAGGGGTTGGATTAACTTTCTCATGGCATTTGTTCTGCAACTTCTGCAGGGATCTATATTTTTAGTTGTTCATTCGATGATTTGTTGTCAGTCAGTTCCTTGGTTCATCACAGCTTTCGATCGGTTTGTTTTCAGTTTGTTCCTTGGTTGGTTCTTTCCCTACTTCGTGTATTCGTTCCAGTTCGTTTGGTCGACAGTTTTTCCTTTGACTCGTTTCTTTCCCTCCTCATTTATTCTTTCCAGTTCGTTCATTCATCTCAGTTGTTCGCTTTATGGTTTCACATGGGGCTCTTTTCACGATTTTTCATTTGCAGCAACAAATATAGTCAAACGTTTGCTTGCAACGTCATGATCGAACTTGTAGGAATTCTGAGACAGTAATACCCGCCTTAGAAATACGCCATGAGCAGAATCTCCAGTCTTATGCAGATTGTATTCTTAGTTATTATTCTATCCTGCTAAAATTTCATGTTCGATTAGCCGGGGGAAGAGTATCAACCCTGACTAACTTCCTCTTTATCTTGGAGTGATATGGCCTGAAACCCAAGAAGAGAGCAGCAGAGATGATCAAGCAAGAATATAGTGAGCTATAATATTAAATTAATACTCCCTAAATCGCACCAATCAATGAAACATCTCTAGCTAATCGTGAGCTAAGGTGATCTCGGAGCTTTTAAATGTTTAGTAACGCCGGAAATTAACTTTGAATAAACTGTATTTTGCATCAGACCTGTAATACTTATGTAAAATTCAAGAGATTCGTTAAGCCCAGGATTATTTCCACAGAAAGAAAGGCACAGCAATAGCCGGTCGTAACTTTGAGAGATTGTGGGTCTCACGAATATTTGTGCGGTCTCGAAATCTCGTCAGCCTTTGCAGTAAGTCTCGTATTTCTTTCAGAGTTTTCAATGTTTGGGATGTTTATTTTCTTATAGCCGAACGCCTTTAGAAAAAGGTAGCTGAAGAGGCGTAGCGTTATTGTTTCAGATGTCTGTCCTTTTCTTTTTATTTTGTTAATTCACAACCATGAGAATCACAATGAGGCCAACGAAGGGCACTTACTTTTATGATAGTTTGTTGGTATTTTCCGCCCGACAGACCGATTGACAGTCAAAATATGACTCCTGATTCAATGCTTTGGTTTCAGGAACTAATTGTAATAAGTCAAGATTCCTTTGACGTGCAATTTTCCAAGGTTTTAACGAGAAAGAAATTTGTCTCGCTCGCCTTGAGATAAGTGGTAATGATTTTTCGTCGTAAAATGGACTTCAAAGAAATTACTTTCTCTAAACTCTTAGGCAACGTAAAATTGTAAAGCACTAAACGTTATCATTCTCTTGTATTCATTTAATTACTTAAAGCCTTCCGATTTTTTAGGTTTAAGGTACTGTTAAAGAGTGAAAGTCCCTTATGCAAACAAGGATGATATGTAAAGTAACGCAAGTCACTTAAGCAAACAAGGATGGTATGGAAAAAAACGCAAATTATCAAAATTATGATGCTCAAATCAGCTTGTGATCTTATGTACTATCAAATTAAATGAGTGCCCTCTCCTCTGCGTAGTAATGAATTTTATCAATCCAATCATCTGTTTACCTCGCATCCAAATCCTTAAGGTTTGAAGGTTGGAATTCTGTTTATTCACACAACTCACTGCACCTACTGTTGCCCTGAAATTAAGCTTAGACCATACCGTATGATATATTTCGCGACGGGGGCATTAAATCTACTGTATTAGAATGTTTGTTACCTCGTGAAATGAAATGCCTGTCACTCGTAAGTTTTTATTTGAATGTTTGGCGTTATTTTTAATAAAATACATCGTTATCCCTAATACAGCCCTTGTTTCACGGAATACAACCCATATTTTGGTTATGCAAAGGTAACAAATTCTTCAGCTGGAGGTCTATTGTCTCGTTTTGACCCCTCTTGTCGTTGAAAACGCGTGATTCTATTAAAGTTGAATCGTTTTTACCCAAAGAAACAAAATACATTTGTCTAAAGGCTATTCTATCGTTCAGGAATTATAAACACGACAAGAAAGCAGAGAGCCGTTGATAATCTTCTTTCTTATTTAAATCCAACAGTGCTGCACTTAAGCTTAACTAAAATGAAAAATTTTTCTTTTGGTTGAGTTTGTGTCAAGAGGCAGATACTCCTGTACCTTCTCAAAGTTTATAGAATATTTTACAATTTTCTCTCTTTGAAACAAAGATAAACCAAAGAAACATTGGCCTAATCAGTTTATCAAGGCTCGTAATTTGCAATCTTTTAATCTTTTCTATTCATACCTTCCCCTTTCCTTGTCAGCTTTCAGCTTACAGACGTCATAAATGTCAGTTTCTTTGTACTCCAGATCTGGCAGAGTATTCTTTTTTCAGTTTACAAACTTGTTTTTTTTGACGCGACGTTAACCATCGTGAAGCAGCTACTTGAAATTGACTGTTGGCGGGTTTCCACGAAACAACTATAACGGTTATTTTTTTTTTTTGGCCTGGACTATTTCTCTCATTCGAGGATGATAGATTCAGAAAGCTTATTATCATTTACCCATCCCCTCCCAGCTTACGTTGAAATATCCTAAATAAAGTTAAACCGTTTGCGTCATTGATTTTTTCGTCGTGTTAGTTCTTGGACAATTGTCCATTGAATGCGGACTAAGCAAACTAAATACCAGCGTTGAATTTTGCCTAAATGCTTAGAAGCTTTGATAAAATAAAGTATTATAGCCGAGAACTTCCATACATAATACTACAACAATTACCAAACACACAGCGCGGGGATCTGATTATCAAAGCACATTGTAAAAATAGCTCGACTGAGCAAGCTTGGACTTGCACAACCCACAAGGAACTTTTTGGTTGAATATGTCAGCTGCTACGTGACTGATCTCGCCGAGAGTAACCTCATACTGAGCGAGCAAAACAACCGTTTCAGGTCCTTCGTTGAAGGCCGCTTTTCATTTATGGTCTTGTTCTAGTTACTTCAACCCTTCTCCAGAAGAGTGTTCATCCATTTTGCGAGCAGACCCAATATAATGAAGATCCTACTTACCGCGTGTGTCATATGGATTGTGTCGAACGCTCGCGACGTTGAAGGTTAGCCAAATTTCATTTCTGGTCGAATCGCATTCCACTGTTTACTTTTATCAAAATATTATTTCATGATTGGTTCTACCCCACTGAATAAGAAATCCTCACGGCCCTAAACATTTTTCAAACAGACTACCTGTTATATTTTGATAAAAGTCACTGAGGGACTCATCGTATTGATGTGGCTGCTGTTATAAGCAATAGCCACACGTAAGCTGTCGTAAGACGTTTCTGCGTTGGTGGTATACATCATAGCTTGTTTTGATATTTGTATTTTCCCCATGCAACGCTCTTTGTCAGCGTAATTTTAATTTTTTTTTCAATAATAGTCCTAAGATCTATTTAATCAAAAATCTAAATGAAATAAAAAAAACTTAGACTGCGCTCTCTATTTATCTTTTTTCGTGTTTTCCGCAAAGGAAACAGGAGACGCTAACTTATAAAGGACGTCTGTGCAAAGATAGCAACGAAAGCCATTAATATACTAATATTTCAAATCATCAAACAGGAAGTTTAAAAGATAGGAAAGTCAAGCAGACGTGAGAGATTGAGCCTAAACAATGTATCTGCACTAATCAAATTTTTAGTCCAGTTTCTTCCCCATGCGGTAATTTCTAGCTATATTTATATGTGAGACATTGGCCTAAGTCTCATCGATAATCTATCTGTGAGATAGCTTTCGGTATTAAAGGTCAAGTGTTGAAACTGACTGATACTTGAAGTATTTGTTTTGTTTAGCAACACGCAAGGAAGTTTATATTACTTATTACCCCCTGAGCGTTGTCGGAAGATTTTCGTTAATTTGGTTCCATATGTTTCATGTTCGGACAGAACTCCTGTGAGACTGAAATGAAAGGATGAATCATGGAATTTTTTATTTCTTTTGCGTGGTCGGCGGACAACTCCCTGGACAATTAACATAAAAGAAAGGAAAAATTAAACTCCGCGGTTTTTCACCTTACAAATTTGAATTTTTCGTTGAACTTGTCAAGTGCCGTAGTCAGATCCCTGAGATCCTTGTCAGTGTATGCTGCCACTTCTGTACAAATTAGGACGCATTTGTTCGCTGATATGATTCGCCTCGAACATCCCAACTATAATGCGAACAAAGGCGTTTATCCCGCGCGAGGTGCTTAACGCTAAAATTCGACTCTGTTCTCTGAAAGGTGCGTGCAATGCAAGCCTGGGAATGCAGAACAAGAAAATTCAGGACAGCAGCATCACAGCATCGTCGCAATTAAGTATAAACCACGTCCCTTCCCTTGCTCGACTGGACGGTGTGCAAGGGGCCTGGTGCTCGGCTCCGACCGACAATCTGCCCTACATAGAAATACTGCTGAGCGAGGAAAAGTTTCTTACTTTGATTAAGACGCAGGGAAGCAAAAAGGACTTAAGATGGGCAACGAAGTACGAAATTCGATACCAGAAGGATGGAAAATGGATCGTTTACAGGAGAACGGACGGAACTCAGGTTAGTAATAAACAAACAAATCCTGTGTCGGATCCATATCGCTTGCACCGACATCCGAATATCGGCATTCTGCAAGCAAAATGAACATTGCACGCACAATGTATTATGCATGCCCAAAGAAGATGCACGTAACACGGTTGGTGTGCCGAACGCAATTATTCATAAGTTTCTACTATGTACTGAAAGACCCCCACCCTGCCCCACTCCTCCTCCCTTAATTACTTAAATCTGAGTTACTACGCTCGAGGAACCAAAGAAGAATGAAAAAAAAAGTTATTCCTTTGATGGGACAGTTATCGTTTATTACCTGTGGAAGGGCGGGGGCGGGTAGAATTGGGGAGACTCATATGGTTTTCAGGGAGCGAAGGGAGGATGAGTCGACTCCAAAAAAGTAAAGAAGAGAGGGCTGTGGTAAATTGACTGCCAATTTACCCCTAGTGAGAAGGGATATAAGAATATTTCAGAACCTTATGGGGGAATGCAGAACTTTATGGGGGAATCAGGTAGATTTTCGCGTAACACAAGCAAAGTCCTCCTACTAGTCCCCTCCCCCTTCCCAAAAAAAAAATAGTAACAATAGATAAAATAAAAATAAAATAAAACAAGGCAGGAATCAGCCCTTAATTACATTAAGAAAAAAAATACCAAAAGGAGAGGGGCTGGACCGAGAGATTAATATCAGCGATAAAATAACGACATCAAGCGAGTGTGATTTACCTTTGAACTGGGTCTCGCATCTTTTTGGTAACCATGACGTTTTGATAAAGTTTATGAATAAAAAAATATTATCGTTTCTTACTTTTATCTTTCGACGTACAGACATTTGATGGAAATGTTGGCATAGCCTCCGTAAACGGTATTGCACTCCAACCTCAAATTAGAACACGTTCGGTTCGTATCTACCCAAAGTTTCCACTTTCTTTGGATGGTAATGCATCTCTGGCAAATGTTTCCTGTCTCCGCCTGGAATTATATGGCTGCTCTGCCCCTGGTTAGTTATATACTAAATTTCAATTTGTCTTTCCAATTAAGTCTGTGAGTGATTTAAATTTTCCATCACATATTAGGAGTGTGTTTCGTTGGTATAACTCAGATCTGTATGAGTGATCCAAGATTACTCAGATAATTGCAATTGAAAGAAGTTGATGAATCCTGTTTTTCGAGTAACTTCACTGGCTTACTTGGTTAGCTCATGATGGTTATGATACTTTAGCGGAACACAAACAGAAACAAAGTTCCCATTAGAATTATGTGCCTGTTAACACATATTTGAAGTTCAGTGACTCCTTTGCGCGCCTTAAATAGGGGCTAATACCAAATGGCGTTCTGAGTACGAGAAAGCAAGATTTCCTGGACTCTCTCTATATGGCGCTCTTTTTTCAACCCTCTCTGTCGGGCGCGGGAGGAGGAGTTTTAAGGCGTTGGATAGGAGGAATTTAATGAGTGCGGATGTGGCGATATTTAATTTTAATTGATTTTGCTTTTTTCTGTGCTTTTGTTTATTTGTTTGTTTGTTTGTCTCTTTTTTGGTGGAGTGTGATAAAAGCTACGATTGATTTGAATGAAACCTTTAAAGGTTAGACAAACAAGAAAGAAAGAATAACCTTAATAAACATAAGGATGGTTTAAGGATAAGTATAGGTAATCACATGAGGCCAAGTACTATTAAGGATTAATTGCACGAGAGTTTTCAAAATTTTCCAAAATTGCCCGAGTCGCGAAGCGACGAGGGCAATTTGGAAAATTTTGAAAACTCAAGTGCAATTAATCCTTAATAGTACGAGGTCTCATGGGATTACTTGTTTATCAATAAAGGGCAAAATTTATACGAAGGAAAATCACGCGCGCACGGATTAGCCAATCATTAACAGGTAATCATGCCCTCTCTTGATTACTAAAAATGCCCTCGATTAAGAAAAAAATGCCCTCTCTCTCAACCAATCAGCGCTCAGTAATTTTACCCTTTATTGATAAAGAGGATTAACGAATACTGGAAATAGAATCTAAAATAAATTTTTCACGATGCACAAGTTTTGACTGGGTTGTAACTTCTTTCAAGGCGAATCCTTTCAACTGTCAGACTATTCTCGTGTCAACAACGTCATAATCTCTGAACACCTAATTTCTTTTCTTTTTTTTTAGTTGATGGCTCATGGGGAACGTGGACTCCTTGGTGGCCATGCAGTGTGACCTGTGGACGTGGAAAGCGGTCACGTGAACGATTTTGCGACTCGCCAATGCCTACCAATGGTGGTGCACCGTGCAACGAGAGTGAAAGAACTGAAGACGAATATTGTAGATTACAAAAGTGCATTAAACCAGGTGAGCCAATATTGACTAAAAGTAACATTTTATTTCCAGTGTTTAATGACTTCTTTACTACTTAAGGGCAAAGGACTGAGGTGTAGATTGTGATTAGCCTGCGCTCTGCCGAGAATTAGTTTTTGACAAACCTAAAGACTAGGAAGGCGACTTACCGGAATTTTATACTGTTTGGTGGTTATCTTCAACTTCAACGATACTAAGAAATAAGTAGTGTGCATGACTAGCCCTTTTCGTTCTTAAGGTAATGCATATAAATGTATACAAAGGTCCCTCATGGCGTGAGAAGCCGTCTAACGATATTGATCAATACCATATAAGAAGATTTATCAAATGATTGGTAAATTTAGTCAGGCTGGCCTCCTCGTGTCTTTTTTCTTTTCTATCTTCGTTCCACGTTCGATCGATGAAGTTAAGTCCTGCTGGAAAACTTCCAACCCCCAGAAGTCTCCGTATTGTAAAGATGTCTCTTCACAAATGTAATCAAACCTTACTTTTTTGAGAATCAAGGTTTCGAGGTTCAACCCTCAAAAGTCTCCGTACTGTGAAGATGTCTCTTCACAAATGTAATAAAACCTTACTTTGTTGAAGAATCAAGGTTTCGTTGCGCTTCACAAATGGTGTGAAATTATGATATCTTTTCTAATTCAGTATGTTGTCTTATTTCAAAGCTGTCGACGGAGGCTGGGGCAATTGGGGTCCTTGGTCAGAATGTAGCTTGACGTGTGGAATTGGATTGCGGGCACGTGAAAGGAAATGTGATTCACCTGAACCAAGGAATGGGGGAGTGCCGTGTGACAAGGCAGAGCGAATGCAACAGAGATCCTGTAGGGAAGCCACTTGCGGAGGTCTGCCAAGCGTCACACGTTTGATAATCGATTCAAGAATTTAATCAGAGCGTATTTTTCTGTTGGTTACTTAGGCTCTGGACTGACTCGCTGAGAAACTGAATTACAGATCTGTCTGACTAAAAAGGTTGACGGGTTGATTAAGAACCGATTATCTGCTCAAGTGGCTAACTGACTGACTGTCTAAACCACTGCAAGAGTTGGACTAATTATCAACAGACTGACTGACAACCCGCTGAAAAGTTTGTCCGGAATTTTGATTTCCTGTTACCCTTTCATGTCTTAGATTTGTGTTTTCCTGTCCGATGTCTTTAAATCTGGGAGTATTATTGTTAATTTTTTTTTTTTTGGTACTCCTTGCAGGCAATGACGTGGGATTTTCTGGCTCAGGTTATGGCTGGGAAACTTCTTCAGATACTTCGGGATTTTTTGAAGAAGAAAATGGTTGGAAAGTATGTTGCAGAACTAAATCTGGTGAAGAGAAACACCACCAGGGACTCAGCGATGACGAGGACTTCACGGTTAAGTCAAGTCTTGATGATTAAGTCTTCGCCACGAACTTGGAAGGGTGTCAACAGCTTAACTGTCCAGAACAGACAATAACATCGAGCTTTTAGACCTTCAGATTGCGCTTAAAGCACTAAAACCTTTTTTTTTTATCGTTTTAGAGGATTAACCGTCTAGCAGTTCACAGTATCTAGAAGCTGTTTCTTCACTAAAAACCAAGACACCTGATGTTAATGTTTGACAATTGCGAATACGTCCAAATAAGAAAAGTCATATGCAAAGGTTGCTACATCCTAATTAAATGCGTAACTTCGTTCAGTATTCTTTTGTAAAAGATAAACTATAGTTCATAACTGATCTAGCAAAATTCATGATTACTTAGCTACCGTTGTGGATATATTCATTACTAAATTCAATACCGAGGTCGATACTGTCTTTTTTCTGTACAATAATCATGTGCGGAAACTAATGAAGCCACTTATTAATAATAAAGCAGCAATTTATTTCAATTTAGATGAAATAATTGCGTTAGTTCGGAAGCGAATCATCGACTTAAGAATCGTTCAAATCCTCTCCATCATAATACGCAGATCAGCGATAAGCTATTGACTGCAGTTCAGCGAAATATGGTTCTCAAATTGAAACTGCATACTGATTTTATCGACTGGATGAGCAAATGAGAAAGATAAGATAAGCTATAGTTGATAACTGATCTGGCAAAATTAATGATTACCTAGCAACCTTTGTGGATGTATTCATTTCTATATTCAATACCGACGTCGATACGGTCTTTTTTCAGTACCATAATCATGGGCGGAAACAAATGAAGCCAATTATTAATAATAAAGCAGCAATTTATTTCAATTAAGAATAAATTATGCACGGCCAAAAGTCCTAAGGACTCCCAACTGCAAACAAAGTTTAGAATAAATATAACTTATATATATAAATATAAATATAAATTATATAGAATAATATAACATTCGTAATTCAGATGAGCGTGTTCGTGGTTCGAGTAGTGAGCCATTTATTCGCCGAGTGTGTTAATGTTAATTATTTTTATTTGAGCTTTACTATTATTGCAGCATTTTCTCTTCTTTTCCTCAAGAGTTCTAGTCAGTTAATTTAGTCTAAAATGATTGATAATTTGCACCTTTTGTCGTTATCAATCCATCTTCAGCCCGGGAGAAACTGTGAGCATGAATTCACTTGTGCATCGCTCCTTAAGCCTGAGACGATTTCACGATGTCAATTTCGCAAAAAACCTTGAGCATGGTGAAAAGTTTATCGGTGGATTTTACTTCAAATTTCATGGTGATTCAAACAAAGACTTACGCTTCCTGTGTATCAACATTACTTAAATTTATTTCTGATAAATCAGCGGCGAAAAAGCGATGATCTCTCTCCATAATCGTTTTTGTTTTACCTTGAAACAATCCTTCGCCATACAGTTGCAATGTTCGCCCCGTGGCGATCCCAGAAATCTTTGCAAAATAAAAGGATCCTGTTACTGGCAACTCATTCATTTGGTCTGTAATCATACGAGTGATTAACAAAATCGGACGACCACGAAGCGGCGATCACAGATGTCCGATTACAGCCAACTGTCCGATTACACTGTCCGATTACAACTGTACAAAATGATTTGTGAAAAATGAAGCTACGGATGCAACAATAATATTTGAGGAATTTGTAATGATTATCATGAGGAACAACGCCATCAAACCTTCCGTTGGAAAAATGCACTTCTACAAAAAGATATAGGCTCCTGATCATATAACTATTTTGTTCCTTATATCGTATCAACAAATCAAAAGGACGGCGAATACCCCAATTTCTAATTTCACATCTTTTTTTGTAGACCTCAGACGTGAAAACTTACCAAAGGTAAAACAAGGGCGTTCTAGCTTCAGCAATGGCAGCTACTTTCGCAAAGTGGTGACATATAAGAGTAAGAAACCGTGTATACTCCGCGGCTCAGAAACACGAACTAGAATAGATTTCGTTTACAAAATACGGCTCAGGGCCAGTATTGTTGGCTTGTTAGCTCAGTTGGTTGAGCGCTACACCGGTATCGCAGAAGTCATGGGTTCAAATCCCGTACGGGCCTGAATTTTTTTAGGTCCTATTTTCAACTACCAGTTCAGTAGTGTTCTTAGCTGCGAAGATCTCTTAAATTCGTTTCTTCAGCGCAGTGCAAATATATGAATTTCATATATCGAAAATCATTATTCATCACTTGGATGGTTTATTTGGACCCAACATATTCTCCAGCTCCCAGTTGGCTTGTTAGCTCAGTTGGTACAGCGCTGCACCGGTATCGCAGAGGTCATGGGTTCAAATCCCGTACGGGCCTGAATTTTTTCAGGTCCTATTTTCAACTACTAGTTCAGTAGTGTTCTTAGCTGCGAGGATCGTAGAATTCAGCTTCTCGACCCTTAAGCGATTTCGGTATTTTCCCCTCCACGCGCGTTACCTTTGCCTGTGTCAACTAAGTCATCACGGTCACGCGTGACCGTGATGACTCTCCTTGCGTGCCGCCAAATCTTGCGCCAGAGGGATGGCTAACGTTTTATAGAAGTTTACGGTGAGGTTCTGTCGAAACTCGCTGACTCCCATATCACGACTAGCACTCTTTAGCTGCTTGTGTACATAATTATTCCCCCTCCTCTCTCATTTTTTTCCCGACAACTGCCGCAGCTTATCAGACATATCTAGCTGTGAAAGAACATAGCCATTTCTTAGTAATAATATCATTTCCGGTTGAGTTGACCGTAACTTGAGGAACTCATTTTGTCGAAGCGTTTTAGTGATGCGTTGGAACGGAGGCTATAAACGTGTAGAATTCGAATCGATATATATAACAATGTGGAAAACACTTCTCTTGGGGGCGATTTTCCTTTGCTGTTATCCAGTCATTGAGGGCAAACCAAGGCAGAGTGGTAAATATGCGTTCATTAGATACTCTAAGATCCTCACAGTTTCTTCTTAATCGACTTCCTCGTTTTCATAGGCTGCCCCAGAACAAATAAGGTACGATTCTGTGGCAAGACCTGCTCGACTGACGGAGATTGCCGAGGAAATAGAACATGTTTATGTGATGGAGACTGTGGAATGATTTGCGTTAAAAACAGTGAGTGGATATGATATGATCATGCGAAGATTTCTAGAAATCAAACGAAAAATTTAAAGCAAGGATATATGAACATGTCTTGTTTCTTGGCTGGACTTTAACGAGATTACATGGAATATATTCACGTAGGCGCTTTTTGAGAGAAGTACACACATGTAGAAATTAGAGTACTCTGTCTAGAGAACATATCTTTACGATTATACGACATATACAGAATTATCTATTATAATTACGGAACTGTAATGTATTCAGAGATAACAGCAAGATTTCTCTCAAACATCACAAAAAAACAAACAGGAAACACGACGAAGATTACGTTTAATACGTTTTAATATAATCGTTTAATTCATTTTCCATTATGCTAAGAGAGTAGTTCTATGTGTTCTAATCAAACGTGTCTATCAACAAGGACTCTTGATAAGACATTATTTTCCCCGTTTGCGTCACGCAATTTGATAACCAAGATTTTTCGTGATGAGCCAGCCACCGGCGTGACTCGACGAAAGTGACGTAGAAATTCCTATTACGTTTTAGGCGAGGCATGATATCTTAATCAACAGATAACTACCCCACTTTTTTTTTTGCCACCTGGATACAGTTACCTATACTTAGTTCTTGAGATAATTCTGTGGATATGTTAAAGGAAGAATCACTGTATATGCTCTCAACGCTTTATTCGAGGTGAGATTACTAAGCTCGATAGTTTACACTTGCAAGCCTTACTGAATCAGGCCTACCCGCTCGTGTGAGAGCATTGTTACCCCAGGGTTTATAGCTGGGGTTTTACGGATAGTGGCTGGTAAGAACTACGCCATCAAACCTTCCAATGGAAAATGCACGTCGAGAAAAAGATGTAGGCTCCTGATCATATAATAATTTTGTTCTTTGTATCGTATCAACGAAGAAAGAGGACGACGAATGCCCAAATTTCGAATTTCCCTTTTTTTCTTGTAGACCTCAGATGTGAAAACTTACCTAAGGTAAAAAATGGTCGTTCTAGCTTCAGCAACGGCAGCTACTTTCGCAGCGTGGTGACATATGAGTGTAAGAAAGGGTATAGACTCCGCGGCTCGGTAGAACGAACTTGTAGAGCCACAGGAAAATGGGATGGAGCGAAAGCGAGATGCAGTAAGTATTATGCATCAAATTCAATACGTGTTCCAACAATTTATCAATCCGACCGTCCTTCCGATTATGTAGCCATACACATTTAAATAGTTTACAATTCTTTCTCAGGATAGCCTTTTTTTTTTATTTTTTATATATTTTTTATTTTTTCCCACGGCCCTGTCACAACTTTACAATTTATCCGTCCGTGCGTCCATTTACTCACATTTTATGCGTTCGCTTATCTTTGGCCTGTTCGTTGTTTAGTTCAGTCATTCTTTGTCATTTCTTAAGGTAAAAGTCGATTAGCTAATCTTTTCGCCAAATGCTCGTTCATTTACTGAAAGTCATTTGGTACAGTAAACAATTCAGTTCTTTAATCACCGACATAAATATTGGATCATTTCTTCGCTCTTGACAGGAACCTTGTGTCAGAATCCAGGACACATCTCTTTTGGAAACAGACGAATTGAACATATTAAGGGTGTGAAGTATATTCATTTCTGGTGTTTTGATGAAGACATGTTTAAAATGGTAGGAACTCCTCGAATACGGTGCCAGGAAAACGGACAATGGAGTGCTCCAAAGCCAAAATGCATTCATTCACGTGAGTAATTCATTCGGGATTCATTCCTCATACTTAACTATGCTTGGTCGTCAAATGAACCGCTGAAATAAATAAATCGCGGTCGTTGGTGAGTTTAAAGATCAAATTAACTTTGATTTACTTAATTTTTTTTATAATTCGCAAGTCGCAATCACGATTCATGCAAATATTTCGGTTTAGCGAAAAGACGGCTGAACAATCTGAAGGTATGCAGACGGAAAGAAGTAAAATTTTTGCCTTTTGCTGTAAACGACATGCTTAACCTCTCTGCTGGCGGCCTCTAGTTGTCCTAGTTGATGGAAAAATGTAGCCTTTATGAACATGATATCAAAAGAAATCGGTGCAAGGGAAAATATGAACCAGGAGTTCCAGGGCAGCTAAATTTTCTCGATCTGTCCATTTCTTGACTATATCTTGTAATTACGACTTGGATAGAAACTCAAATTTTTACTCAGTTCTCTAATTTTTTTCTTTCACCAGCTCCGTTTTGGTTTTTCCTTTCCCTGTTCTATAATTTGTTTCCATGGTTTTTGTTTGAATGTCACTTTGCAAATACTTTTGGTTGCGACTTTTAAGACAATAGCCCCATATCCTGAAAACAAATAAGTTTGAATCTCTTTGAAAGATAGCATCATGTGTTCTTAAATTATAATTCTGTGTAGCTCCCTTATGTGACAAGCCGAACATCCCAGACGAAGCTGCTGTTATCTACCCTCGGTCAATGGATAGGGAATTCAAATACGGTGACAGAGTGCTATTGAAATGCAAGGAAGGATATTTTAAGTCAGGACTTGGTGTTTACCAATGTAAGAAAGGCAACAGGTGGAGTGGAGGCATCACCTGCTCACGTGAGTTTAGTCTGTTTAGAGTTACAGTGCATACTCAATCTGTGCTGACTCGCCAAACTCAGTCACTAAGATATCTAAAAACAAACGCCAGATCTTTGGGTCATAACTGAGCGATACACGAGTTACGCGTTTTCACTTGGCACTGATGCACATGCATGGTTTTAAGTGCATTCCAGCTTAGAAAAACAAATAACAAGGAAAAGAAAAGGAAAGATCGACTCTCTTTTCTTTACGCTATAGGTTACAAGAAAGACGGAAAATTGTTGGTTTAGATGTCCATCTTTTCGTTGAACAGGGCTGTACTCTTTGGAAATTTAACCTTCCTAAAGCGTTGAAAAATTCCTATAGTAAGATCACGCTGGATTTTTTTTTCACATTTTTGCTCCCTGGTATTCTTCATTTGATTTCCCCAGCGTTGTGTCTGTGGCAAAACCACCCAGCAATTTAACTCAAAATGGATCTTGCTCAAAATAATATTGCACATCGTGAAAAAGAAACACACGGTTGTATGATTGAAATCGAAAATCATTTACAGAAATCAGTACTTGCCTAAGATTTTTATTAATTTCATCAGCTAAAAACTGTGGCCGCCCAAACGATATCCCTAACGGAAAGATCATAGGATACGTATATTCCTTTAAAGAAAAGATCAGATACGAGTGCAATGAAGGCTACAATCTTAAAGGACCATCTTATAGAACATGCCAGGCTAACGAGAAATGGGGCGATAAAGACCCTATTTGTGAAGGTAAGATATTCGATAATATAAATATTGAGATCATTTCGTACGTGTTTGTTATTAGTCATGTAAGTATTACAGTTTTGTGTGGAAGATATATTTTTTTTCAAATTTACTATTGCTTTCCCACAAATTAAACACAGGCGAGAGCGATGCATGTGAACATGGATTTGAAAGTCACGTTTTGGAATAGCGGATCAACCACTAGTCCTTAGAGAAAAATCTCACTGTGAACGTAGATTCTACTTTGAAATAAATCTGATTTTCGTTTCATTTATTTAATTAAGGCAACAAGGAACGCGTAAATTTTTATGTTACATTTTCTCGGAAATCTCCTAAGAATTATTTTGTAGCTGCCTTATACATTTATTAGTCTAGTGTTAGCAGTTAAACAGCAATTTTAGGTGAGTGAAGATTAGAATAGTTTATGGCAATTGACGAAAGAGTCATAGACTGTTTTAAACGCACGAGAAACGAAATACGCATTCAAAAAGAAAAAAAAATTAGTAGGTAAAGAAAAAGTCTGCACTAAAGCCAAGAGGCCTGTTGGAGCTTATCCCGCTTTCTATAGTATGAAGCGACTGGGAACATTACTACTCCCGCTTGGATGCAATATACCAGTTGATCACAAGGTTACCCCCAAAATTCGCCGATGCTCATTTATAATCCTGGGTATGAGGAACATTGTTAAAAGAAAAGTGTTTTGTCCAAAAACATGCACAGCGGAGTCAAGGCCATCGCGTCTCCCACATTTAGAAAATAACATCTAATATTATGTCATTCTTGTTTGTTGTTGTTTTCTTTCGGAAGTTGTGGATTGTGGCCCCTTACAAAAGCCAGATCATGGAGATATAATAGAGCAAGTAGCGTTTACCTATGGAAATAGAATAGTGTTCGACTGCACAGAGACGGGTTATGAGATGAAAGGATCAAGAGTAAGGACATGCTTAAGTGATGGAACATGGAGTGGCTCTCTTACAACATGCGAAGGTACGTAAGAGAAAATTGATCAGTTAAAGAAGTCACGTATAGAATATTTCAATAATAGCATTTGCTATGCTACAGAATTTTAACCTTACTAAATGTAAATAGAAACAAACTCAAGAAACAGTGATAAATAAATTTAAACAGAAAAAATGAAAAAGACTGTTTTCATTGTTCGAAAGGCTTGATGACTGAAATTCTTATGTGGCAGCCCAAATCATTTCAATGTCGTACCAGATAAAGTTTCACGGTTAAGATGGCATATGTGCAAAAAGATTTAGAACTCTCTGGAGCAATTGCAAAGGAAAACAGCAATCTGATTTGGAGACGGAAAAATTCAAGATTCAAGTCAAGCGTTGGAATGGGGTGCGTTAGCACACTGATTGTAAACCTTTGTGAAGGAAAAGAAGAATGCACTCATAGACTTTTTCGATTAATGACAATTTTAACAGAGTAACGAAAAATCAAGAAGTACTATATAACTTAATGTTAGCTGTAGGCATGAAAAGCTTTAACGCTTTAACCCGTGGGAGTAAACTGAAATAAAAATGAGTAATATAGAGAACACAATTTTCCCAGTGATTAAACCGACGCTGACCTATAAATATCACAGTTCTTGTCCAGTTCTTGGAAAATGTCTTTATTGCTCACTGCCACATGGTAACTAATAAAAAGACAATAATTCCCATTAAAATGTAAGGCAAAGAGCAATTTAATGATTGCCTTAAAGCTAAAATTAGTAATTCTTACATGTTTGACTCCATAGCACCATGTGCTAGGCCCACCATACCTGTGAATGGCAAAATAGTTGGAAATATCTTCAGTCATGGAAAATCTGTAAACTTTTACTGTGATTCTGGCTATAAAAGAGTTGGCGCCCGTTCGATTAAATGCGATGATGGTAAATGGGATAAGCCGTCTCCAGTCTGCAAAGGTTAGAAATGTGTTTTTTTCGCAACTTCATGCATTCACTTGCATTCGTGATGACTTAACCAACGTTCTCTTTATGATTAATCAGGCATTTGCTCAACACCGAGAGATCCACAGAACGGAAAATTGCATCAGAAGGTGCCCCCAGAACGTTTCCTTGACGGAGATGAAGCAAAATTCTTTTGCAACAGCGGTTATGACTTGATTGGTAAAAAGAAACTTCGTTGTGTTGGAAAAGTGTGGGATTCCAGCGAGCCTGAATGTAAAGGTGAGTGTTCCAGCTCTTCTGAAAAAAAGGTGCCCTTGAGAAATATTTTTGTTGTAATGACTAGACTAGCGACCGCCTAAATTAATAGCTTTTTAGCTTTCCTTGCCCCACTCAGTAGGCAATGGTGGGACCTTAAACACAACTCGTGGGTAACATTTTCCTGTAATAAAAAATATCAGCTTGAGGGAAAAGGACAAATACAATGCAAAGATGGCGTTTGGAGTGGTAACCGTCCTAAATGTGTCGGTAAGAAAATTCGAATAAGATGTTCGTTTGAGTTTTAATTCATATGGAAAAGAAATTCCGAGCGATATCAGTTGTTTTGTTTTTACGTAGAAATTGTATCTCTCTTTTATCTTTTGGTCTTCTCCAAAGTGTGGTTATAGCGTTGTACATTGTAGATGTATCGTGACAGCCCCATCCTGTGCTTGCTTTTAAAGTTCTTCTCCTTTCTTTTTTGATCTTTGAAACCTTTTGTTTTGTCCCCTACCTACTTTACTAATACAGCCATGTGTCCAGATCCTGGTAAACCATTGAATGGCAAACGCTACGGCAACAATTTCGAGAAAGGTAGCATAATAAATTTTACGTGCAACACAGACCACGAGTTAATAGGAAACAATACTATACTACCTTTTTTAGACTTTACTGTTACACGCTGTAGTATTATATTGGAATAAATGAATTATAGGTATAGGGCATGCAATTTAACCTCAAACAAAACCTTGTCTCTGAGTCTAAGAACTAAACTGAACGTTGGTGATTTGCGTTCTATGTAATTCCCAATTTAGACCTCCTCCATAACAGCAGGCTTGATTACTGTTCCTTTATATGCATTATTAGAGCCTTCCTGACCTCGCTTTTGAAAGAAAATTCGATTGTCCTGACGAATGTTAACGAGACCAACAGGGATGAACTAATTAACATGTATACAAACGGATAAAATGCTTAGCCAAAAGGTATAACAGAAAGATTAAGAGAGACGTAAGCAAGCAAGCCTTGATTTTTATTCCAAAAAGACAGTCCGTAAATCGAAACTCCCATCTTGTCTATTGCAACTGATCCAGAAATATGATTATCGGATTTGGATGCTTCCGTCCCGAATTCGCATGCACTTTACCCCGGCGCCGTCCGATTTGGAACAGATGGCTTTGAACGGGATTCAAAGATTCTCCTTTAGATTAATCATCTTTTCTTGTTAATTTTTTTAGTGCAAGACTGCAAACCCCCAACTATTCCTATAAACGCGAGGATTTCAAATCCGAGCAATAAATACCATTCTGGTTATAAAGTCACATTCAAATGTAATGAAGGTTACAACCAAGAAGGGATAGCAACTCAAATGTGTTTCCTTGGTTCGTGGACCGTGCTGCCTTTCAAATGTACAGGTGGGTCATTTCCGTACAGTCTGGTAGTCATCCTCAAGGCTTATCTCTACAAACCACAAAACGAAGTATGTTTTGGAATCTTTCAAAGGCGACGTCAACCTCAAAACAATTGACAAAACCTCAATTAATTTTCCATAGCAAAAACATAAAATTTAAGATTAAAAATAAGCTTCTTAGTTTCAGAGCTCGGCCACACATTGTGCGCGTTGTTATGATCATCTCTCTAAATAAAAGTATTCGATAACAAATTAAAAAGGGGTAGAAGATGGCAGTTTTTTGTTTGTTGAATGAATGCTTAAAATAGTTTAACGAACGTGACTACGAACGCGTGGGGGTGAGCCAGAAAATCAGTTTGTAAGTTTCAAAACTTATTGTCAGGTTTCTCCCAGCAAAGTTTACTCTGTTTTATCCTATAAGCGTCACCTTGGTGCATTTTGGCATATAGGCATAAGGGAAGGAAAGATTAAATTCGGCGGCGTTTGTCCTTAGAAATTTGAATGTTTCGTTGAACCTGCCAAGTGTCATGGTCAGATCCCTGAGGTCCCAGTCAGTGTATGCTGCCACTTCTGTATAAATTGGGACACATCTGTTCATTGATATGGATTCGCCTCGAACATCCGAACTCTGATGCAAACAAAGGCGTTTAACGCTGAAATTCGGCTCTTTCCTTTGAAAGGTGCGTGCAATGCCGTCCTGGGAATGCACAACAAGAAAATTCAAGACAGCAGCATCACAGCATCGTCGCAATTAAGTCTAAACCATGTTCCTTCCCTTGCGCGCCTTGACAGTGTGCAGGGGGCCTGGTGCTCGGCTCCAACCGACAATCTGACCTACATAGAAATACTGCTGAGCGAGGAAAAGTTTCTTACTTTGATTAAGACGCAGGGAAGCAAAAAGGACTTAAGATGGGCAACGAAGTACGAAATTCAATACCAGAAGGATGGACAATGGATCGTTTACAGGAAAACGGACGGAACCCGGGTTAGTAATAAACAAACAAATCCTGTCTGTTATTCCATCCGAATATCGGTATTCTGCAAGCACAATGAATATTGCACACACAATGCAATATGCATGCCCAAAGAAGCACATACGGTTCGAGTGACAAAGGCAATTATCCACAAGTTTCTACTATGTACTGAAAGACCCCCTCCCCCCTGCCCCACTCTCTCCTCCCTCACTCACCTGAGTTACTACGCGATAAAATAACGACATTAAGGGAGTCTGATTTATCTTTGAACTGGGTCTCACATATTTTTAGTAATCGAGACGTTGTGATGAATTTTATGAATAAGAAATATTATCGTGTTTCAATCTTATCTTTCGATACACAGACATTTGATGGAAATGTTGGCGTAACATCCTTAAACGCTATCGCGCTCCAACCTCGAATTAGAACACGTTCAGTCCGTATCTACCCAAAGTTTCCATTATCTTTGGATGGCGATGCGTCTCTTATGAATGTTTCCTGTCTCCGACTGGAATTATACGGCTGCTCTGCCCCTGGTTAGTTACTAAATTTCAACTTGTCTTACCAATTAAGTCTGAGTAATTTAAATTTTTCTGTCACATATTAGGAGTGTGATTCGTTAGTATAACTCAGATCTGTATGGGTGATCCAAGATTACTCAGATAATGACAATTGAAAGAAAGATGAATCCCGTTTTTTGAGTAACTTCACCTCACTGGCTTACTTGGTTAACTCATGATGGTTATGATACTTTAGTGGAATACAAACAGAAACAAAGTTTCTATAGAATTATAGGCTTGTTTACGCATATTTGAAGTTTAGTGCCTCCTTTGCGCGCATTAAATAGGGGCTAATACCAGATGGTGCTCTGGGCATGAGCAAGCAAGTTTTCCTGGCCTCTCTATATGGCACCCTTTGTTCAACCTCCTAAATTGGGCGCGGGAGGAAGACTTCAAAAGTTTAGGAGTTGAACAGAAGGAATGCACACGTCTTGACTGAGCAATAACTTCTTCCAAGGCGAATCCTTTCAACTGTCAGATTATTCTCATTTCAACAATGTCACGATCTCTGAACATCTAATTTCTTTCTTTTTTTCAGTTGATGGCTCGTGGGGCGCGTGAGTAGTATAGAAAGTTGGCGTTGCGAGATCAATTTGAAAATGACTTCGAAGTCTACTCAATACTACGTAAAATTTGATAGAAACTATTTTAAAAACCCCAAAAAGTTATACTTTATGCATAAGAAAATTTTCAATCATGATTCTTGTAAAAAAAATAAAATTATAGTTTCCAAAAAAAATCTTCACGAAAAAAAGAAACATCTGTGATATTATTTTACGAAATCACAAAAAAACCAGAGAAATGTCAAAGGATACATCTCGTTCTTCTATGTCATTTTTTTTACATAAAATTAATGTCATTATATTTTGTAGGATCCATTGTAATTTAGAAATTAATGATGAAATAAAAATGATGACTGTCTTACATGCCCTTTTTGTAACTTTAAAATAGAAGAGTATGTAAATAATAACAAGGAAGAACCATGTTGTTATAAGATAGAAGTTATTCATGACAATGACACACGTTTATGCTCGAGTTGTGGTTTAGTTCATGGTAATAAAAGAGCAGAGTAGTACATGGATTATCGTGAAAATCGATATAAGATTTATAACAATAATATAGACCACCGAAAATGTCGTATCAATGAGGTCATTTTTATATTAATATTTAAATGAATAATAAAATCAGATGGAAAATACACCTTATATTTCAGGAAATAGATAAAATCATGAAAGAAAATAATTTGATATATCAGACTATGATAATGAAATAATTTTTGGTTCCCTCTAATATCGTTCCGTTATCAACATCGATCCAAATTTCTGTGTCAACTTGGATACCTAAAAGACAAGAAAAGCGGAATGTTTCCAACGAACTAGTAGAATAAAGAAGATGTTTGATGTTCAGTTAATGATTTATGATAAAAAAGTTTATGCTCAAATGTAATCTAAGATGGTTGTCATTTTGTGGTGATTTGTATCTATCAAACTAACAAATTTAACATAGACCGGCTAGTTTAATCAAATTCAGTCATTAGAATTTGAATCGCAAAAAAAAATAATTGTCCGCACTTTTTTTCGCCTCAATGCTTTCCCCGATTGAATTATTTGGAACAAAAATGAATTTTGAATCATTGCTATGCGTTCCAATGGCTTTATAATAAATTTATCCGAATTTCGAATGACTTTGGAAAGGTGTCAACAGCTTAACTGTTCAGAACAGCTTTAAGATCTTCAGATTACGCTTGAAGCTCTCAAGACCTATTCTATTGTTTCTAGAGGATTTAACGTCTAGCCTTTCACAGTATCTAGAACCAAGACACTTGATGTTAAAGTTTTACAGTTGTGAATACGTCCAAATAAGAAAAGTCATATGCAAAGGTTGCTACATCCTAATGAAACGGGCTTCAACAGCTCATTTCTAGAAGGGTTTCTGAATGAGTGCAAGAATTGTGTGAACTATAGTTCATAACTGATCTAGCAAAATCCATGATCATCCATGATCACTGAGCAACCTTTGTGTATGTATTGAGTACTAGATAAATACCGTACTCGATACCGTTCTTTTCCTGTACCATAATCTTGGGTGGAAACTAATGAACTTGGAGCCACATATTAATGACAAAGCAGCAATTTATTTTAATTTAGAATAAATTATGCACGGCCAAAAGTTCTAAGGACTCTTCAGCAAACAAAGTGTAGATAGAATAATATGACATTCGTAATCCAGACGAACGTGTTCGTGGCTTGAGTAGTGAGCCATTTATTCGAGTGTGTTAATTATTTGAGCTTTATTATTATTACAATATTTTATCTTCTTTCCCTCAAGCATTCTGGTCAGTTAATTCATCTTTCTTTTAATATTTAATCCTTCTTCAAATATGTATTCTTTTCTCACCAGCTCTTTGATTTTTTTCCTTGACGATAGCCCTTTGTTTTTTTCTTGACGATATCGCTATCACTTTCAAAATTTTACCGTGATAATATCCTCTCTCCTCTCTCCATTGCAAGTTCTCCCGAATAGTAGCTCACACGACTTGAGGGGTATCAGCTGGGAGTTCCAATTAGCTAAGCGCGAGAGCGACGGTAATTTGCCATCTGCTGTCAAAGCGCATTTAGACTTCCAGGTCTGATGACCAGTCGCTGTTTTGAAAAGTAAGGCAGCACATTACAATTTGTACTTAGATAAGAAAAGTTATTTATATGGAAGATTGCGTGACGTTTCCCAAGAGAGAAGACGGGAGATCGATGACGACGTTGAAGGCTGGGAAACTCGAGAACTATCAATTTACTCTAATAATAGTTCACAATACTCCATTCCCGGTCCGGTTTCACATTTTTAGTTTATTGCCAACAATAAGTCACCAGTCTGTGCTTTTAACAGGGCCGTTGACGAAACTGGTCAGTTTCTCTTTTGCAAAAAATGAGAATTCTGTTCATTTCATGCCTGCTGTGGACTATTCTTTTCACACGTCAAGTCAAAGGTGAGTTTATTTTACCGTCCGTTGCGAGTGAATTTTGAGACAAGATTCTGTACTACACGCAGACGTCGTGAAAATTGTTTTCCATGACGCATATTCATATCGCATTAAAGGTAGTTCTTCCCAAGCTTCAACAAACACATTTTGCGTTCGTTCAGAAGCGAATTATCGACTCGAGAATCGTTCAAATCCTCTCCGTCATAATACGCAGATCAGCGATAAGCTCTTGATTGCAATTCAACGCAATATGGTTCTTAAATTGAAACTGTATACTGATTTTATCGATTAGATGAGCAAATGGGAAAGATAAGGCAATTAAGATGTGATCTCGCAAAGTCACCCGAAGGAAATTTCGGTGTATTCACTGATGATTCTTGAACAAAGCTTTGGTGTGGATTTCACACACAGGAAGTCTTCCCACTATGAGCCAAAGTAGAGGTTACGTTAAGCAATCGTGCTTCTATTCTTCAAACAAACACATTAAGCCTTGCACGCGAAGGGTCATGTAAACAAAACCGCGCAGTCCCACCTGAATACAGAAAACAGCAAACATCGTAAATGCATTTATTTGTTTTGACATGTTATGAAATAAGAGGTCAGGAGTTTAGTCATTTATCCCCGACCACAAATGAAAATTGAACATCGAGGAGCAGAGAGACAGGCGTAGAGAGATCGTGTAGAGACAGGGTTTAACTGAGGTTTTACTGGAAAAAGGGGATCAACCAGCATGAGAAGATAAAAATTGATTTTCCTTTTCCTTTTCTCTTAGTTGTTGTGTAAATCACATCGACGTAAATTTTGTAACAAAATAGATGGCTTACATTTTCATAATCCCACAAAACGACGGAAGTTGAGGACGAAAAAAGTTCACTTTCTTTTCAATGTCTACATTGGGTGCCATATTTGCTGAAACCGAAAGTAATTTCTGTTATGTAACATTAGACATTCCTATCAGGCCTACTGAGAGGTATGTCATTTCGGAATATGAAGTAAACTTTACGTGAGGTGAGCTAGTGCAGTCACGGACAACTTCACGCACGTTGGTCGTGCGTGTTGGCAATAAATTTGGAATCATAGAAATTGGATTTCCTTCCATGAGTTTGTTTTAATCAGTCACAAGTGGTAGGAGTGATGCAGAACCCTTGAAAGCGAAGATGACTTCCCAATGCAGGGAATGTTCGCTTGTCTTGTACATTTTTTCTTAGCTTTGTTCAATTTCATCTTGATTTGTTTTGTCCCCTATTTTGAGCGCCGTTTTGATCCCAACGATTTGCCAAATTTGAATAAAATTTCGCGCTTTGTTTTGGCGTACTCTCTAATTAATGGGTTTTTTTTGTTTGTTTTGTTTTGTTTTTGTAACGGTTCAGCTTTTAGATATGACCTCTCCAACAGCCATCCCTTATTTCTTTCTTTTGTAGATTGCGCTCATTTCGAAAGAAAAAGAGCCATCGAGTAGGTTTCAGTTAGGAATTTGATCGGCGCCGTTTGTGCGTTCACCAATTGAATTTTATAAGCGCGTTTTGAACGCGGTAAACATTTGCTTGTGATATTTACTAATTTTTGGGAGAAGCGACCTCCAGTGCTTTGGTTTGAAACTGCTCCATTGCTTTGCGGGTTTGTTCCATAATTTTATACATCATTTATGTATTAATTGTTTTACTTAAGTAAATGCTGATTGGCTGAGGCAAAGGACATTTTTCTTTAAATTTACCAAAATAAGGAAAACATTAAAAAAGGCTTGACGTGACCTAAACATTTTATAATTTCATGAATGGCGAATACTTTTCATTGCTTTGGCGTTGTCGTACAAAAATATAATCTCATTCAGCTGATTCGTGCACTTTACAGTTTATTGAGGCGACCTGAAAATTAAGATGGCTTCCTACGAACGTAGGAAGCGGCTAGAGCGCTCAAGAAGTGAGTGACTACATCTCGTGTTTCTCCCTACACTTCTTTCGTGCTTTAGCCGCTTCTTGTGGGCTTTACAACAGGACAGAGCATAGTCAAGGCTTCTGTATTCGATAAAAAATAGTTGCGCGACTCGTGCAATTTCTGCAACTTCTGAAAACACGCGTGAAATTAATCCTTAAATTTACTCCACCCAATGCAATTACCTACCTTACTTATTCATCTATATTCTTTCTTAGGCGAGTCGAAATGTCTCCGCACTAATCGACAGCCCGATCGGATGTGTGTTACTAAGTGTGATCCTTTAACTGGCTGCAGGGCTGAAGAAAAATGTCTTTGCGATGGCGACTGTGGGTATAGTTGTGTAAAGAGAGGTAAGCTTGCTATTTGATAGCTACCAGTAGGAATGTTGAAGAAAAAAAAAAGAAGAGATTATAACGAGATATCACATTTTTTCAGGCTTCATTTCTGCAATTGCTAAAATTGCAGCTCAATTTTTAGAATTTTGGCTCTCTATGAATTTAAATCCGCAGATCAAAATAAATTTGTTCACAACAAATGTGCATCGCTCCCAACATCAACGTGGGGCTTCATTGCTCAGTCGGTAGTACCTTCCAAATTTTGTCACGGTTTTTTTCTGCAATTAATACAGTTGATCTCATTTGCAAGGATCATGGCTTTGATGTAAAAGTATTATTGCCGCCAAAAATTCGTTAAGCGCCTTGTGTTAATAATTCGCACTTTTTCCCCGTTGTCATGTCTTCATTTAGTCCTTTTGTTCAGCGTGCACAACTGTCATCAATATTCTGTTACTTTTTTTCTTGTATAATTTCTCTTTTACCTTTGATTTCGTCATTCGCATCTATCGTTCTAACGATTCAAATGCCTTTGTCGATTGCTTTCACATCGTTTTCAATCCGCCGATTTGTTCCTGATCTCGCACAATGATCGTAGGTGTCTTTGTTTGCTCTCCTTTTCTTTTTTTTTCTGGTTTTGTCAATTCCTTTTTTATATATAATCGTAATAACTTGTATTTTTTCTGTTTGAGCAGTGTAGTAACGGCTTCAATTTGATTTACTTCGCTTCAATTCGCTTAACTTCACTTCGCTTCGTTTCGTGGCAGTGAACGAAGGGATGCGTTTCACATGTAATTAACGAATGTTTTGGCCTCTCCATGTATGCAGTCTTAAACAAAGCAAAGTTGCGAATTTTAACATGAGCGCATCGAAGTTTTGCACAGAAAACTTTGATTTGATTCACCCAAAATCCTAAGCAGCTAGTAGTGGAGAGAGGCATCGCTTTGTATGGATCCTGGCAAATTTTTGGTGTCTGCGCATTTTGGTTATCTAATGCTGCTAACTTATTAAAGTACTAAAAGATTTTCCGTGATAGCCTGAAACACCATCCAAGAGGAGTGACAGTAACTTTCGTGGCATCATACTCCGGGAAAGTGACACTCGCTGACATACTCCGACATCAATGACTTGTTTAGACTCCTGATCTTTTTACCTACATATCATCCATTACGTCAAATTGAATTGTATCTACTACTGATTATCCTGAGACGAAGCAACTCGGAGACAAAGTCAACAAGGGCTGGAATGGGGTATCCAAAGTACCCTTGTAAGATCAAATTTCAGTTGTTATTAGTAAGCTCAAAATGTTTGTGTCGCTTCACTATCTATCTTTGTTGTTTGCTTTCGAACAGATTTATCCTGCGGAAGGCCACCACGGGTGTCCAACGCTCGACCTCAGTACCCAGCCACTAATTTCAGTTCCGTTGTTACTTACGTTTGTAACGAGGGTCACACATTGTCCGGAGCAGCCAAGAGAACTTGCCGGGCAAATGGCAGGTGGGACGGCGTGGGACCTAACTGCTGTGAGTATCGGCTAGTACGGTGTGTCCTCATCGATTTTGCTACCATGAAATTAATATTTTTTCCATTATTTCTTTTCAGTAAAAATGTGTTCTTTACCAACAATTCCATTTTTTACGTACATTGCAAAGCCTGTAAATTACACCCGGAAATACAGGACTGGTGAGAGAATAACTTTGGCCTGCAAAAAAGGGTTTAAAAAGAAACCGGGCGGTAATCCTGTAAGAATCTGCATCAGCGGGTTGTGGACTCGATTTCCGTTTCAGTGCGAAGGTAAGGTCGACTGAAAATCGTATCTCCGCAAGGCAATTTAGTATTATCAACTCAGTTGATAATAGCAAATTACCTTCTTATACTCTCTCACCGACGCAGCACCACAGTTTCTTTAGAAACAACCACAGTTTCTTTAGAAACAAGCCCATTTATTCTTATCTCCACAATTGGTACAGACAGATTAATTAATCTTTGATTCAAATGAAAAAAAAAAAATCTCTCTCTTCTTTGGCTGACAAATACCAAAATGAGAACAAGAACCCGAAAAAGAACTGAATGCTTGCTTATGCGTGAGAAAGACTTGCATAGATTGCAAATGAAGAAGTTCAAAGATCACCAGCTTCTGTTTTTTTCCCCTTCATGGATGAGAGTGGGATAATGAGGCATTAAATTTTTGTGAGACAGGTAGGAAACCAGCAACCAGATATCAAACCATCGGAAACAACAATGACAAAGGCGTACATAACAACGATAGTAAAACTAGAACTTGAATCCTTCATGTGTTTCATTTTAGATTGTACTATTTTTTTCTGTATGTATGCTAAAAAATAGACTATTATATATATCATATAGTAATATATTATGTTCCTATCAAGTAACTGGTCCGTGTGTGTGGACATGTGTTTAGGTACCCACGCGTGTAAAAGAACCATCCGAGCCCCCAGAACTAAATGCACACTAGAGTGTAGTCCTCAAAGTGGGTGTGGTTCAGATAAGTACAAGTGCCTTTGTGATGGAAGTTGTGGGTTCAGTTGCGTGGAAATAGGTAAGTTATAACTTTGTATTCAGGTAAAAGAATATAACCCGGTAATCCCTATAGTCAGTTAAGCGGCAAGTCCCACCTTAGGTGACTTTAGAGGTGTGTCAGTCCACGGTTAGACAAGGAGGTCGGTCGTGAAAGTTGGCAAAAAATGAAGATAGAAACTTCGGTGTTGCTTTATGTTGGGAGCTCCTTCAGCATCCACATTCTTTTGTTTTTAGACTCATTTAACGACTGAATAAAAATGGGACGTTACCATTGATCAGCTAATTTGAGGTGACGAAATGGTGTGAAACGTTTTGGACGTTCAGGCGCAAAGAATGGTTAACAAAGAACAGTGATCGGTCCCAAAGAAAAACGATTATAATTCTTATCTATGGTTTGTTGAATGTCTGAGCTGGAAAAATTTATTTGTTATTTAAATTTGCCAATAAATATGCACGTGAATCTGGAGAATCTGTAGGAAGTTCGAAGGGACGTATTAGCATAAAAATATGAAGAGGTAAATTGTTCCAAAACTCCTGCTTAGTTTGTCAGAGAGGAACGTACGTTGATTGTTTCGACATGGAAAGGAGTGAGGTGTCTATCGAATGTAAGATTATTGGGTTATTTTCAGATTAAGAACCTTTGAAGTTTTAATTTGTGTGATAATTGGTACTGTCCTGAGCTCTGTCATTTCAATTTCATCCCTTTCTTTTCTCTGTTATACGCCACTAGCCATTAGAGTTAGTTTCTTACGCAGGTTATCTGAATCAGCCGTTCCACTTTTATGGCATTCTGTCTACACGTTCGGTGTCTGTATTTACGCGGGCTTTGTATCGCATTAATGTTAGCTGAACTAGCGCATAGAACTAAATGATTTGTCGTTTCATATGTTTTTTGGTCCAATACAATCAAACAGGAATGTCTTGTGGAAATCCACCGTCAATCAGCAATGGCAACGTCGTTTATAATGACACAAGTTACAACTCAACCGCTCATTACACCTGCAATGGAGGATACAGTTTGAATACAGCTCCAGTCAAGAGATGCACCGCTAAGAAACGCTGGGAAGGCCTCACTCCTAGATGCTGTGAGTAAACTTTTGCAGTGCGAAGTTCGTGTAGGCTTAATTGTTGATCCATCCTGGGAAGGGAGGGGGTACTACCTTGTTTAGGCCTTACGGCTACATGCTGTAGTATAATATTGGGATAAATGAGTCATAGGTATAGGGTATGTAATTTAACCTCAAACAAAACCTTTTCTCTGAGTCACAGAACTAAACTGTTATTGAACGTTAGTGATTTGGGTTCTATGTAGTTTCAAATTTAGACCTCCACCATAGCAGCAGGCTTGATTACTGTTCCTTTGTATGCATGTGTTAGAGCCTTCCTGACCTTGCTTTTGAGAGAAAATTATATTGTCTTGACGAATGTTAACGAGACCAACATGGGTGGGCTAATTAACATGCATACAAACGGATAAAGTGCTTAGCCAGAAGGCATAACGAAGAAATTAAGAGAGACGTAAGCAAGTAAGCCTTGATTTTTATTCTGAAAAGACAGTCCGAAAATCGAAACGCCCCTCTTGTCCATTGCAACTGAGCCAGAAAGATGATCATCGGATTTGGACGCTTCCGTCCCGAATTTGCATGCATTCCACCACAGCGCCGTCCGATTTGGAACAGATGGCTTTGAATGGGATTCATAGATTCTCCTTTAGACTGATCATCTTTTCTTGTTAATTTTTTTAGTGCAAGACTGCAAACCCCCAACTATTCCTATAAACGCGAGGATTTCAAATCCGAGCAATAAATACCATTCTGGTTATAAAGTCACATTCAAATGTAATGAAGGTTACAACCAAGAAGGGATGGCGACTCAAATGTGTTTCCGTGGTTCGTGGACCGTGTTGCCTTTCAAATGTACAGGTGGGTCATTTCTGTACAGTCTGGTAGTCTCTCATATTCAGGGCTTATCTCTACGAACCGCGAACCGAAGTATGTTTCGGAATCTGTCAAAGGCGACGTCAACCTCAAAACAATTTACAAAGCATCAATTAATCTACCATGCAAAAACATAAAATTTGAAATTAAAAAAAAAGGCCTCCGAGTTTCAGAGATCGCCCACACATTTTGCGCGTTGTTATGGTCATCTCTCTAAATAAAATTTATTTGTGCAGATTTAGCAGATTAGAGATAGAGTATTGAGAGCCACTTTTTTAATGAAATTATTTTTTTTTGTCTCTGTGACACCTTAATATACAAACTTTATTAATCCTTTTAAAGTAAATGTGCCAACAACCAAGACTAATGTATCATTGTAGTTTTGCCCAGGATTTCTCCTAGTTACGCTACTTCCCCATGGACTTGTGGATTTATTTCCGTGTCTCACGATTATTTTGCTCTCAGGGGACATCTATCGTAGAAGAACTGTAACTGTAGAATATCTCGACCTTATGTTTGTTCCTAGATCATCCCGGTGGTTATAATTCCACCGAGTGTTGAATCTTTTCACATTTTATAAGCAGCATGACTCATTCTGTGGCTCTCTTATGACAGAGGGAGGATGTGGAGACCCAGGCACACCTGAGAATGGTCGGAAGCTGGGAGTCACATATTCTGTTAATAGCAAGGTCTACTTTGATTGTGACTTGGGCTATGAACTAGAGGGGTCAGCAGACCGCAAGTGTCAACTAAATGGAACTTGGACAGGAATTCAACCAGTTTGTAAAGGTAAGGTGTCCAAAATTTGTCTACTGTCGACGCTTTATGCAATAAATACAACGTTGAAGTTCTGTATCTAGTGCCTAACTTTTTCCCCATAGTTTTTCTTCTGATTTTTTCCTATATTGGTACTTAATTTTGCGTTTTCCGCGGTTGCAAAAAATCGCGAAATTAAATACCTTCGCATAAAAATCCTTGCGAAATTAAATCCCTACAGAAAATTCAGATCACAAAAAAAAAAAGAAAAAATTATCAACGTGTAATAACAACAACATCTACAGGATATGTATCAACAAATACACAATTTTTTTACCGATCTTGCTAGTAACTTCTAGTGTGTATCTTCCTTTTGTGGTGAAATGATGTTAATTTGCAAAGATTGCGCCTATGGAATAGAGAATCTTGCTGAGTCGCTCTATTCATACAAATTCCTTGGAACATCTCTCGTGCGGTCGTCAAAAGTCGAGAACGCTTTAATTGCGAATTTCATATTTGCCTGTTTTAATCGCGAAAATATAACCCTGCAATGCACCGTCTCGTCAAAATCGTGAAATTTAGTACAAAAAAGGAAGTACGAAGTGGCTGTGAGGTGTTAAGCTTTGTTACTATCCTAGAGCACTAGGGTTTGCATCTGAAAATTTTTTCTGGGTTTGCGATACTGGGAGGTAAACACTTTTACGGTATCCATTCTTATGCTAATATTCTATGTTAATGTTTTGACAATTGCTAAGTTGCGAGATCTCTCTTAGAAAGAGGCATTGTGCATTGAGCTAACAAGTTTGAAACAATCTTGAAATAACGATCCAAGATTTGCTATACCTTACTCTCATTGTCTATCTGTTCACGTTTAAAGTTGTAAATTGTGGCTTTCCGCCTCGACCAAAGAATGGAACATTTATTGGTAACGAAACAACTTTCAGAAGTGAGCTCGAATTCAGATGTGACGAAGGTTTTGAATTGCAAGGCAGTGCCAAAAGAATGTGCACCACGGACAAAAGCTGGACCGGGAAAGAAGTGACATGTAATGGTAAGTGTATTAGAAATCGTTTATTTCTACGGTTTTATTTTCGCTCTCACTTTTTAACGGTCCATTTTGAGGCTTAACCTCACTTTTCCAACCACCATTGAGGCTGGGAGACGTTCCTTCAAAAGGCAACATTACTTTTTTGGAATCGACCTCATTAAATACGTGGCGCGATAGACAATTAATGGATTGAACAAATAATTTCTGTCACTCTTAACCTGATGAGGAAAAGTGGCATAAAGAACGTCAGGTCCACATCGGGTGCGAATCCATATCTTATCTTATAGATAATGGTTTATGCTCTAGACACTTACTTAAAGTTTACTAGTTACAACTGATACTGCTTTTGTTACTGGCGATATAAGCTTGATTTTCCAGTGTCTGAGCTATAAAATAGGATAAATGGAAGCATACAGACAGATGTTAAGCTTTTGTAATCGGCGTGGTACAAAGAAAAAAGTTCGAAGACTCCCGAGAGCATTCGTTTATCACATTTTGCGATGTAGCGGGGAAAGGGAAGGGAAGGGAGGGTGGGAGAGGAAGGGAAGGGAGGTTGGGAGAGGAAGGGAAGGGAGGGTGGGAGAGGAAGGGAAGGGAGGGTGGGAGAGGAAGGGAAGGGAGGGTGGGATGGGGGTAGGAGGGAAGGAGGGGGGGGGCTCTGAAGGAGGTTAATTACATCAGATTCGCTCATTAATTTCACGTTTCTTGTGAAGCTGTTGACTGTGGGAGCCTCGATCCTCCCAAGAACGGCTCTTTAATCGTAAAAGAAACTACTTACCCAAACCATGCGGAGATCAGGTGCGATGAAGGATTCACCCTGCTCGGACCACGAAGACGAACATGTCAAGCGAACGGAACGTGGAGTGGAAATATAACGGAATGTAAAGGTGATTAACTTTACTTTGTTTGAGCAGATATTTGTCCTTTTCTATTAAAATAAAAATTATCCATTTCACTGAGAACGAATTGACCCCTTAACAATATCAAATGCACCTACTCTTTAAATCGTGCAAAAATTTCAGGTACGGAAGTGTAATGTAAAATATGTCTTGTCCCGGATTGAGCGCAAGTCCTGTCTTTATGAGCTCGAGCGCTTTATGTCTGATTGAGTTTGTCTCGACAATATCAAGTTATTTCATATTGCGGCGGGAGATTTAAGTGAGTTCAATGATTGTGTGTCCCAACAAACTTTTATCAATGAAGTTACTTTGCTAGTGCCTCTCACTAAATGGCTGTCTGTCGTGAAGCCAAACTTCTCTGTGATAAATTCTTGAGGGTTGATCAATTAAATTAAATAGAGAAATCTTTGAACTTTAACTTTCGAATCTTTAGCGGTTGACTGTGGTGCTTTATCCGTCCCTACGAATGGTTCTTCCATTGGCACCGAAACGAAATTTCCTAACAAGATAAGATTCCGTTGCGACACTGGATTCGATCTGGTTGGGTCCTCTGTAAGGATGTGCATGGCTGACAAGAGCTGGAATGGCGTAAAGACAGTTTGTAAAGGTAATCTCCCTCAACGATATTAATGAAGAAAAAAAAAGCAATTTAGTAGGCCCCTTATGGCCTTTAAAAGGTCTTTTTAGAACACGAGTATCAGATCAAGCGAATGGAATCTCAGGCTTTTAATCATGAAGAACCAAGAGTTTATTTACCAACACATAGGGTGGGATTCTGGGCCAGATTGACCTATTTTGTCCATTTACCGCAGAAGGAAAGGTTGGCTCCTCCGCTGAATCTCCTATGTACTCAGTTTGTTTTATCCAGGCAATTATGCCAAGGTGTATTGGAGAACCCGTAGCGGCTAGAGCGCTGTGGGTTTGAAATGTGATCATGTGTGTAAGCAATTGAATTAAAACATCTCGACCATTCTATTATGTAAAAACCCACTGATATGGGAACTTTCTAAGTTTCGAGTTTTTTGGGGTTTATTTCACTGACTTACCATGAAATATTTGTAATTCCTTCTCAGTTGATTTAACGCAATCTGTTGAAGCAGAGAACTAAAAAGAATATGAAAATGTTAACCTCCAGTCCTTCTAACTCGGGGTTTTAACCCAGTTTCAAACTCGTCCATTGACAAATGGATGTATCGTCTTTGTTCTTCGACCAACTTTAATTGCTGTTTATCAATTGTACTTTCATCCAAGCCGTGGACTGTGGGAAGCTTCCTCATCCCACGAACGGCTCAGTGATAGGGAAAGAGACAACCTTCCCGAACGAAGTGGAAATCAGCTGTGACAAAGGTTTTATTTTACGTGGATCACACCGTAGGAAATGTAAAGCAGACAGAAATTGGAGCGGAGACACTACAGTCTGTGAAGGTGATAAAAGCGATGAGTATAATCAGTTTCTATACTTTTGCAAACAGCTTTAAATGACAATTAAATTTTGTTATTTATAAAAAAAATATGTAATTGTGAAATTGTTGTCTTTTATGCTATTATTTTTGTCCGTCCGTCCGTCAGAACTTCCCTTTGTTCGTCCGTCTGTCCGTCTGTCCGTCCGTCCGTCAGTCCGTCCGCTCGTCACTATCTACGTTTCCAAACTTTCGTTGGGCTGTTAAATTATTTATCCGTTGTTTCTTTTATACGCACTCGGTTCAACGGTATTTCTACTGTCTCTTTTTGAAGTCACTGATTGCTCCGCCTTTCGTTCTAAATTTTCTTCAGCATATGAATGCATTTTGAATGCGCACCGCAGCTATTGCATTTGCAGCAAGTAACGTTGTGTAACTTGTCTTAAACTTAAAATTAAACGATTCAACCATGTTTTATTTAAAACTAACTAACTTAATAAGAATCATTGCTCATTCCTTGAAAACAATAAAACGTAAAAAACAGCATTTAATGTTTCGCTTTAACGAGGCCAGTCCTGGTTGTAAATTTCGCCAGCTGGACAGCTTTATTTTGGAGGCCAAAGCTTTCCTCTGACGCTACTACATTCGTGCATTTACGACGTCAGTTATTCGTTGTTAACTGGCACTGTCTTGGAGTGGAGTTCTTTTGCTTTTGAAGCTTGTTCTCTCATTTTGAAGCCATCAACTGCGGCAAGCCAACACTGCCAGACCATGGGTCCGTCTCAGGAGTATCTACTAGATACCCTCACTCAATAACGTTTACTTGCATTATCGGATACGAAATCTATGGGTCTGTTGTGAGAAGATGCCAAGCTAATGGGACATGGAGTGGAAGTAAAACTACCTGTAAACGTAAGATACACTGTATTTTTTTCGTTCCTCTTTTTCCATAACTCGCTCCTCCAAGTGAAGCACAGCAGATGTATATTTGGTCAACCTTATCGGACTTTTTTCTCCGCGTAAAAGGATTTCCCTCAGTTAGGTCTTTTTTCTTAATCTTTATTTCAAGAAACCAGTTGGATGTGTTGTACTTAGCGACAGTTTCCTATTAGGTACAAAAAAAGGCATGAAGACATGAAACAAATTAGCCAATCTATAATGCAAATACTAGATAAGCCGAATTTCAGTTCCGGGAAGCGTCTTTAAAGCGGCTATTCTTGTCTTTAATAAGAACTGGTAACAAATTATTTAATGTCTCCGTGAATCTAGTGTATGTCTCAAATCCAAATCCATTTTTTTCAACTGTCTTCTAGCGGTTGACTGTGGGCTCCTTCAGAGACCGAACAATGGTACTAAGGTCGGCAATAAAACAACTTTCTTAAATGAAGTCAGTTTCTTTTGCAACAAGGGATTTTATATGTTGGGATCCTCAAAGAGAACTTGTCAGGCTGATAAGCAATGGAGTGGAGTCAAGACTTTCTGTAGAGGTAAGGCAAAAACATGATTCCTGATTGCCTCATTTCCTATTCCAGAGTATTGCGTTTCCAACAAACCAATTAGAGGGCTTTTCGACTGAGTGTCTTAGAACCAAAACGAAAACAATTATAACAGCCAATCATAGCAAGGGTAAATATCACCAGGAGCCAATGAGACCTCGAATTAAAAAAAAGGCAAGAAGCGCGGGAAAACGCGTGTGACAAAGTTGCGATTGATTTTAGCTTTGAATGCGATCGGTCGAGTTAGTGGCGCAAGTTTTCTAAACCAATCACATAAAGGAATAAGCAAAAATCAAATCAAACCCGAACTACTTCCAACGCTCAATTGAAAATTGCGCCATCAGAAATAAGAGAAATCGTGTACTCGCGATTATTTTGTGCGAAAGTTTTGAAGCTTCAAGTGTGCGACTTGAAAGCGGTAGCGCTTAGAAATAAGACATGGCAAAAATCGCACTTTGTTAAAGAACTTATGAACGTATTTCCTGTGACATGGCTCAACAACAAAGAAATAAATAGTGTTGAAACTAGAGGCCGGGATTGCCGTGTGAATGATGAAATAATCTCGCATTCTTCAAGACCTATCGCGTGACTCAACGCGACACAAACACGCGCGCTTTTAGCAGTAACTTTGCCCGCAATTCACCCAACCAGCGATATTCCCCAATAACAAGCCTGACTGTTGGAAACCTGTCAGCCAAAGCAGTGGCTTGAGATACCTTTTTTCAACAGAAATAACAAGAAAATGAGTTATTTTGTCGGGATAAAGAAGGGGTGAAGTTTCCTCTTCTCCATCGGCGATTTTGCAGACATCTGGTCGGGGCATCCGGGCTCATGTTCATTGTGTATAAAATTTGAACATTGAAAGATTTTAGCGAAGTTGGCACAACGGAATAAAATCAAGCAAATTGAACGTAGGCGTTAATATAGACACGAGGTAGGCACCTTAAAGCAATTAGGAGAAGCTTTGAGATATCAAGGACTATTCGTTCGTTGGACACTATGTCGGTAAATCGTCTGCTCAACCACCAAATAATTACGCAACATCGATACTTATTTGGAGGTCGGCAAGTACCGGGTGTGGTACTTCTTTTGCGCTTTCCTTTGCTGATTTTCTTTAAGCTGTAAAATATTGTAAGAGGTGTCTTCTCCTTGTTTTGGCCAACTGTATCAACTACTGTAAGAAATGTTACTCTTTCAAAGTCCTCAGATTTTCTTTCCACAGTTAAAATCTATCAAGTGAAGTTATTGATCAGGGACAAGTAGCCAGAAATTTATGTAGCTGCTATTTCCTTGACTTCATTTCGCGGGAAATTTAAATGTGCAAACACGTGAATTTATCTGCCAAGTATGACCAATTTGGATATAGCTCAAATAGCTAAATCATGCTTTGTAAGTAGCATATGCATGTGGGCAGCATAATTACACTTTTCCTTAGACATCCACTGACAGGCATGAAACCAGATTACCATTGCTGGTGTGTTACCAAGGTGTTAAATATACATTCTCTATTTTCTTGCAGCGGTTGACTGTGGTTCCTTAATTGTTCCAAAAAATGGCAGCAAGCTTGGACAGGAAACAACATATCCTAATTTTATCAAATTTAGCTGTGATGAAGGGTTCATCTTGTTGGGATCGACAGTAAGGACCTGTTTGGCAAATGGATCTTGGAGTGGTATGCAAACACTTTGCCAAGGTAACAGAAAGTTTTGCTGTATACATTTTGCTATGTGTAAGACTAAGGTCATTAATGGCAACTTAAGAAGGTCATGGGTCCTATACAGTCTACTACTGAAGTCAAGTAAATTTCTCCTGATTATTTACTCACAGAGCTTGTTTGAACTCTCCAATCAGTTTCTAGGTCCATTTTTCATGTTTCTTATTCTTTTTCCCCCAAAATGAAGACAAAATGTCAAATGATTCTCATAGATGTCTATCTATGACCCAAATTCTTTCTTCTTCATTATTTTCTCTCTAAGTTGACAATTAGCTATCATTGCTCAGTAATCAGATCTTGTTAAAGGGACAGTCTCTTTGGTGTGGGTGTAATGCAGGTTGAGTTTTGATTACTGTTATAGCTTTTCTACCATATTGAGAGCAATTGTATCTTATATAATTTGAATTTATTTTTGTATAGCTAAAGACTGTGGGCCCATTCAAGCACCAAGGAATGGAACTAAACATGGAAGTCAGACCACTTATCTGAACAAAATTTTGTTCACTTGCGACAATGGGTTTAATTTGATTGGCTCAAATGAGAGACAGTGTACATCAGATGGAGTTTGGAGTGGTGCTGAAACTTTGTGTGAAGGTGAGATGATACTTGAGGTTTGACATTTGTTATACCAAGGATTGTTGAATTTCATCTTGACCTTTTCTATATTCCACTGAATTAGGATCTATTTTGGAGTCAAAATTTGGTAACTGAACTGCATGCATCCTTTCCTTCTTAGCCAAAGACTGTGGACCAATACGCACACCCATAAATGGCACCAAACATGGTACAAAAACCACTTACCCAAGCAGGGTCACAGTTACCTGTAACAGTGGCTTTCATCTAAGAGGTTCATCTGAACGGGAATGCATGTCAGATGGTGTGTGGAGTGGAGTTGAAGCATATTGTGAAGGTAACGAAATGAAATTTGCAAAGAAAGTGGTTGTTTTCTGTTTGTGGGAATTTCATCATCATTTGACCTAAAAATGGTATCTTGAATCTTGCTTGTACATCATTTTTTGTGCAGCTAAAGACTGTGGCTCGCTTGAGATTCCCACAAATGGATCCTTAGTTGGACTGACCCTGACAACTTTTCCAAACTCCTTGACCTTTGCTTGTGATGATGGGTTTGAACTGAAAGGATCTGTAGTAAGATATTGTCAAGCAAATGCATTGTGGAGTGGTAATAAAACCTTTTGTCAAGGTGAGAAAGTTCATTCATTAAGCTAACTGCATGGACATTTTGCATATAACTTTACTCTAACCATTTGTTATTAACATACCATAAATTGCATTTGTTGTACAAAACTGTATGTGCCTACACCCATGCCCAACATGCCTTTTTTTATTTTAATTAAATATCATGTTTCTTTTATTTTTGGGTTAGCTAAAGATTGTGGACCAATTGAATCACCAACCAATGGATCCCTTTTTTTTGGAGACAGAACAACTTATCCTCACATAGTGCTGTTCAGTTGTGACAAGGGGTTTCTGCTGAAAGGATCAAACCTCAGACGTTGCACCTCAGAGGGTGTTTGGAGTGGAATGCCGGCCTCGTGTGAAGGTACATTTACTGTGATAGTTAACATGTAATATGTGAGGTAACACAATTGGCAGCAATATGAATACAGGGGACATTTTTTTTGTCAACAGGAGATGAGCAATGAGATCTAATTTGACAAGCAGGGGCCTCACATGTATTATTTTTACAATCTGCACCAAGAGAAACCTTATTCTAGGCACATATTTCTTAGCTTTACAATTGCTTCTCTTGGTGAAGGTTTTCTCTGATCTATTACCTTCTAGTTTTTTTTTTTTAGTATGACCTGGCTGACATAACATCTGAAACACATCTAAAGAATTTTAGATGGCTCATTAAACCTTAACAATTATTAAATGGATATCCAAACTTTCTAACGACTTGCTTTTTTTAGTCAAATCATATTTGGTTATGGCCACAATTATACAAAATTCAATAAAAGATATCATATTTGCCTTTTTTTCCTCATTTGTTGCAAACATCAAAGCCAGGGACTGTGGTCCACTTCCTTTCCTATTGAATGGAACTGCCATTGGGCAAAGGACGGTTTATCCTAATGAAATAATATTTAACTGTGATGCTGGATTCAACTTGGTTGGCTCAAGGATAAGGAGATGTCAGTCCACTGGAATTTGGAGTGGAAAGCAAACTTCCTGCCAAGGTAGTAATTTTTCCATGATACACTCTAATATAAATTATTACATCTTTAACTTAAGTTCACCACAGAGAACCCCATTTTCTACAATTCACACCAGCCAATGCTATTCCATCCAACTTGAATCAAATTCATCCAATCTAGTCCAGAACATCCCAGTTCTCCCAAACTGATCCAAATCCCACCCCTGTCTCCCTGAGTCATTCCAATTCAACCCAAATCATCCCAATCCACCTTAATCCTTACAAATCCATGTAAAATCTGCCCTGGCCTACCCATCCCATTTCACCTCAGTCCACACTAATCTAGCTTAATCTGCTCAATTTTTTGTTAAATCCTTTTCTAGTATTTACTTCATTCCCCTCTTATTTATTCTAGTCGTAGCTAATCAAACCCAATCTGCCCAATTAGGGACCAATCCACTCCAAGTCCTTTTATCCTCTTCAGTCCTCTAAAATTTACCTTTTATAGGCCAGTGTACTTCAATCCCCTTTCACTGCACTCAAATACACTCCAGTCTTCTTCAGTCCAGTCCATTATGCCCCAATCCACCCTTCTCTATACCCATTAAACTAAATCTGACTAAATATTATTCAATGTGCCCCAATCCAATCCAACCCATTCCCGTCTAGTGCAATCCCATCCAATCCATTTGAATCCTTTCCACTCATATCAGTCTTAAACCGTCTTGCTTCACTTTATTAGTCATGAAACCCCGAGAAAAGTATTGAAATTCGCCTTAAGAGAGTAAACCCATGATCACCTCACATTGTATTGCCAGGTTGTGACATCTTATAGTATATCAAATGAATACTTATCAACAAATTTAGTTGAGGTGCTACGTAGTGCCTAAAAAGGCACTACGTAGCACCTCAACTACACAAAAGATTCAACTTAAGATTATGATTGGTTGATACCCATAGATCATTGATATGTCAGTCATAGTCACAAATGTGGGTCAGTGACTTGCTACATATTGATATTTAAATGGAGTGGTTTTGGAATTACCAATATGTATAGGTTCAGGAGCGCTTTTTTATCAATATATCCAGAAATACTCAAGCAAATATTATAATCTTTTGATAGGGAGGGAAGTAACTTTTGAAGTTACTTAATGTGGAATAATTGCAATTGGTTAAACGGTTACCACAACAATGGTTGTTAAGGAAACCAAGATAAACATTTTTGGTGAAATATAGTTAAAACGACATTTAAATTATCATTTCTTATCGTTCTGTGATAAAAAAGAACGATCATAATCATTTTGGGTCAGTTTTTGATGTTTTGTTGCTAATTATATTTATTTATACTGACGAGGATGAACGGCAGCTGTTGTTGGCTTGAAAAATACAGTCCGTGTGAGAAATATGTCAAATAAAGACAATTGAGAATGAGTTGAGGTTGGTTATGATGTAGAAGTTGCATTAGCCAACCCGTATCCAATCTCCTACATTTACGTAACCTGCAAAGATAGTCAAGAGCTCATTGACCCCCATCTCGATAACAAATGTCTAGCGATCGGTAGGTCTTATTAGAGCTCACTGACTCCCCGATCGACCAACAAAAGTCTTGCGATCGATAGCTCTTATTAGAGCTCTTTGACTCCCCGATCGACCAACAAATCTCTTGCGATCGGAAGCTTAACTTCCCGATAACTCCCCGATCGACAACAAATGTTTTTTGGTCAGTAGCTCTTATCAGAGCCATTAAATCCCCGATCAACCAACAAATGTCTTACAATCGGGATTTCTTATCAGAGCTCGTTGACTCCCCGATCGATAACAAATGTCTTTTGATCAGTAGCTCTTATTAGAGCTCATTGGCTCCTTCATCGACCAACAAATGTCATGCGATCGGGAGCTCTTATCAGAGCTCATTGACTCCCCGATCGACCAACAAATGTCTTGCGATCGGTAGCTCTAATCAGAGCTCATTGACTCCCCAATCGACCAACAAATCTCTCGCGATCGGTAGCTCTTATCAGAGCTCATTAACTCCCCGATCGACCAACAAATGTCTTGTGATCGGTAGCTCTTATTAGAGCTCATTGACTCCCCGATCGACCGACAAATCTCTTGCGATCAGTAGCTCTTATCTGAGCTCATTGACTTCCCGATCAACCAACAAATGTCTTGTGATCAGTAGCTCTTATCAGAGCTCATTGACTTCCCGATCAACCAACAAATGTCTTGTGATCAGTAGCTCTTATCAGAGCTCATTGACTTCCCGATCAACCAACAAATGTCTTGTGATCAGTAGCTCTTATCTGAGCTCATTGACTTCCCGATCAACCAACAAATGTCTTTTGATCGGTAGCTCTTATCAGAGCTCATTGACTCCCCGATCGACCAACAAATGTCATGTGATCGGGAGCTCTTATCATAGCTCATTGACTCCTCGACCGACCAACAAATGTCTTGTGATCGGGAGTTCCTATAAGAGCTTGTTGACTCCCCTATCGAACAACAAATGTCTTGCTATCGGGTGTTCTTATTAGAGCCCATTAACTCCCCGATCGACCAACAAATGTCATGTGATCGGGAGCTCTTATCAGAGCTCATGGACTCCTTGATCGACTAACAAATGTCTTGTGATCGGGAGCTCCTATTAGAGCTCATTTACTTACCGATCGACCAACAAATGTTATGTGATCGGGAGCTCTTATTAGAGCTCATTGACTCCTTGATCGACCAACAAATGTCTTGTGATCGGGAACTCTTATCAGAGCTCATTGGCTCCCCTATTGACCAATAAATGTCTTGCTATCGGGAGCTCTTATTAGAGCTCATTTACTCGCCGATCGACCAACAAATGTCATGTGATCGGGAGCTCTTATCAGAGCTCATTGACTCCTTGATCGACCAACAAATGTCTTGTTATTCGGTAGCTCTTATCAGAGCTCACTGACTCCCCGATCGACCAACAAAAGCCTTGCGATCGGTAGCTCTTATTAGAGCTCTTTGACTCCCCGATCGACCAACAAATCTGTTGCAATCGGGAGCTCTTATCAGAGCTCATTGACTCCCCGATCGACAACAAATGTCTTGTGATCGGTAGCTCTTATCAGAGATTATTGACTCCCCGATTGAGAACAAATGTCTTGTGATCAGTAGCTCTTATGAGGGCTCATTGACTCACCGATCAACCAAGAAATCTCTTGCGATCAGTAGCTCTTATCAGAGCTCATTGACTCCCGATCGACCCACAAATGTCTTGCGATCGGTAGCTCTTATCGGCACTCATTGACTCCCAATGGACCAACAAATCTATCGCGATCGGTAGCTCTTATTAGAGCTCATTGACTCCCCGATCAACCAACAAATGTCTTGTGATCGGTAGGTCTTATCAGAGCTTATTGACTCCCCGATCGACCTGCAAATGTCTTGCGATCGGTAGCCCTTATCAGAGCGCATTGACTCCCTGATCTACCAACAAATGTCTTGTGGTCGGTAGGTCTTTTCAGAGCTCATTGACTCCCCGATCGATAACAAATGTCTTGCGATCGGTAGCTCATATCAGAGCGCATTGACTTCCCGATCGACCAACAAATCTCTTGCGTTCGGGAGCTCTTATCAAAGCTCATTGACTCCCCGATCGATAACAAATGTCTTTTGATCGGTAGCTCTTATCAGAGCCCATTGACTCCTCGATCGACCAACAAATATCTCACAATCGGGAGTTCTTATCAGAGCTCATTGACTCCCCGATCGATAACAAATGTCTTTTGACCAGAAGCTCTTATTAGAGCTTCTTGACTCCCCGATCGACCAGCAATTGTCTTGCGATCGGTAGCCCTTATCAGAGCGCATTGATTCCCTGATCAACCAACTAATGTCTTGTGATCGGTAGGTCTTATCAGAGCTCATTGACTCCCCGATCGACCAACAAATGTCTTGCTATCGGGAGCTCTTATTAGAGCCCATTAACTCCTCGATCGACCAACAAATGTCTTACGATCGGTAGCCCTTATCAGAGCGCATTGATTCCCTGATAAACCAACAAATGTCTTGTGATCGGTAGGTCTTATCAGAGCTCATTGACTCCTCGATCGACCAGCAAATGTCTTGCGATCGGTAGCTCATATCAGAGCGCATTGACTCCCTGGTCGACCAACAAATGTCATGCGATCGTGAGCTCTTATTAGAGCTCACTGACTCCCCGATCGACCGACAAATGTCTAGTGATCAGTAGCTCTTATCAGAGCCCATTTACTCCCCGATCGACCCACAAATGTCTTGTGATCAGTAGCCCTTATCAGAACCCATTGACTTCCCGATCGACCAATAAATGCCTTGCGATCGGTAGCTCCTATCAGCGCCCATTGATTTTACAATGGACCAACAAATTTCATCTGTTTGGTAGCTCTTATCAGAGCTTATTGACTCCCGATCGATCAACAAATGTGCGATCGGGAGGTCTTATCAGAACTCAGTGACTCCCCGATGGAGCAAAAAATGTCGTGTGATCGGTAGCTCTTATTAGAACACATTGTCTCCCCGATCGATCACAAATATCTTGCAATCGGTAGCTCTTTTCAGAGCTCCTTGACTCCCCGATCGACCAACAAATCTCTTGCGATCGGGAGCTCTTATTAGAGCTCATTGACTTCACGATCGACCAACAAATGCTTGTGATCGGTAGCTCTTATCAGAGTTTATTGACTTCTTGATCAATAACAGATCTCATTGGCTTCCCGATCGGTAACGAATGTCTTGCGATCGGTAGCTCTTATCAGGGCTCCTTGACTCCCCGATCGATGAACAAATATCTTGCGATCGGTAGCTCTTATCAGAGCTCCTTGTGTCCCGATCGACCAAAAAATGTCATGCGATCGGGAGGTCTTATCAGAACTCAGTAACTCCCCGATCGATAATAAATATCTTGCGATCGGTAGCTCTTTTCAGAGCTTCTTGACTCCCCGATCGGTCTACAAATGTAATGCGATCGGGTGCTCTTATTAGAGCTTATTGACTTCCCGATCGACCAAAAAATTTCTTGTGATCGGGAGCTCTTATCAGAGCTCATTGACTACCCCGATCGACCGGCCAGTGTTTTGCGATCGTCAGCTCTTATCAGAGCTCCTTGACTCCCTTATCAACCTACAAATGTCATGTGATCGGGAGCTCTTATTAGAGCTCATTGACTTCCCGATCGATAACAAATCTCATTGACTCCCCGATCGGTAAGAAATGTCTTGCGATCGGTAGCTCTTATCAGAGCTCTTTGATTACCCGATCGACCCACAAATGTCTTGCGGTCGTAGCTCTTATCAGAGCTCGTTGACTCCCCGTTCGACCAACAAATGTCTTGCGACCAATAGCTCTTATTAGAGCTCTTAGACACCCCGATCGATTAACAAACGTCTTGCGATCGGTAGCTCTTATCAGAGCGCATTCACCCCTGATCGACCGACCTTTTTTTCGATCTGAGGCTCTTATAAGAGCTCATTGATTCCTCACTCTAATCATTGACTCCCCAATCAATCGAAGCTGTCGCCTTCGAGATGAATCTCCTGGAGCCTTGCACGCTCTGGTCTGAATAACTTTAGAAGAAGCAACACCGTGTTTATGTGGCTGCCCCCCAACAAACTTGAATTGATGTGATGACATTTGTTTCTTGTAAGTGCGGATGTTTTTGTTGAATACATCAAAGCTTGTTTCTCCTTCATGAGGTCTGAGCACAGAATGCTTTCCGCTGCAACCTCAGCAAAACTTCCATATTTGAACCTTCTTCTCTACCAATCTCTTGAAATTTCTTAGCTATTGCAGCTTGGAAGTTTAACGCACAAACAAATCATAACTGAATTTCTTTTGCCTTTGTATATAAGGCAAGGTCAGTGTTACTGTATTCTCCGAGTGAACAGCATCTGTCATTTATTTTTTCCGGAATATTCTAATATATTTCTCAAACTCTCCTTTTTTTGGTTTCCTTAGCAACCATTGCCATGGTAAACAACCGAAATAATAATCCATGAAGTATTTTTGATCGCGCTTGATTTGGTCGAAATGCATTATGTGATCGTAATATTCCCGCGCGTTGTAAAATATTGGAAGGATAATAAACAGAATAGCCTCCATTTGGCGCGAAAACACACTCAAATATTTGCCTTAGATATTTTCTGTTCCTCAAAGGTCACATAATTTATTGAGTAGTTCCGGATATATTGCTGAAAAGTTCCTGAACACACAAATTTTGGTACTTCCAAAAGCATTTCACCGTCCCTGATCGCAAGTCACAAACTAACCCCGCAACACTTGTGACTACGACTAACATGGCGATGATCTCTGGGTATCAGGCCATTATGATCTAATGTCATTATAATCTGAAGAGGGGGTGCTACGAGGTCGACTTTTTCTGGCGTCTTCCTCCACCATCAATTGCCTTACCTTTAAGCGCTGGACTGTGGTCACATCAAAACGCCACAGAATGGAAGTAAATTCGGAGAGGAAACAACGTATCCTCATTCCATAAGATTTTCTTGTGACGAAGGCTTCATACTTTTGGGATCTTCTGTAAGATACTGTCTTTCCACTGGAATATGGAGTGGTCAGCAGGCTTTGTGTCAAGGTAAAAATGGCTTGTCCTGATCGTGGAGATTGGGAGTTGATAAGAATTTAAACCTTGCATTGACTGTTATTGAACTTAAAAAAATTGCATGATATTGATGAAATCTGGAGAATTTTTTGCTTAGCAGGATGTCAGATTTACTTTGTTGAATCCGGCCAAAAACCTAAGGTATCCAAATTTGACCAAAAGAATGCAAACTGTTAAGAATACCTCACAGGTCTATCTTCCAGATTAGCGGGACAAAATGTAACAGTTATCATTCTTGTCTTTTCGTTAGCAGATATCTTATTCAATAGTTTTGTCAAAGAGACTAAGAAGATATACCTCAAGCAAAAGCCATTTTGCTTAAAATGTTCGAGTTCGTGATTGGAACCAAAGACAGTGACCCACGAAGCGATCAGGCACCCTCTTGTAAAATTAGCAGAACAGATGATGATTTAAAATTCAAGTCCTTTTTCTCCAATATCAGTATGTTCTAAAAGTGTTACTGAATATTGGGCCCAAAGTTATGCCTATGTTTAAAATGGGTTATTACCGTCTAATTTTAGCCAAAGACTGCGGTCCACTTGCATTGCCGTTAAATGGATCTTCCTTTGGAAGCGACACTACCTTCCCAAATGTCATATCATTCTACTGCGATGTCGGCTTCATAATGATTGGGACACAAACAAGAAAATGTCAGGCAAACGGCAAATGGAGTGGTAACGAAACAACTTGTAGAGGTAAATAAAATGAATAAAACGTGACTCGCAGAATTTTCGGTAAGAACAGAAACCTTGTTAGTATCTGTAGAAAGGTAACTAAGGAATACGGGATTAAAAGTAAAACCGACTTTGCACTCACATAGGTTAGTTCGTTTTCAGCCTCCAATAGATTCACTTAACTTTGGACTTTTGACGCAGTGTCACGCTTTGTTCGCTCATTCAGTTGCTAATTTTGTATGAAAGATATTTAGAGACTTGTTCGAATTTCAAACAGCTTCTCGAGAGGGATTGTCGTAAGAAAGGTATTGAAATGCAACTAAACCACAAACATGAGTTGTCCTTCTTTTTCAGAAATCTCTCTCTTAACTAGAAATCAATTTTTTTGTTACCAAATGTTTCTTCTTTTAAAGGTAACAGTACACAGTTCACAATTTTTCCTTTTAATTTTTCCAGCTGTTGAATGCGGTTCCCTAGCGATGCCAACGAATGGTTCTACGTATGGCGAACTTACTACTTATCCCAATAAGGTGTACTTCAATTGCGTTGAGGGATTTGTCCTCCAAGGATCTTCTATAAGAGTTTGCATGGCAAATGGATCTTGGAGTGGAACTGAGACTCTCTGTGAAGGTGAGTTGGATAGTTAAAGAACGTCTTCACCAATTCTTGTCAAGTCTGTCGTTCTAAGTTCGGATCAGTCGTCTCTAATAACAACCATTATTATATCGCTGGCAGTGCCCGTGGGCAATATGAAGCAAATCCTGTGTTCTGATCGAGATTGCCTACCCTGATCCCACGCAAGAAAAAGGAAATTAGTTGGAACGGACAAACAAAGTTCGTAATTTTTGGACAACTTCTGCCTTAGATTCACAAAACGCGGCAACCGTGATTGTTTCATTTCACTGTGGTACTTGTAGCGCAAAATTGTAAAACAATAGAGGTACTTTAAGTGTAATAAATTGTCAAATATTCTGCGGTAAAAATTGCTTTGATAGTGGTCAACGTTTATCCCAAAGATCTGCACCTTTTTTTAATCTTTTTTACTGGAATTGTCTTGTGGTAATGGCGACACTAAATACTCAGGGATGCGTTTTATGGAAGTGAAAAATACTAGAGGAAAATCTTGCTAATGAAACATGTGGAGCTAGTTGGTAAGGTGTAGGATAACTGTTAACTTTCTTGTCCTTAGCTATTAACTGCGGTGAATTAGCTGTTCCGCAAAATGGAACGTTGCAGGGATCTGCCACTACCTTCCCGAATGGAGTTGATTTTTCTTGCGACGAGGGCTTTGTGCTCGAAGGATCTGATTTCAGAAGGTGCCAAGCCAATGGAACATGGAGTGGAGGGATCACGTATTGCAGAGGTAATGAAAACACACACAAGGGCACTGAGCTGTAAGAAAACATTCCGCGAAATTCATATAAGTTATCCTTACTCGCCTCGCCTTACCTCCCCTCCCCTCCCTTCCGTTGTAGGCTTCGGCATCATTTCTCCGACCTTAATTCGTTTACATATTTCTCGCGTACATAAGTATTATTTCATTTTGTCAAAAAGATGAAGATCCATCACTGATTAATTTCCCACTTGTAGCTAAAGATTGTGGAAAATTACCTTTTCCAATGAATGGTTCAGTTTTTGGAAGTCAAACTACTTTTCCAAACAAGCTACAATTCTCATGTGACAACGGCTTTGACCTGATTGGGTCCACTGTCAGGAGGTGTGAGGCAGACGGGATGTGGAGTGGACAACAAACAGCTTGTCAAGGTAAAAGAAACGATAATATTTTATCATCATTTGGCTGAAATGAGTGCTTTAAAGGACTACATTTCTTAATGCAGGTATTCATTAATTAACTGATATTAGTTGAATTTTACCCATCGTATCAACACAAATATTGTCGGGGAGACCAACAGTGTTGAAGGCAAACAGTGAATGACACAATAACACCACTCCGTTTGCGCACGGCAATTGTATTTTGTTATTATCATTATTTTTTAAAATTTGCTACTGTTTTCTTTTCTTATATCTCACAGCTGTTGATTGTGGACCATTGCCTTTACTTCTAAATGGCACCTATCTAGGAAATTTGACCACGTATCCAAATGAGGTGTTATCATTCTGCGATGAGGGGTTTTTGTTAAGAGGTTCAGCACGAAGATTCTGCCAGGCGAACAGAACTTGGAGCGGCATCCAAACAACATGTGCAGGTAAAGAGATCTGAGGCGTGTTCGACTAAGAAGCAGAAGGCAAAAAAAAATTCTGTGAGGATTTGGACAACAGACCCTCTGATTTCGCGATCTTACGATCTGCTCATTGAGCTTCAGGGAACTCGTTGATGAGGCCACATCTAGGTCCATGACGTTCGTGACAATTTCTTAGGGACTTTTGAAATAATTTTTTGTTTTACATTCAGCGACCATCTTTTATACTACACGGGACCTTCTTAGATGCTATCAGTATGCAAGGGGCTTGTTCTTAATATGACTGGTTCACCACAGAGTTTTCACAAATCCTCTGCAGAAATGGTTTTCTTTTTTCTCTCATTAGCGACAAATGCCTTACGTATTTCGTTATTCGACAACTGAGCTGAAGAATTAATTTTGTACGAATTGTGTTCTCTTTTTTAGCCCATTACGGAATTTATTTTAAAACCAAACAGCTTTTCAAGACTGTTCATTATCGTACCAATTGCATTGAAAGAGTAAAGGTAGTGCATATGTAGATTCCATTGGCCGTGAGTCTTAGTTATGCTTGTTTTTATTCCTTCTCTGTGGGATTATCTGTGGGTCCTCCAGTTTTATTTTCCTTACAAAATCTTGCGCTCTAAACTCCCAGTTGATGATTTGAATGACTGTAAACTTACAGCTTATTGAAATAGGAACACTTTTAACGAAAGGGCTGTAATATATATTTATTGGTTGGTGGAATTGCTCTTTTGGCCTGACTGTTTAAATGCAAATCTTGACATATCATATTTTTGCCTTCAATCAAATTTCCGTATTTATGCATATTCACTATATACACATGTTTTTAATCTATCAGCGGTTGATTGTGGACCTCTACCTGTTCTTATCAATGGTTCTTCTTACGGATCGCTGACCTATTTTCCGAATTCGATACAATTTTCTTGTGATTCTGGATTTCTTTTGAGAGGCTCATCAGGGAGAAGTTGTTTACCTACTGGTTTGTGGAGCGGAAGCAATACCACCTGTGAAGGTCAGCTATTAGTAAAGTGGAGTTTGTTTTTACATTTTCTACAATTCCTTTCCAGTTGATCGAACCATTGAATAGCATTGAGTACTCTGCAAGACGCAGACGTACAAGATGTATCAAGAACGTACTACCAGAAGATGGAACTTATGAAAAAGTGACATCAATCTCGCCTAAAACGCACCAAGCGAACTCAGCGGAACTCCCGCTGGAGCTGCTGCATTTGTTGGCTATTGCTAAGAAAATGGCGTTCTGTCATGACATCACTGCTTACGCGTAGTTTCCCAGTTTTGTACTCAAGTGTTGATTATATTTTATCTCGACTTATCTGTTTTCTAGCAATTGATTGCGGAACACTTGCTGTGCCTATGAATGGGAGTTTTAAGGGAACCAGGACTTATTTTCCGAACGTATTACAGTTTTCTTGCGATGAAGGCTTTATCCTGGGCGGGGCTACAGAAAGGCAATGTTTAGCCGACGGTTCATGGAGCGGAAATGACACATCATGCAAAGGTTTGATTTTACCAAAAAAAAGAAAAAAAGAATTAACGAAACTAAATACTCATAGTTGTTGGTCGTAGCTGGGAGAACACCTTTTTCGCGTCAATTTTGCCACATTTGCGTAGTGATTATTTTTTTTTCATCGTTATTCTATGGATTTCCTATCTAGGAAAGTTATCAGAAAATATGTAGAATTACAAAACTAATACCACATCCGTAAAGGTTAATAGCTCAGGCATGTTCCATTTGCTCTGAAACAAACAAACAAGGATAACAACAACAGTTTTTAATTTAGGTATGTGGTATTCATTAGAGTCATTGTGCTCCTTTCAGCGGTTGACTGTGGCCCTTTGCCTGTTCCAAGAAATGGATCCTCTCATGGCGACATGACTGTTTACCCCAATAGTGTCTGGTTTTCCTGTGACGCTGGATTCTTTCTGAAGGGATCGTCGAGAAGAATGTGCCAGGCAAATGGAACTTGGAGTGGCTCTTTGGCAAACTGCAATCGTTAGTAGAGACCAAAGAAAGAAAAAAAAACCTTGAGGTTTCATTTCCAAAAAAAAGTTATAACTTACACTTAGAATTTTAATCTGCGCCTCTATACAAGCATGTTGTAATCTATTACTAAATATAGACTTAGGTAATGGTGTAGGTATTCTTGTAATGTTGACTCTTATGGGAGAAGCCAGTCTTCCCACTGAACGGTCGGACGGACGGATGGATACAGACCCTTACATTTTAAATGAAAGATTCAGTAGAAAGATACCATAAACTAAGGTATGTTCGTGTCTTTGGGTGAAAATACTTAATTGTGAAAACGTCAATATTATAAAAAAATTCTCTCATAGAGAACGACTGCTTACATCCTGTACCTTTACTTGTCTTGAAGCTTTGTGCGACTAATGTAAATGTTTGTTGAAAATAACATGTCTTTCTATTTTAAGCTGTTGAATGCGGACAAGTCACAGCCCCTGCAAATGGCTCTGTACGTGGAAATTACACAACATTCCCAAACAAACTGCATTTTTACTGCGACGATGGATTTATACTGAGCGGATCGTTTATGAGACGTTGTACTGAAACTGGGACATGGAGTGGTGAACAAACAGTGTGCATTGGTAAGAAGCAATAGCAGAACTTATTACGAGTTGTAGGTTTTTGCTGGTTTACTTCGTGATGCTAACAATGTTGTCTTTCATCTCTTACAGCGAAGGACTGTGGCCTCCTTAGGACTCCTCAGAATGGTTCCATGTTGGGAACTGAGACCACCTTTCCCAATGTGGTAACATTTACTTGTGATGAAGGGTTTTTGATGGATGGTCCGAACAGAAGGAGATGCCAAAACGACGGAACTTGGAGTGGAAACGAAACAATATGCGCAGGTTTGAGATTAAAGACTTGGATTTGAGGTTCTTTTGCACATGTATTAGTTTGATTTTAGTGTACAATTCCTTTTTGCAGCCATTGATTGTGGGAAGTTAAAGAGTCCTAAAAATGGATCATTGCATGGTGAACGTACAGTGTTTCCTGAAAGCTTACGATTTAGTTGTGATATTGGTTTCGTAATGGGCGGATCACCTGTTCGACAATGCCAACCAAACGGAACATGGAATGGGACTGAAACCACTTGCAGTGGTAAGAATTACTTTTCAACAAGTTGAAACGAATTTATAGATATACAATGTCATTTAACAAGGCTCCAAGCTCATCTCTTCAAAAAAACGCCTTTATGGCGACCTTAAATTGTAAAATGGCCGCCATTAAAAATATGTTTGGTAGTCCTTCCCCTCAATACCACTTAAAGGAAAAGAAAACCCTCATAAATGAGAGGCAATCTCATGGTGTACTACATGATGTATCTAGGGAGCCGAACGATGCGTTTGCAACCCTTTCATCTGCCAAATTGATGCGTTCACTCGCTTTCTGGTTTAAGGATTGTGTCAACGGTCACGAGAAAAAGGGTAAAGTGGTTTAAAGTCTGGTATCAGAAATGATTTGCAACAAAGTGATTGCGAATGGATTCATGCTATTTTGGTCGATTTCCCAGCAGAGAAACATCTCATTTTAAGTGAGTTAAACTATTGGTATTAAAACCTTCCATACTGTCAACAACATGTTAAATCAGTTGATGGTTAAACACCATGCTTCGTACTGCAAAGTTACCAGTTAGAGCTAAATGCTGAAAATAATACCTCGACAAAATCAGTTTGACTTGGTCACCGCTCACTTTAGGTTAATGCGCATGTGAGAATTAAGGAACGGCGAGAGAGAAAAGGAGATAGACAAGAGATTATTGCGTATGTTTGCTTCGTAAGTCGACCTCCCTCTCTTTTTCAATCTGTTAGGCACAAATTTAGGCCGCAAAATTTATTTTTCACTCGCCATGGCGACAAAAAATTGTCGCAGCTCAGAGTGTTGTAATTTAGATGGATTAAGTTTATCTTTGTGTTTCTTTAATTCGTTTTCTGGTTTTATCGTTCAGCGATTGATTGCGGTAGACCTCCAACTCCACTAAATGGTTCAGTGTATGGAGATAAAACCACGTATCCTAACATTTGGCACTTTTCATGTGACGAGGGGTTCACTCAGCATGGTTCTACAGAAAGGAAATGTCAGCCAAATGGAACTTGGAGTGGGAAGAGTACTTTTTGCCAAGGTAGCTTGCATTTATGTGTTAAGCTGAATTATGCTTTTTTTCTTTCACTTCTGATCGATTAGAGGACGGAAGCATACAAGACATCACCGTTAACAACATTTTGCTTTCTTATCATACAAGACAAAGGTTACCGGTCGTTTCGTTTAAAGTAAGGTCGGTTTCTTATTACGAATAGCAGTATCACCATCATTAAATAAGTTTTGTTGACGCGGTGTACATTATTGAAGAACGATCCCCTAGTGCAAGGCCTGGGACCGAGAATGCGGGAGTCATAGGACAGACGCAAACAACATTTCGTCCTGAAACATTTTACAATTTTTTTCATTCCATCCCAAATTAACCGACACAGCAACCTAAAGTAAAAGTCTTAAAAATTATAGAGCTGAATTGAATTACTATTTTTTGCTTTCTAATGTACTATACTTAATGACAACATGTCGTAATAGCGTTCAGGTTCATTCGATTACGGCTCAGTTGATCTTGGCGCATTCTTTCAGTAATTGTTTTAGCGAATAGCAGGTAGTTTAGGGTTAACAACTGAGTTGAAAACGTAAATTGGCCAGACTAGCTTTTTTACCCTTTACCCTTTTTGATTTTTACATTATCCGACTCAGGAACCCAAGTTTTTTTTATAAACAGGAGGAAGTAATTTCATTTCTTTCTTTCTTTCTCTCGTTGTAGCAAATGACTGTGGAAACCTATCAGTTCCGCAAAACGGATCCCTGTTTGGGAGTGAGACAACTTTTCCAAACGTCATTACCTTCAGCTGTGACGAGGGTTTCATATTGAAAGGATCGAAAGTCAGAAAGTGTCAAGCCAATAAGACATGGACTGGAAACACTACTTATTGCGATGGTAAGATAAGGCAGGCAATCAACGTTTTCTCCCAGGACTAGAGACCATATATTGTGTCTCTAATCACATTTTCTGCAAGGATCTAGTGGGTCTTTCCTTTTTTTTTTTTGGTCTCTTACGTTGCACTCCAGTGGAGTTAAGCAGACTATATAAGTATGTAACACTAAGACAGATGTAAAAGTGAAATGAAAAGTTCATGCAGATTTCATGGCACTGTAGTAAAAACTTTGGAAAGTATTGGCTCTCACTCTGTACTTTATTTTTTTGCATTGTATTTGTTCAACCGTAATAGCACGGACAGGGAAACAATATGTTTTACAAAATAAACCAATGACCAATGGCAACTAATGACCAAAATACTTAGCCTTAGCAAACAAGCATTTTTTTATGATTTGTTCGCTTGTTTTGTTTGTTTGCTTGGCTTTTTCCTCAGTTTTGGTACTAGTCCAACCACTTATGGCTTATAATTTTTTTTTTCCAGCTGTCGATTGTGGCTCACTTGACTCTCCAATGAATGGCTCTTTTTTCGGTAACCTCACGGTTTTTCCAAACAGCGTTCGGTTTGATTGTGATGCGGGGTTTATTCTTAGTGGTTCCTCTGTGAGAACGTGTCAGTCGAATGGTATCTGGAGCGGATATGAAACAAAGTGTAGTGGTGAGATTATCAGTCTAAAAGGCCTTATAGAGGTTACTACTCCGGCTAGCGATCGTTATCACATCTAACACGTTTTTTCCTCGAAATGCTGTTCAATTCGACGAAGAAAAATTAAAAAAATAATTTTAAAAAAACAGACGGATGGACAATAGACGAGATGGACAGAATCGAAATTTCTATCCTTTGACTCAATAGCGTAAGTACAAACTGCTCAGTTCGTATTGAGGTCAATAATACTGTTTCATGTTTTCCCTAATTATTTTTGTTGTTGTTGTTGCTTTAGCTATTGATTGTGGGCCATTACCTGTTCCACAAAATGGAAGTTTATTGGGCAAAATGACCGTATACCCCAGCATTCTGCAATTTTTCTGTGACGAAGGATTTACACTGCACGGATCTAGTTACAGAAAGTGTCAAACAAATGGAGCATGGAGTGGAAACAGCTCTTTTTGCAAAGGTGCAAACGGAATTTTGTTATTCTGTAATCGCTTATTTTACATAGAAAATAATTTATCTTAAAGCAAGGTCAGAGAAAGGTTTGGCGGAAACTTAGATTTATGCTTGTGCCCCCAAATGGACGTGCAGTAACTCAATTTAGGTAACAATCTTCCAATGTTTTTGCAATTAACTGAGCATCAAAAACACATTGTATGTGGGGATTTTTTATTTGTTAGTTGGTTTCTTTGGCTTATCTCCGACAAAATCCGATTCTTAGTTCATTTTCGTTTCCTTCTAACGTTTAGAGAACGATTGTGGTCCATTGTCAGTACCTATGAACGGCACCTCATTCGGAAATCTAACAACGTTTCCAAACGAGATCAGGTTTACATGTGATGAAGGTTTCATTTTACATGGATCTGTTTTGAGACAATGCCAAGCTAACAAGTTGTGGAGTGGAAATGACACATTTTGTGAAGGTAATAAACCTTAATTCTCTACCTATTGCTGCAATTTGAAACGGAGATGAAATGGAACAAATGTAGATGAAAAGCTATCGAAAGTACTGTAACTACTGCCTCATGAATGTAATTTTTTTACAGCTGTTGATTGCGGTCACTTAGACAGTCCAAAAAATGGCTCGTTGTCCGGTGACTCGACAGTGTTCCCAAATAGTCTACAATTTCAGTGTGACTTGGGGTTCATTCTTAAAGGATCCAGAATTAGAAAGTGCCAAGCGAATGGCACATGGCATGGATTTAAGACCTCTTGCCATGGTAAGTTATTACACTTCTGATATATACATTATTCTTATTTCTTTCCCATCAAGTTGAGGCTTAACGAATAGTCTAGTTTAAGTATTTGATCCGGAAAGGACCAATGTCAGTATCTGAGCAACTGGGCACCCACCTCTCCCCTAACCCAACAACAGCCGACTGATATCAAGCGAGAGTTACTGTTGGGTTAGGAGAGGGAAAGGTGTGTAGTTGCTCGGCTGCTGATTTCGATCTGGAAACTTACTATCTAACAAGATCTCAATAATGATAAAAACTAACCAAGAAAAGACGGTCAACCCATGGTACCCGTGCGAAACAAGAACGAATAATTTTTAAACGTCACCCCTACACGTAAATGACTATGCATAGGAGTTCGCGCACGAGAAGCTGTTCGTCTATTTCCTTGGAGAGTTATCTTCTATCATGTTACAATGGAGGATAGAATGAGCATCTATCTAAGCTTCCTCACTAACAGTTTCCTTCACCTGCAGCTATTGATTGCGGACAGCTACAAGCACCTCACAATGGAAGCATGATCGGTAAAAATACGACCTATCCCAACATGCTGCTGTTTACTTGTGATGTTGGGTTTACACTAGTCGGAGCCGTTGTTAGGAAGTGTCAAGCAAATGGAACATGGAGTGGAACCGACGCACTATGCCAAGGTGAAAAGAAACTTTCTTTTATGAGCAAACTGAACCATCATGATTCCCCTCTTAAACATGAGTACATGAACCTTCCCTATATTTACTATTTCTTGTTTTAAATTACTTTGTTAGAATTATTTGGTTTTTTTATTTAGTTTCTTTGTTTCTTCGTCTGCTTTTCTATTTTTGTTGTAACTTTAGATGCAGTGATGGAACTATCTTAATAAATGTATCAATAGTTGTATTGTGTTTATGTTGTTGTACGTGCCACTATTGTGACATGTTGAGGAAGTGCCGTAGTAGAGATTTTCCGTTTATCAGAGAGAGATGCGGTAAGAACGCTTGAAACAAAGAATTCTCTTTTTTTGAGATATATTTTATTTGCCCTTGTAAACCTCAGGGGTTTCGATTAACATTTTAAAAATTGAGAGTGACCAGTATCTAATTTCTCCTTACGGTGATATGGCTGAATCATTCATGAGATCATGAGAATATAGGAGTTGATCAAAGAAACTTTGATTGTTAAACAAATTCTCCTTCAGTACTTAAGAAAAACGTATAGAAAAGAGTATGGAGAACATGGATGCTGATGTTAGAGTGTAAAGGGTTAAAACCGGCAACCGGTGGTCTACCTCCGCTTATAAGACCCCTTACCGCCGTCTGTTAACCCTGCAAGCGGGCTCTCGTTCTTCGTTTCGCCTTACTGTCCCTCCCGAGGTGCCGTGGCTTCCCTTATCCCTGGGAGCTATGGCTTATAACACGAACGGCAGCCGCTAATAGAAGAGTTATCGAAATCCTATAAACCTGTGAGGCAGAAATGTGTTGAGGTGTTTTCTATTCATTTTGTGCTTTTTCGATACAAACCTGTTCTTAATCTTATTATCTGTTCAACTCAGCAAATGACTGCGGACCTTTGTCCGTTCCCTTGAATGGCAGCCTTACTGGTAAACTGACTACTTATCCCAACAAGGTCAGCTTTGGTTGCGATAAAGGTTTTGTTCTGAGAGGGTCTGCAGTGCGACAGTGTCAACCTAGTAAACAGTGGAGTGGAAATGACACATTTTGTGAAGGTATGTTTGAAATAATTTTGTTGCTTTTAATAGAAAACGAACTGAAACTCACAGAAGAATTGCAACGGAAGAAATTTCAGAAAATGAAGCCGTATCATAAAGGTCTCGGCAGGGCTCGAACCCATGCCATTGAGATATTCGTTGGCTTTTTTTTGGATTTAACTACCATTTTAGCTCCGAACCCGCATGTCAAATTATTATTTATTAATTATTATTAGCAAAAGATTGTGGAGTGCTTGCTATACCCATGAATGGATCGCTGGAAGGATCACTCACAACCTTTCCGAACAAAATTAGTTTCGGCTGTGATGAGGGCTTCATCCTGAGAGGCTCAAAAGTTCGGAGGTGTCTATCAAACGGGAAATGGAGTGGAAACAAAACATATTGCGAAGGTAAACTTTCAATTTGCTGGTGTGTGTTAATTAACGTTGGATATAGAGTGTTGTAAGTGCTATGCATCGATATAACCATATAGGAGCTTTAACTGTATCATTACTTTCCTCCATTAGCTAAAGATTGTGGTGAGCTAGTGACTCCAACCAACGGGTCTTCATTTGGTAACCTAACAACATATCCGCACGAAAAGATATTCAGTTGCGACGAAGGTTTTATTCTGCGAGGGTCGAGGACAAGGCAATGCTTGCCAAGTGGAAACTGGAGTGGGAACACTACTATCTGTGTCGGTACGTATATTTAACAAATGTTCCATGAGCGTGCGTTGGATATGAGAGTTGGATATAACCAATCACGTATCTAACAAGCACGAATGGAATAGATGTATTTTCAGTTCTGCAACAGTTGGCGCAATGCATTTCCATATAAGGTGAATATGGAAATAATATATAATAATATGAGCCGATAACCGGAGTTTAATGAACCTATCAGAACCCTAGAAATTCTATATTCGGCGTTAAAAATTTAATAAATTGTAATATTATTTATGTAACAAGATGACTGTTGTTTTGGACAGTATACCTTAAGTAGCTGAAAGAAAATAAATGAGATCGTAAAGATTTCAAAATGATGTCCGTTGGTATAACAAAAACTGTTCATTGCGTTAGATCTAAGTTCAGTTTCTTTTTTGTTATGGAGAAGTTATGTTTACTACCATCTGTCGTCCGTTTGTTTATGTTGAATTCTTGTAGCACCACGTTTTGATCATTTTACAATTGTGTTCTCGAGATTTAATAATCTAATAGTCAGTAATCTCTTATTAACCTTAGACAATTAATAGTCAATAAACTAAAGACTTCTGAATGTTATAGCCAAAGATTGCGGTCCTTTACCTGTTCCATTAAATGGCTCCCTATTTGGAGAAAAGACAACATACCCAAACCAAATAACTTTCAGTTGTGACGACGGCTTTGTTCAGAGAGGTTCAGTTGTTAGAAGGTGTCGGTCAAATGGAACATGGAGCGGTGATACCACGTTTTGCAAAGGTAAAGTATTAATCCCCACGGTATCAACGAACGCTTTTCATTCAACTGATTTATTCTTGTTTTCCTCGTTCCCTTATCCCCACTATTACTATAGCTCCATTTTTTGCATAAAAAACACGCACAAGCCACAATTCCTCTGTGTGCTCTGACGAAGGGCAAACGCTTTACACGTCAGCTAACTAACTCTTTACGTTGGCTAATTCACATCATCAATTTAGTCGATAAAAACAAATAAAGAAATAACAAGCCTTGAAATTAAGCTTTTTTTTTATGACAGCCGTTATGACCATTAGACGAATAGCTTGAATTGTATCTCTCCTCTGGAGAAGTACTACCTGTGAATTGATTTTTTTCCGTTTCATTTTATTCCAGCCAAGGATTGTGGTCCTCTTCTGGCTCCAGTAAATGGCTCCTCTAGCGGAAAACTTTTTACGTTTCCCAACATAGTATCATTTCGTTGCGATGAAGGATTCATTTTAAAAGGATCTGAAGTAAGGAAATGTCAGGCCAACGGTGTGTGGACTGGAAACGACACCATTTGTGAGGGTGAGAACAAAAGAAAGGACGAGGCCAACTATTGCCGCTAAGGCACCTACGTCAGTGATATTTACCTGAATGAAAAACGTGTAATATGTACCTTCTACTATATTAAAGCCAGAGGCAATATTGATTTAAAGTCCACCCATTTTTTCAGTACTTTCTTTAAGTTTTTTGCTGTCACCTTTGTTTTTTTGGATTCGTTTTATTTTGCATTTATTCGTTTCTACCATTTTAGCTGTAGACTGTGGTGTTCTTTCATCTCCTTTAAATGGATCCTCTTCTGGAAATCGGACGGTGTACCCTAATAGTGTGCGATTGTGGTGTGATTCTGGATTCGTTTTGCATGGTTCCTGGCTAAGAACTTGCCAATCTAATGGAAAATGGGATGGAAACGAAACCATTTGTGAAGGTAAAAAGCCCGGTGGTGAAATTGCGCCCAATTACGCTTTCTTAAGGTTACTTTGTTTCTTACTAAAATAGCGATCTCTAAAACAGTTTGAATTACATTAATTAATTATTTTTCGGCAGTTACTGCGTTCTTTTGATTGTTATTTCATTTGTTTTCGTTATTTTCGAAGCTATCGATTGTGGAGAGCTTATGACCCCACAGAATGGCACTATGTTTGGGAAAGTGACAACGTACCCAAATATCTTAAAGTTTAATTGTGACGAAGGCTTTATTTTGACCGGATCGTCTGTGAGGAAATGTGGATCTAATGGTACTTGGAGTGGCAATGAAACTAAGTGTCAAGGTTCGACAATCTTTTCTTTTTCTACATTTAGATAAAACTAAGTAACTTACCTTGAAAATTTTGAGCCATTGAGACTCATATTAACCAAAATTCAAGCGTCCCTTTTCTGTCTCCTTCTTCTGCACATTTTAATATTGTCATCCTATCTGGTTGCATACCTGTGCTGTCGAAATATTTTCGCAACCTGACTCTGAGCTGGGTTCAGCGGCTAACTTAAGTTGTAGAAAACTCAAGAGGAAATCATGCTGCTTTCTAGTGTAGTTAAACAAGCAGTTTATTTGCGACGTTGGTGATGATTCATGATAATGATGACGATGATTATTATTTTATTTAGCGAAAGATTGTGGTCCCCTAGCCGTTCCAGTGAACGGCTCGTCTATTGGCGATCTGACAGTATTTCCACACAAAGTCGTCTTCAATTGCGATGAAGGATTTCTCCTCAGCGGCTCTCATATCAGGGTTTGTCAAGCTAACGGAACTTGGAGTGGGAATCAGACATTCTGTCAAGGTCTTTCTTTGCTCTTTATTCAGTGAGATTAGATTTTGAGAAGATGCTAGTTGTACTGTATCTCAAAATAACTCGGTCGTATTTAGCGAAACAAACTTTTGATCTTCTAAATTTTTAATGGGACAATGGATATTATCCGTCGCTTGCAAGGAAAAACAAAAAAGGGAGAAAAGAGACAAACGTTTGCGTTAAATGAGATAAGATGGATCATAACTTTAGACCTTGTCTTCCTGAAATTATTTCGTTGGGTCTTTCAGATTAGAACATTCACTTTGGTAATCTAGAGGACTCTAGGTACCTAAATAAAGAGTCTTCTAAGGGCTATAATCTGTTTTTCTTCGTAGGTCCTGATGAAACTTCTTATTATTTCTTATCTCCCTCTTATTTTTTTTTTCCTTTTTTTCCTCTTATTTCTTTTTCCTTAGCTGTTGACTGTGGTCCTTTGTCTGTTCCTGCGAATGGCTCCTCTCTTGGTGCAGCAACAGTTTTCCCAAATAGTCAGCATTTTATCTGTGATCCTGGATTCATCCTAAACGGATCTGCTTTAAGGACGTGTCAGCCTAATGGAACATGGAGTGGCTTTACAACCACATGTAGTGGTATGTCTGAAGCAGACATCAATAAACACGGACATTTGATGTTGCCTACGTGTTCGTTTTGAAGAAACGCCCGTTAACGCCCAACTGCTATTGTCTTATTGTATGCCCAATTGCGCTTACTTCCTGTTATGGCACTCACTGTCGCGTTCAACTCAGTCTGTTATCATTTGATATTCGCTTTATGTGTGTTCTTTCATGCAATTACAACCTGCTCCACAATTGTTTACATGCTAAATTTCGTTCATGCTGATATGCTTTCTGCCGCCTATTCCCTTTGAGCATTTTGCGCTACTGCTGAACCGATCAACGTGTCAAAACATTTGTATCTTCGATTTCGAAATGTAATTTTGTTTGCTTCATTCGTGAAGGGACGGAACGGGCTGACGGACGAACTAAGGATTCGTCACCTCTGTCACATATTCTCGATCATCGTCTTTTCATGAAGTGCCATTCTTGAATTTGTTCTTGTCGTTCAAACTAAGCAATTTATATCACTGTCACCCAATTAATTGATTTAAACTTACTGTCCAGACCAGCGTTCATAATTTATTAATTATTCTAAAAAGACGTATTTTTTATGGTACCTCTCTTGTTTTCGGCGGTATTGCATTTCAGCTGTTGACTGTGGTCGGCCTCAACCTTTGCGAAATGGGAGCGTCATTGGAGAAAACACAGTGTATCCAAATTTTGTCATTCACAATTGCGACGAAGGTTTTATCCTTCGAGGCCCCGCTAAGATAAAATGCCAAACTAATGGAACCTGGAGTCAAACTGATAGCTTTTGTGAAGGTAAGACCTTGTTTCATACAAATAATCAGTGGATAGTAAAGTAAGACATCGGTGCTCAATCGTGGTGATATGGAATTGGCGATTTTTAAAACAAGTACCAACATATCCCCTGCTTTTGTTTTCAGCTAAGGATTGCGGCAATCTTTCAAAGCCCTTAAATGGTTCCATGACGGGTCTTGAAACAACGTTTCCCAACAAAGTTTCTTTTAATTGCGATGAAGGATTTATTTTAAGTGGTTCAAGTGTGAGGTACTGCCAATCAAATGGGTCCTGGAGTGGCACAGAGACCACGTGCACAGGTAAGGACACCTACAGCAGATAGGTAGATCCCTCCATACAACTGTTTTTAGCTTTGGGTATCTTGCGGCATCTGTAGAAGATGCCACATGACAATTGCAGCGTCTGAATTTTCAATATACTGTTAATTAGGTTAAGGTCTAGACAGTGGTTACATTTAGAGCGCGATTCAGTTACTAAGAGAGGAACAGATGCCTTCTTTGGTTGACCGAGAATCCGACGAAATACTTTTTCCTTATTTTCATTTTTAACTGTTGTGGTGTTTTTATGACAAAGAATGCATTGAAATAGAGATATACGAATTTTGAAAGACAGACATTCTTGTCGACAAGAGCAGACCTACTCGCATTGAAATCCTTTGTAATTTAATTTTTTTCGTAGCTGTCGACTGTGGTTCTTTACATGCACCCATGAATGGCTCATCTCATGGTGTGGCTACAGTGTTCCCCAACGGTATACAATTTAGTTGTGAACCTGGCTTTATTTTAAGTGGTTCAGCGGAGAGAACTTGTCAGCCCAATGGAACTTGGAGTGGAGTCACAACAGTATGCACTGGTAGGATTTATTTACTAATATATATTTTGCAAAGCCGATTGGCCGGGCAAAAAATATTCCCTCCTAATTCTCTACGTAAGTATTGCATAAAGTAAATTTTGGTCGATATATTTTCTCTTATTTCATCAAGCGATAGATTGTGGCCCTCTCGCTGTCCCAACAAATGGCTCCAGTATTGGTTTTCTTACAACTTTTCCAAACAAGATCGACTTCAGTTGTGACGAAGGTTTTTTCTTGAGAGGCTCTCAAACCAGGCATTGTGAGGAAAATGGAACATGGAGTGGAAATCAGACCTTTTGTCAAGGTATCTATAGTTATTTTTGTCTTTCTGAGTTACGCAATACATTTGATTTAGACATGATACATTTATTCTCTTTTATTTGCTGTAAAGTAATAAAAAAATTGACGAAAGTTTTTTTTTATAGTACTTTATGAACCAATAATCACCAATATTGCGCTACATTATTGATCACTAAGTAAGTGTTTTGTAAACTTCTTATTTCAAGCTGTTGATTGTGGTTCCTTATCTGTTCCTGTGAACGGCTCCTCTTCTGGTGACTCCACGTTATTTCCGAATAGTGTGCTTTTTAACTGTGATACGGGCTTCATTCTCAGTGGATCTACTGTAAGGACATGCCAGCCTAATGCGACATGGAGTGGTTCTCCAACTACTTGCAGTGGTAAGTCTAACACGAAGATAAAACTGGTGTGTTTTTGTTCGTGGCTTTACAGAAAGTCGTTTTGGCTTATTGATCGAGGAAACATTTTTTGTGGTTAATGTGAGCCCGATGTGCGGTGTACGCACTAAGCTCACGAAAGTGGCACTAATAAGTGTATTATATCTTGCGCAGTTCGGACTTCAGGTTTTAACAACACCCCTTAACAATATAATTTCTTTTGTTATGTGAAAAAAGCAACTGAAATATTTTGAGAAACAGTCTCACGGCGCGGAATAGAATAGAAACCTTGGTTTGCCACAACTAATAGCTGTTCTTTTATTAGATGAATCTCATGTTTATTGTTTTTGTAGCCATTGACTGCGGTTCGTTATCTGTTCCCATGAATGGATCTTCCTCTGGTAACTCAACGGTGTTCCCCAATAGCGTACACTTTCAATGTGATCCTGGTTTTCTTCTCAGTGGATCTGCCATAAGAACTTGTCAGGCAAATGGGACGTGGGGTGGACTTGAAAGTCTTTGCATTGGTACGTTTGAAGCAGAAAAGGAAAAAAAAGTTGTTAATTAAAAAAAATGTTATCGTCTTGCTACAACGAGACGGAATACGTCAACGCTTTGCTTATGCGACTGAATGTTAAAAATTTCTCACCTTACCTTGCTCTGACCCTAATATCCTTTGTGATCCCTTCACACTGTCGATTCCTTGCTCTCAAGCTTTTGTCTTTTGTGCTAATTTCAAGTTGTTCACATCCGTCGTTATGATTTTGTTTGGGTATACTTTCTAAGTTTTAAAGTCTTCGTTATCAATCTCACGTGATGCTTTTGACTCATTTTATGCTATAAGCGCGCGACAAACCTTTTTCTTTGGTTAGTAAACCTTAAACATAAAACGTCAAGACGAATGGACAGACGGACAATAGTTATCTCCCACTGTGTTTAATATCATTTATCCTGGTATGAAAAGTTCCCTAATGAGCAGTGGTAAGCAATGAAAGCCTTTGTAGTTTTTACGCACACGCTTGATTTCGCATCGTCATGGCAATTGTACTAGATAAAGTTCACAAAACGAAAATTTTGAAATGATCTATAATTTCTTGTTTTACGCACGATGCAAAGGCAACAGCGAGGCGGTAAAATCAATATTTAGGGAGCAGAACAGGAGCTCTGCACGTGCGTTTTAAGAGTTTTTGCATTTCAAAGCTGTTCTCTGTAAAGCAGTAACGTGAAATTCCCGAATGGTGTGTCTTTTGAGAACGGAAAGTCTGACGTTAAATTGTACTCATTAGCTCCAAACCCCCACCTCCTTGTCAGTTATCTTATGCAACGTCACAAGAGGTATATGATGAAGTTGTTGCTCGACGATTTTTAACCGTCGCCTCGTTATTGTTTGAAATTAAGATTTTCAGAGCTTGTTTACTTTCTCAGCCTCTACCATGATTTTTGTTTTTATTCTCAGCTGTTGATTGTGGCAATCCTCAGCCTTTGCAGAATGGAAGTATTGTTGGCAATAAGACAGTCTATCCAAATAGTGTCACCCACAGATGTGATGAAGGATTCATTCTGCATGGCTCCTCAAGGATTACTTGTCAGACAAATGGAACATGGAGCAAAACTTCAAGCTATTGCGAAGGTAAATTTTATCAATTTAATCCAAAGTAGGCCAAAAGTAGTAGCTTATTTCTTGCAGCATTTGGGTGCAACCAAGACATTGTAGCCTATGTTCACGTGGACAAGTGTATTTTACTTTGGATGTGCGGGTAGTCTTAAGATGACGTTTTTCGGGATATTTTAATAGTTATGCGGTTTTGAAAATGTTCATCCATCTTCATCAGGATGTTGTCAGTCTCTACATCCTGTCAATCATATTCAGTGTTACTTTCTCTTTTCACACAGCCAGAAACTGCGGTGTTCTGGATATTCCTGTGAATGGTTCAACAACTGGAAGCAAAACAACCTATCCTAGTAAACTTTATTTTAGCTGCGATGACGGATTCATCTTAAGAGGATCCACAATAAGACAGTGTCTAGCAGATGGGAATTGGAGTGGTAATGACACCTCTTGTGAAGGTAAGGTTTCCCGGTGATCATGCTTTTACTTCCTGCAGAAATTGATTGGTAAGCCCCTCCTGAACTATTCTAGTCGACGCTGCTTGCAGTAAATCTGATTTTCATCAGAATTAACGGAATCGAAATTTGATGTTTATCAGGAGATCGGTTTTTCTTCGTTGGGTAATGCAGAAGTAAAATCAGAGTTAAGCCAGACGTATCGATGCAGAAGCTTTTTTCAATAATTGCAGAATGATTTTGAATGAAATAACCTTTTTCTTAACTCTTTTTTCTTATAGCTGTTGACTGTGGTCCTCTATTGGTTCCCGTGAATGGCTCTTCTTCTGGTAACTTCACAGTTTTTCCCAATAGTGTGATATTCAAATGTGATCCTGGATTCAATCTATATGGATCCCCTATGAGGATGTGTCAGGCTAATGGAACTTGGAGTGGAAAAGCGGTTTCATGTGCTGGTAGGTTTCAACGAAACATGTGAAACGCGTTTGAAGCTTCCTCCACCTTAAGTGTTGTGTGTTTTGCAGTTATGTCAGTTCGCTGAATTCTGCTCTAGCCCGCAAGAACAACACATTAATTCTGCTTTTATTTCTACACAGCGAAAGATTGTGGTCCGCTTGCAGCTCCGACGAACGGTTCTTCAACAGGCGAACTGACATTCTTTCCAAATGAGATCGTCTTTGATTGTGACAAAGGTTTTCTTCTCAAGGGCTCTTCCATCAGGCATTGTCAAACAAATGGGAACTGGAGTGGAAATCAGACCTTTTGCAAAGGTTCATATTGTTCAACTATTAATCAATATCCTGGTTCTTCATAAGATTATTACGATTCATGGATGTGTATAAAACTAAATTTCTTCAATTGTTTATGAAAAATTCGATGGCAAGATTCCTTTGTGACAGCGGAACAAAGCATTTCGAAACCACCACTGGAACTTTTTATGGGGCCTTGCGTGCGTTCGGTCCGTTGGCTCTGTTCCCCAGATGGGCGAGTTCGACTAAAATTCGCTCCTTGGCCCTCAGTGAAACAAGGATTAAACCCGCTGATTCTTTGGAGAAAAGAAAAGATAATATATCCATTGTCGAAGCACAACTAAGGTTACAGTATTCTGAGCGATAGGAGAAACCTGGCTCGTTTCACACAACATCATAAAGGTTTATTGAGAGAACAGAAGAACTTTTTCTCGCTTATATTAGTGAATGTTGTTGGTTTTCAGTTTTCCATTTATGAAAATACAGTTACAGCAATTATTTTTTTTCTCTATAGCTGTTGACTGTGGTCTTTTATCAAATCCCATGAACGGCTCCTCTTCTGGGGACTCTACAGTGTTCCCCAATAGTGTGCAATTTGACTGCGATTCAGGGTTCATTCTCAGTGGACCCCACGAAAGGAAATGCCTGGCGAATGGATCCTGGAGTGGTTTCCCGACCGTATGCAGTGGTACGTATTAAAAGAGCATTTTACTAGGTGAAAAAGAGACCACAGGAGTAACAGAAAAGACACAATTCGCACATATTTACAGTTCTCGACTTCCTTACTAAAAATCACTCAGAAACACTACCGTTTGTATATGAAGATGCGAGGCAGTAATTATAATTATATTCCAATGCTACGGGTCCTAAGCTTCCAGGTTTTGCTGTCATTCAAACCTTAATGAGATAATTAGGTCCTTAACTGAGATAAGAAAGTTTACGTAGTGCAGGTACTGACGTAATTAATGATGCCTTTCTAGCCGTTGACTGTGGTCCTCTATCCGCTCCGAAGAATGGTTCCTCAACTGGTAACTTAACAGTGTTTCCCAATAGTGTAGCATTTAATTGCGATCCTGGATTCCTTCTTAATGGTTCTGCCACGAGGAAGTGCCAGGCAAATGGAACGTGGAGTGGATTACAAGCCGTATGTAATGGTAGGTTCAAGGAAATACATTCCATTGAGGTCGCACATCAGGATTGTCATGGATGTGCTTGTCACTGGCAGTCATTTAGAAGCAACAGGAAGGCGTTTCTACACCAGACGTTAAAATTATCGACGCTAAGTATTCCAGTGTGTTTTACAATCCTCTATCGTATTTCCTTTTATTTGTTGTCGCTAGAACGTTGCTGCTGTTATGGTAAGTGTTCAATTGTCGCCTAAAAGCCAGTTTCCTTCTGATGTGTATTTGTTTGTGTTACGAATTGCTAGCGTCTTTGTAAGCACCTATTCTATCGTTTGCTGTTTGCACCTCTCATAGTTAATATGGTCTGACGGACGGACGAAGTTACCTCCTTTAGTTATAAACTTTAGATAGATAGATAGATAGATAGTTTATTATCAAGAACCTTGCAGCCACAGGCTGAATTACGTTTGATTTACAATAAAATATATACTACAAAAAATACATGGCTAAGAAGAACTAATTAAAAAGACAAAAATATATAATTAAGAGAAAAACAATATTACATCATTGCTTTATGGACATAGTGATGGATAAAACTATTTCGAGTACGAATGGTGTGGAGGCGCCGTGTAGTAAAAGAGTGCTGACTCCTTAAATTGACTTCGCACTCATTCTTGGGAGGTAGTAAGCTATAGAGCTTGTGCGAGGGATTAGACAGGATGGAATTAAAAAGCTTATCACATAAGAACTCGCGGCGGTTGTGTAAGGGAACTAGACCAGTCAAAAGAAGCGCCTCATTGTACGAACAATCTGGATAGATAATACGTAAAGCTCGCCTTTGACATCTCTCAAGATCTACTGAAAGGTATTGCGGGAGGCTATGATGATAAACAGGGCATGCATATTCAGTGACAGGCCTAATACAAGTCAAATAGAAGAGCAAAAGTTCCTCCGACTTGACTTGTGCACGCTTAAGCTGACGCAAAAAATACAGGCGCTTGTTTACTTTCTTTACAACTTCGGATACGTGATTATTCCACGTAAGATCGCAAGATATCTGCAAACCTAAGATCTTTGCTTGCTCTACACACTCTAAGTCCTGATCATTAACCTTAATTGGATCAAAGTTCTTTCTAGAGTGACTGAATGTTATGCGCAGTTCCTTGCACTTGGTTTCATTTAATTGGAACTTGTCAGCAGAAGCTTGCGTCGCGAGTTCGTCAACCGCTTGTTGGACTTTGCTGACCTCAGACTTCATGACTGTTTCAGAAATAGTGGAGTCATCGACATATTTCCACATGTCTGTACCCGGGATGATGAGGTCGTTTATCATAATAGTAAATAACCAGGGGCCAAGTTTTGTGCCCTGTGGGACCCCTGATGGGATGGCCCCCCACTCCGAGTAACAGTCCTGACTAAGTTTAACACGCTGTCGGCGACAGGACAGAAAGTCCACTATCCAGTCAATTATTCCGCTTGGAAGATCGTATGAAATGAGCTTCTGAACTAGGATCTGATGGTCAATAAGGTCAAACGCCTTGCGGAAGTCAAAGAGGATGGTTCTGACAGTTGCACCGTTCCCATCCGTAGCACTAAGCCATGAGTGGACCATGCTTATTAGTGCTTGTGTCGTACTGGAACCTGGCACAGTCCCAAACTGCCGTACATCCACTTTCGCCAACACAACAGGCTTGAGGAAACTCTCCACGACGAAATCTTCAGCAACCTTAGAAAGCACGGGAGTTAGGGATATTGGACGTAGATGTTTGTTTACATCGTGTATTGGATTCTGCTTTGGTACTGGAGTGATGTTAGCGTCCTTCCAAGACTGAGGCAACTGTGCTTCCTTAAACGAACAGTTAAGGATATCAGTCACAGGCAGTGCTAGTAAATCTGCATTCTCTTTAAGAAGCCAACCGGGGATTCCGTCCGGACCGGTTGCCTTAGTTGGATTTAAGGCGGATAGCTTCTTTAAAACAGAGAATTCTGATACCTGGAAAGCACTCTCCTGGTCAGAGTTGGTTGAGGTGTTAGGTGAAAGGGGGTGAAGACGCGCATAGGAGCCAAGAACGCCTGGTTGATGGTGTTAGCAATGTCTATCGTGCTTGGAGGCGAACCTCTCTGACCACAATCAATATGTTGGTAGAGGGTAGCTGGATTAACGCCTCTAGAAGCTGCGTCTGACGTACCACTGAGCTTCTTTACCTCACGCCACCAAACTGCGGGTTTACAGTCCTTCAGATGTTCAACCTTGGAGTTATAGAACTTTGCACGGCATGCTTTCCTCTCACGATTAACGCGATTTCGTAGGGTGCGGTACTGCACCTGGTCGCCTTGAGCGAGGGCCTTTTGGCGGCTGTGAATGAGACCCTTCAATTGTTGATTGACCCAGGGCGGCTCGTTGGTTTGTACCGACTTAGACTTCAGGGGGAGGAGAATGTCCATTCCGGTCTTAACTATGGTCTCCAGCATTTCCACTTTGCCCTTGCAAGAATCTTTACTATCGATAAGTGTCTTAACGTCCACATTACCAAGATACGTGCGCATAGCCATACGCATTGTAGGCCGTAAGTCCCTCGATTTCACGATAAGTTTAGTTCTTGGTTGTTGGGAACGCACGAGCGGCTGAACTTCCACAGAGAAATGATCGGACAAACCGAGAGCAGGGCACTGGATCGGAGGGGCATAGAACTCCTTCACATTTGTTAACACCGGATCTAAGGTATTTCTGCCGCGAGTTGGAAAGGTAACGATTTGCTTCAAATTAAAGCCGTTACTAAGGCGCGAAGATTTCTTTAACAGAGTTTTATTGAAGTCACCAAGTAAAATTATCCCGCAGCCAGGAAAGCGAGCCTCAACCAAAGATAAACAGTTATACAAATAATCCAGCATAGGCGAATCCGCGGCGCTCGGAGAATGATAAACAACTCCAACAATAATGCTGGTAATGCCCCTTGGGAGACGCGAAGGCCGTATTTGAGTCCAAACAACTTCAAACTTCCTATCCATAATGTCCTCAATGATCTTGAATTGGATAGACTCTTTAATGTACAGACACACTCCCCCATGCACTGCTTCAGTTCGATCTCGGCGGATCACGTTATAGCCAGAAATAGCGACAATATTATTGTCAATGTGGTCTTTGAGCCAAGTCTCTGTTATGCATACAAGGTCGTAATCTGCATAATGGACGACTTCACGGACTTCATCTATTTTCGGCGCCAGTGACATGACGTTGGAGAGAAAGAACGACGGCATGAATAGCTTTGATGACTTTGCAGGTTCGGCTTTAGATGGTGTAGGTGGAATAGCGAGAAGGTTGGCGTTATTACAGTATTTGTGACTGGACTTCAAACGGTAGGGGCCATGGTTGGCTGACCTTGGTGAAATAACTGCAATATGGCGGTGACGATAAACTTCTCGCTCCTTCACTTGTCGTCCAGCTCTGGTACCGCGATAAGATGGCCATTTCCCACCATGAAATCGAAGAAAACCAAAAGAGGGGCGAACCTGGACCATTTTGCGGCAGCAGATATAACATTTAAGACAATAAAATTCAAAAATTACGGAAGCAGATGAGACCTCGTGCTGCCTTGAAAGGCGCATACATTAGCATCATCCATCATCATCTTTAGAGCGTAGATTACTCATGTAATAGGTCGTCGTATGTAATAATTATTTACAACAAGCTTGAGCTTTTATTATACTTTGTCCTTTGCCGATGTGATTTATCTTTCCAGCTATTGACTGTGGTATGCCCCAGCCCTTACAGAATGGCACCTTCATCGGAGAATTTACTGTGTATCCCAATTTTGTGACTCACGTTTGCGATGAAGGATTCGTTCTTCGCGGTCCTCCAAAAATAAAGTGTCAGACGAATGGAACCTGGAGCAAAAGTTCCACCTTTTGTGAAGGTAAAACACGTTTCCAGATCTCACGGCAAATATGAATTGGAAAGGTGCATATGTATTTTCAGAACTGTTGTCAAATACGTCACTGGTGTTGTGCCTTTGGAGTGCCGAAGACATTTTAGAATAAATTGATCACAACAGAACGTTAAGATATGTAGCAAGATAATGAAAATATGAAATGACGGTCTAAATTAGAGCTTCCAGGCTTTCCAACTTTCTGTTACGAGAGAGTGTTCAAAGCAGAAATACAAAAGAAGAGATTTATTCGGGGTGACCTTTTTCTTTCACGCTTGATGTTATTTAGTAAACTTGGCCTACAGTGCTGCCTGTGTTGTTTTTGGTTTTTATTTCTTTCGTTTTCTCTTTATCTACAGCCAAGGATTGTGGGGCGCCTGTTGTTCCTGTGAATGGCTCTGCAACTGGACAAAAAACTACTTTTCCAAATGAAGTTACTTTTAGCTGTGACGAAGGATTTATTTTGAATGGTTCAACAGTCAGGCGATGCCAGGCTAATGGGTCCTGGAGTGGAGTTCAAACATCTTGCAGAGGTAACATTGCCATATTGGTAAGACGGAACTGCATAGCACATGCTAATGAAATTAAACGTGTGGAGACACATTCTAACATTTGCTTCGTTAATCCGAAATTTTAAAAGTACCTGGTGTCAAGCGGGGAAAAACTTGGGCGAGGCCGAGATTGCTTTTGTTTGAACATTCTAGGTGGTGTTGGTTGACCATTCTAAACTCGGAGCGCAGTGAAAGGAAATGATTTTGGATTGCTTTCCTTAATCGAAATATTTTGTAAAAGAAGGAAACATGTCTAACTCGATTCTAATCAAAACATTTGTGTGAACTCTTTTTCAGCTGTCGATTGCGGTCCTCTCTCGGCTCCTAAGAACGGATCTTTCGTTGGTGACTCCACAGTCTTCCCTAATAGTCTGCTGTTTGCTTGCAATCTCGGATTCATTCTTGATGGATCCTATAGGAGGACATGTCAGGCAAACGGGACGTGGGATGGGCTTGAAACTGTTTGTATTGGTAAGTTTACTGTTGAAATAAAAATTTATTTCAGAGTCCTGCCTGGGTTTGTGCAATCTATATTCCTTTCTGTTGGGCTCTCTCTACGGATCTCAGTAAGTTCTACTATACACTCGCGGAGGTCATAGTTGCAATATACCTCTTTCCTAAATGACAGGTTTAGTTGCAATTCTTTTGTATTCATTTCATCTAGTCTTTGTGGACTCAAAAACATTTAAGGGGGAAAAAAACAGGATTTTCACTCAAAAGCATGCAACAAGCCTCTCGCCCTCGCTTTTGAGTGAAAATCCAGTTGTTTTTCTCCTGAATGAGAATAAAGACCATGTCCACCGTCATGAAAAAGGTCTATAATGTTCACAACTGTCCTTGATACGCATTTACGTAGATCACCACTCAAACACCCTTTATTGATAATATCTTCATTCAGCAAAAGATTGTGGCGCCTTGGAAATCCCAGCAAATGGTTCATTACATGGTGACCTTACTTCTTTCCCGAACAAGGTCGACTTTAGTTGTGACCAAGGATTTCTTATCAGAGGTTCGCAAACCAGGCGATGTCAGGGAAATGGAACTTGGAGCGGAATTCAGACATATTGTGAAGGTTTTGTTTTCTTTCTTTTGTTTTAGCTGTATTAAACAGGTAATTCTTTTCTACTCCAGTTCATAATAGCGGGTCATTCTACTGCGTTATGACGATTTTAGTGCAAAGAGCACCCTTCCGTCCCACTTGATTTTATTAAATGTATAGCATTGTATTTATTTCTATAGCTGTAGATTGTGGCCCCTTGTATGTTCCGATGAACGGCTCAGCTTCTGGTAACTCCACGGTGTTCCCAAATAGTGTGCAGTTTAGCTGTGACCCTGGATTTATTCTCAATGGCTCTGCTGTGAGAACGTGTCAACCTCATGGAACTTGGAATGGGACTGGAACTGTATGTGTGGGTAAGTTGTAAGGAAAGAACTGTTAAAATCAGGTAAATAAGAAAAGTAGAAATTGCAATTTTCCCTCAGAATGGTTAACCTTTTAAAGACGCTTCTTTTGAGGAAATGTAATTATTTAAGGAGGAAATTTATTATGAAAAGGTGGCTCGCTACAAAACTGCGTCCAGTTGCGATTTATTAATGGTTAAATCTATACTTCAAAGCTATAAATGCCAATGTTTAATTCAACTAGCTTGAATAGAAAGTAATCTTTTAATAATAAGTTACTGGCCGAAAGATGGAAATCGATGGCAATGTCTCATGAGCGAAAATTGTATACCTGATGCATTTCTATTATTTGTAGCTGTTGATTGTGGACCTTTACCTGTTCCTACGAATGGTTCCTCTTCTGGAGACTCCACAGTCTTTCCTAATGCTATACAATTTAGTTGTGATCCAGGGTTCATTTTGAGTGGATCTGCCTCAAGGATGTGCCAGACTAACGGAACATGGAGTGGTTTCTCCACTGAATGTAGCGGTAGGTTGAATGAGCGGTCTTGTTCCTCTCCGTCTTATCCTGAATCAAGAATACCTTTGGCAGTTATAATTTCACTTTTTCGATCAATAAATGATCAATCAGTGAAACAATCAATCAAGCATTCATTATTAATTCAATAATTCGATCATTCACGTTTTTACTCATCTACTCATTTCATTCATATGTTTATTCCAATCAACACAAGTGTCTCAGCAACTGTGCACCTACCTCTCCCCTAACCCAACAACAGTCAACTGTTAACAAGTTAAGATTATAGTCAAGTTAGGGGAGGGGTAGTTGCGCAGTTGCTCATATACTGACACTGATCTGTTCATTCCTTCTTATTTATTCTGATGCAATTATCTTTCCGTGCCTTTATTCATGGATCTTTTCCTTTTTCCTTCTATTTCATTTGCTCTCTTCCTTTTTTTCATAATTATTATTCGATGAGATTTTCAAATCTCGCGCGCATAGTCAGTCAATGAATGAAGGTCATCCAATATGCATCATCTCTCCAGCGTTTTTGTGCATGAATCCTGAAAATTTCGGATGCATCATCAAACAGTGTTAAATTGGCTGAAATCGCTCTACCTTTCGATGCTGCAGTTTAAGTTGATCATGTCTACATCGATCCTTCTTCCTCTTGAATTCGTATAATTTCCTCCACATCATATCCCCGTTCTGTGAAAGGTGACCTATTTACTTACACGGATTAACGCAAGGCTACACTGACGTGTCTCTTTAAATCTTCGAAGTAGTCCAAGTGGAATAAATGGCCTCTTGGTCAAATGGGAGAACGGACGGACAGACAGACGTACGTCAGTGATCGTCGTTTATTTCTGCGATTTTTGTAATCATAATTTTAACTCGGATATTTAACAACGACGACATTGACGTTTCTTTTACCTATCGCAGCCCAGAGTCACCAAATAACCAAGCTTTTTATTTTTTGGCGGATGTTTTCTTGTAGCTATCGACTGTGGTTGGCCTGAGCCATTACAGAATGGCAGTATCATTGGAAAGTTTACTGTGTACCCGAACTCTGTGCGCCACATTTGTGATAAGGGATTTGTTCTTCGTGGTTCTCCTGAGATAAAATGCCAGGCAAATGGAACATGGAGCAAAACGTCTAGTTTTTGTGAAGGTAGAAAACAAATGTTAGTGGTAACTATGTGCCGTGGAATAACTTCCTACAGCAAACAACAAAGGCAGATCTTGTTTAACTTGAAAACGGGTGCATCGATCTTTTTTTTTTTAATTAATTTTTTTATTTTTTATTTATTATTATTTTTTTTTACTTTTGATTACCAATAAGGCTCGTCATTGAATATCGCTGCTGTATGGGCTAGGCGGTTAATTTCTTATTTCAAGCAGTGTTACAACTTTCACTTTTTAACGTCGATCAAATTGTCTGTGACTGGAAAGTCCACTGTTTCTTACAGCTAAGGACTGCGGTGCTCTTGAGGTCCCTTTGAACGGTTCTATTACTGGACGTGAAACGACCTTTCCGAATGAAGCCATGCTGAGCTGTGATGTTGGGTTTATTTTACACGGATCGTCATTCAGGCGCTGTCAAGCAAACGGAACATGGAGTGGTACTAAAACTGTTTGCAAAGGTACTTAGTATATACCTTTTTATCATTATGACAGATCATTTGATTTGCCGCAGTTTTAGTTTGGCTAGAGTTGCGAATATGTCGAGTATCTATCACATTGGATTTTCAGGTTCGCCGAAACGAATTCGATTAAAGTCGATTTTGTCTCTGCAGCTGTTGACTGCGGCTCATTATCCGCTCCAAGGAATGGCAGTTCACTTGGAAACTTTACGGTGTTTCCTAATGAATTATTGTTCTACTGTGATCCTGGATTTTTGCTTGGTGGTTCCTCCACAAGAACATGCCAGGCTAATGGTACATGGAGTGGAATAGAGACCATTTGTACTCGTAAGTTTAAATTGTGAATACCCTAAGAGGAATCAATTTGATAATTCTCGTTGCATGTAGTAAAAAATTTATAGTTGAAATTTAGCCCAGAGCTTACGCATATAGTTAAAGCTTGCATCGCTTGGCTGAATAGATTTACCCGAATGGGTCTGTTGGCTGCTAGGGACGTTTGAAACCGTGCACCATCTGAGATTTAAGGAGTCAAAAGTTACATTGGGTGTAATTTCGCACGTAGAGGATAAAAAATGTATTGCTTGCGAAGTCTGATCATAGCTGTTCTGCCAGCTGACTTTGTTGTGATCGTATTTGTCTATTTTTAGCCGTGGATTGCGGTCCGCTACGACCTTTGCAATACGGGAGTTACAACGGGACAAGTACAGTGTTCCCAAACGTTGTGAATGCAGTTTGTGATATGGGATTCATTCTTCGAGGATCTTCTCGTATTAAGTGTCAAGTAAACGGAACGTGGAGTTCGAATGACACTTTTTGTGACGGTACGAGATCAACACGTAACTGCATCTCTACCACAATTCCAACAAAATGATTTTTCTATTGAGAAAAGTGCATCGCTAGAGTATCCGATCACAAAGTAAAAAGGGTAGAAGACGACAGTTGTTTATTAGTTGAAAGGATGCTTTGATTAGTTTAACAAACGTCACTAAGAACGCGTGGAGTGAGCCAGGAAATTAGATTATAAGTTTCAAAACTTCGTGTAAAGTTACTCTCAGCCACGTTTACCTTGTTTTATCCCAGCTGTACTCGTTATCTCGGTGCATTTTAGCATATAAAAGTTTGGTTAGCCAAACTTATCTGCTTAAAGTAGTAATTTGAGCTAAACCCTGTTGATCTTAGATGAGCTAAGTGAAGTGTACTCAAGAAGGAAAACGTTATTCCCGATTCAAGGTTTTTTACTCTTAAGTTCATGAAATGTCTGCCCCTCATTAGCAAAGGACTGTGGAAATCTACCAAGGCCTCTCAACGGGTCCGTGATCGGTGACAAGACGACGTATCCAAGCGAAGTGGAATTTGAGTGTGATGCAGGATTTAACCTTCAAGGATCCACCATCAGGAGATGTGAGGCCGATGGTCAATGGAGTGGAGTGGAGGTTAAATGCCGAGGTACATTTAATCTATATGAAATAAGGAATCCTCCACCCATTTTGTTTGCTCGTTACCACTCGGCTTTTAGAGGGTGGACGCCTTAATTGACGGCTGTCTTAGTTGTTTATTGTTTAAAGAAATGAATTCTTTGTTTCAGTACACCTTTCCCGGTTCTATTTGTCAACAATACCACAGTTTGAAGACCACAGTCTACATTTAATAGTCTTTACATGACAATTGTTCATGGTGTAGGTTTTACCTGTCTATCACAGCCTTTCAGTTTCTTTGTGTTTCAGGGAGTAAATAAAATCACAAAAAAACGGTCATTGTTAGTAAAAGAATCGTGTTACGATAAGGCGTTGTAAAAAATGAAAAATTATTCCTTTCTTACATGTGGAACAGCTGAAACACAAATTGGAGACAAGCTTCGATCCTCTCAACATTTGATTCTAAATGCTCGATTGGATTCAGGGAAGTGTGTGCTTTCTAAAAAGACGCATTTACTCGACCCCGCGCTGGTTGAGATTAGATGCATGACGTTCGTCAGGACACGATTTGAAGCTGGTTCTCTTTCGAGACCCAAAGTTCATTCCCCAATCATTTATAACTTTATTTCTTCCAGCGGTTGATTGTGGTCGTTTAGCTATTCCTGAACATGGCTTTGCCCATGGCAATTCCACAACATATCCCAATACGATCACCTTTAGTTGTAACACAGGATTTTCCTTACACGGAACATCTTCCCGAACATGCCAAGCGGACGGGACATGGACGAGTGGAAAAACACGTTGCCAAGGCACGGTATTTTCTTCTTCGTCAGTGTATCACAGCTTCTCGAAGTATCGTACATGTATTGTCTTCTAGTAGTCTTTGGCATAAGAGGATTGATCAGCTCGAAATAAAGATTAATGGAGCTGATGCTAATCGGGTATTTGTGGCAATGTTACCCGACTTTGCATCTTTTTAAGCATAAGTAGGTAAACTCCCACACGAGGGGTTTTTGACGATGGATTGCTTTTCGATTAGACTCGTAAACCGGCGGTAAACCAAAGTCAAAAAAAAAAAAAAATGAAAGAAAAGAAAAGACCAACGATAAACTCACTTGAGTGAGAGCTCGAAGTAGACACTTACAAAAGGCCTTAAGGCGGCAAGAAGCGAATGTTTAAACTACAATTGATTAGAGGTTTGTTGCAGATTGCTTAAAAGTGTGGAGATATGATCTACACCAATAACAGAGCGAATTAAAAAAAAAATAGATAGAAAAGCAAGAACAAAATATATGCAATATCAGATTATTTTCGGCATTCAATTGAAAATTGTTCCATTTGTGTCCAGTTTTGCTTATCAACTGTATACTTTTATTTATAGGAGAAGATTGTGGAAAGCTACTGCCTCCTGAAAATGGTTGGATGTTTGGTTCCGACACATCTCATCCCAGTAAGGTGTTGTTCAGTTGTGCATCTGGGTACAGTACGGTTGGGTCGTCTCAAAGAACTTGCTTGAGGAATGGTTCATGGAGCGGCCAACAACCGAGATGCCTCCGTAAGATATACTGCATCCCCTTATTATGAATCAAAATGGGGCCCTAGATGTCCCCGAGAAAAATTCTTATGAAACATACGAGATTATCGTTCTTATACTACTAAATCAAGAGCAAAAACCTAGCTTTTGCCCAAAGGGATTTGATATTATTTGCTGGAATTTTCGAAAATGCAGAGAAATATGGAGCATGCTAAAAAATAACACACTCACTTAAAACCTCCCAACAAATTTGGTGTAACATGTTCGCGATTATTTAAGACCCTGGTTTGGGAAGGAATTTTGAAGGCCAACTCACAATCATAATGGCAATCTTAGTGTTAAGCACCATACTTCACTGATACCTCATCTTTTTTTCTTCACATTCGAAAAATACTGTGGAAGTAAAAAATAAAAGAAGCCAGACAAGCCGTTTTTTACGTTTTGGCATCATGTTAAAGCTGTTTCACCTTCGTTGATCAAATGACTCTTGATCATAACAATTATTGCGGCTTATCCGACAATTACCCTTGCGTTTACGAAACTAAGTCGTTTGTTGAACAAGCGTCTAATTGCTCTAATTCATTGTCGTTATTTACCTTTCTCAACCAATCCATTGGGTTTCTCCGCTTTCTACTGATGTTATGTCCTGTGTTCATTTAATCGTGTACAATTAAAGTAGCTATTTCGTACTTTCGTATAAAATACTGCCTGCTTTTCACTTTTCGTTGCACAGTCTTCAAGACATTTGTTTATAAAACGAATGAGGTATTACTCAGATATTTATAAACATCGATTTCTCTGAGTTTTCCTCTCCCTCTTTGAACAGCGCGCTGGTGTAGCCAGGCTCCGGATGTCCCTGCGTTTGCATACCAGACGTGGACAGCAAAGAACAAGCGCTATGAGGACGGAGAACGTATCTACTACAGCTGTAAAGCAGGCCTTATGATGGTCGGCATTCCGATGAGAAAATGTGTGAAGGGTCGCTGGACAAAAGCTAATTTCCGCTGCAGCGGTAGGTACAGTGTATACATGAATGTCAGAAGAGCAACGAAACCAGTGGCACGTCACCTTCCGTTGAAAGCATTGTGGTAAATTAGGATCTTAAATTTGGCTCAAATCGTCTGAAATGCGAATAATGTCACTTCGAAATATCGCAGAAACCATATTTTCAATTTTCTTGACAACACTTCTCGGTTAATCGATATCAACCATGACCAGATTTGCTTAATGCCTATGATTGATGCAATTGGCGACCAGTTAAAATTTGTTTCGACACACTGGTCCTTGTAGCATGCATGGTAGCCACCATTTCCCGACAAATAAAGGGCGTAAGTATATCTATGACTGTGATAACACCTATCGATGATGGTAGTAAGGTGCAAAAGGCAACCAAATCAAAATTCAGTAGTAGGAGCCCTCGTGGCTGATATTCTTATTGCCTTTCGCTTCTTGAAGCCACCTCTAAAACATGTCGTCTTTTAGAACTTCCTGACAAACAAACTCCGTATTTAAATATAAACATTCGTGTCGGCAACAAATATTAGTTGCCTTTGCTTGCCGTACAGCATGAACTGCACTTCCAGTTTCAAGACACTTTTGATTTTCTTTTGGCTTTCTTTTAGCGCCAAGTTGTGATGCTCCTCCAGTCCCAAAATTTGCCTACCTTACATGGGCACGTGGTGCACGGAGCAAATACCTCAACGGTGAAACTGCATACTACAGTTGTCAGGCTGGTTATGAGCTGATAGGAATTCCTTATATTGAGTGTAAAGACAGCGGCTGGACAAAAATCGACTTTAGTTGTAAAGGTACCTGTACTGTTAACATAGTGAGAGACAGGGAGGCTAGTCACACCCCTTACCACAACAAACACACCCGTACTCACGCCCATTGACTACCATCATAGTCATTACAGGTTGTCATGATTTCTTTTCAACAATTTCAATGCTGCTGATTGGGTGATTATGTCGATGTCGAGACTTGAAGGTTTCGGAAAGCCAATCAAACTGTACTTTGAATTAAGGTTTCCCTGGTGAAATGGAGAAGGATCACCGGAAAGATATTTGAATGAAGGGGGTAAAGAGAGTTTAGTGCTGCGTCAGTATGAGACTATAGCAACGTAATTTGGTATTATCAACTGAGTTGATAACGTAAATTGGCCACTGTTAAGAGTTTCAAAGCTGACGTTTCGAGCGTTAGCCCGTCGTCAGAGCAAATGGCGAAGGGCTAACGCTCGGAAAGGCCAGTTTACGTTATCAGCTTAGTTGATAATGCCAAATTGAAAAAAATATATAAGATTGAACGTCTCTGATTCTTGTTTACAGAAAGAGCGAAGATCATTTGTCTTTTGTACAATTTTGAACTATGTTGATTTGGTGAGAAGTACATGATATAATGGTAATTGAGCTGAGTGGAGTACACTTTGGGTGCAATTTGGAATAAATAAGCACGACTAAATTTTTTCAAAAACTAACAAAATTGCATGAGCCCGTAGGGCGAGTGAAATTTGTGGTCTTTGAAAAAATTTACAAGTGCTTATTTATTCCGAATTACACGAGAAAAATCATGTGATTACGTATTAATAATATACAAGATAAAATATAAGATAGCTTATCATAATTAGGCAGACGCGAAGCACGCATCGAGTGCAAAAATAAGTTATTCAACTATGCAAGTGACATGGTACTTTCGGTCAAAACAGCTCCGTACGATCAAAACAGTAATATTCAATGATATTTTCACATCTTCAAGGCATGAAAAAGTTCAAAGTCCGGCTAAATAGTTCAAGGAATTGTTCAGTCTGGTTTGTTACTTCTTTGCACTGAATTAACCCTCTCCTGCATTGAAATACCTAAAAACTGCATTTACCCTAACCAATCAGAATTGAGTAATTTTTTCATGTACCTTATTAGGTCTGTAATAATACACATGCAAAAATTTTAGCTTGCTCATTGGCTGAGAACACATCACTTAATCACTTGAAATTGAGTTGATTGACAAGTCGCCAAAGCACAATTAAACAAAATAGCGGACAGGAGAGAAAAAGTAACAACGTTTTAATTCAGAGTCTGAGGAAAAATGCGAAAAACAAAAACACCCAACAAAGAAAACAACTTACTCAAAGTCTGGCTTCCAAAAACGGATATGAAAGTATGAACCGCAGGTCCTGAGTAAAATTCTCGAATGGTTTTACGCAACAGTTCGGGAAAGATTACGAGCGTGATAGCTTTCGTGTAATGGTTACAGCTGCCGACTGATACCTAATAGAGAAAGAATACAAATTATTATTCTTGAGAAAAGTTTTAAAATTTTAAAGCAAGTGCTTGAGGGAAAAGCCTGACAACTCCGGCGACTATGGGAAGGAAAGCAGCCGAACTGGTGAACCATAACACGAAATAAAAACAACTGAGAGGGAAAACAGCGTCACATTTTTGCCTGTATATTATTTACTAGAAATTACATGATTTTTCTCGTGCAATTTGGGATAAATCAGCGCTCGTAAATTTTTCAAAACTACAAATTGCACTCGTCCTACGGGCTCGTACAATTTGATTAGCCTTTGAGAATTTACTCGTGCTGATTTATCCCAAATTGCACTCGAAGTCATGAGATTACCTTTACAAATCGTAAGAGTGAGTTCAAAATTAAAAGAGTGTGCAGTGCGAGTTTGACTTAAAATCACAAGTATGATTTTAGTCCAAAATTACACCACTCAAAGATTCATTATCAATATATCACATCGATTTTAATATCGCAAACTTCGGTTCCTCAAATACAGGATTTTTTTAATCTGGGTAAATATTTCATTGAACTAGTGCTGAGCTGGTTTGTAAAAATTTGCAAAAGTTGTCTTCATGTTCCTCTACTTTGATTGGTTACTTTAAGCAAGCCTTGAAATATGATTGGTTGTTGTTTTTTAGTAACGATTTTTCATTGGTGGGGAAAAAATGCGATCTAGAGCCAAAAATGGTGCGATTCGTGAATAAATTTCACTCAAGGTCCACTAGTGTTTTCAAAATGGATGTAATAAAGAGTAAAATATCTAAACTAAGTCTCTAATGCAGATAATTCAACACAATTATTCCTAAGTGACCTAACAAAACGATTGAGAGACGCACTTAAAGAGGAAAGAAGCCCATGCCTTCAAGAAAGACCGCGGGTCGACAACAAGTACAAAAAAAAATATGGGATGAATAGGAGAGGTTTTGAGGTTTAGCTGCCTTTCTTTTTTTTTTCCCCCTTGGTGTAGCTGTTGATTGCGGCTTCTTAGAGAGCCCACCCAATGGTGGCATTGCAAAGAAGACAGGAAAAATGTTCGGAGCAATATACGTGTTCGAGTGTGATGAAGACAAAGGCTACCTCATGGATGGGTCTAAAGAGAGACGATGCCAGGCTGACGCCACATGGAGCGGAGTACAACCACTCTGCAAGTGTAGGTTTCACACATTCCACTGATGTAAACCCTTCATACTTAAAAGAGCTTGGACAAAATTGTCACGAGCGTGGGACAGACTAAAATCTGAGTTCATTTGCATAAATTGCAGGCCTTATCGGTATCTCTTTATCTTAATCAGTCTTTCTTGCCTCGACAACAAGGTCAAAAACAATGGAATTATCACTGAAAAGCGAGGCTAAGAAGGCTTGTTTGCATGCACTCAAAAGAAAAAAAAGATATTGCCTGCCATTATGGAAGAGGTCCACGAGGATTCCAATTTTTTGGTTGCCTGTCGCGCCAAATGCTTAGGAAATTTATTTGTTAGACGAAAAAGCTGAGCGAGACCTCGATAGCACCTTTTAGGGGGCAGCACATTGGTTTCAGAAGAGTTTGACTGAAAATTAATCCTCAAGTCTCATTTACACGATAACTTTTTCTTTGGCAAGTTTTTTTGATTTGACAACTTTCCCTTCTCGTAATTTTTTATCTTGTCTGTTTTTCTCTCTCAAGTAGAGATACGCCAATTTTAAAACGAAGGCACAAGGAATAATTCGCAGTTTTCTGCTTTAAACTCTATCGAAAATTTTCGACGCAATTAAAAGCCCGTTACCCTTAGTGGGTAACTCATGACTTTCATACTTTGAAAACAGTTTCAAAGTAAATACTTTTCGGTAATGCATACAGTAAAACTGGCAAATAACAAAAATATTAACCAATTCACAATCTGAGCGAAGTAGGACGTTGAAGGCATTCCTTTGGGATCACTCGCTGTCTTAACAGTAAAACGGTCAATCCTAAAGATATGATTACCTGCGAGTGGACCAATTCGACAAAATAGCATCAGTTGTGTATCGTGTTGTTTGTTATCTATGTTCTTGCGATCAGTGTAACCGTGAGATATTTACATTTCCTTGTTATAGTGCAGAGTTGCGTTACTCCAAGCAAGCCAATGCACGGGAAGTTTAAATCAGAGCCTCGAAGCAAGTACTACTTTGAAAATATCGTTGGTTACCAGTGCGATAGTGGATACTCTCTTCGTGGTCATGAAAGGACAAAATGCTTGATTCATGGTAACTGGAGTCATGCAGCACCCACGTGTACGGGTACGTTAATTGTTATTGTTTAGTGCTCATTCTTCACGTCCCAATCCTTGAGTAACGAATCCAGTAATCCTCACAAGAAATGTTTCATAGGGACCCCGTTGTTTTAACACCTGCTTTCGGGCTATGAGATTATTTTTGTCGTAATGGCAGCGTGGATGGATTGCTGCATTCGTTAAATGATGAAGCGTTCTTGTTTGGATGTTGAAATTGGTCTTTCAGAGCACAAAACGTGTTGGTTATTAGTCTTCATGAAGGTTGCCTCTTCTGAATGGACGGCATTTTATTGTGTTTAAAATAACTCGAAATTGTATTGTTTTAGGTTCACTCGCTCTTTAACTAGTTTTAGGAACTTGCAGCATTCCTACAAAAAAAAAATCAGATGCTAAATTAACGGCTGGTTTCATACATTTGCTTTGAGATTTTAGTGACTCCTTGTAACTTTTTCCGTTTATTCTCGTTGTCGTTTGTATTTACCTGGTATTACTGCGTTCTGTGACTAAATCCCTGACATGCTCCCCATAAAAAGCCTTTTCTTCACCTTGAAAGGGCATTGCGGTCACTTCCATTTTTATTTCCATCAATGCCCACAGTAACTTCATTTTAAAATAATCTCTGGTATGATTAGGATGTTCCAAACCTCTTGGTTTAAAGAGCAGAATGATCTTCAGCCGCCAGTTGTCAGCGTCATCAGAGCGAGATTCGCGACACTCCGCCCGACATGGCCGTCTAGATGGTAACAGCGCTTGGTGTTCTGCGAGAAGCAGCTTCGCAAAATATTTTCAGGTTCGTAAAAATGTTTTCTAAACTTAGCCGCCGCTTATCTTTGTGAGCATATTTTTGTGAGGCAAGGGTACATTTCTACTAACAGGTTAAGAGCGGCATGCGTTTTACAGAACGAATGCTAAACTGAACGTAAAGGAGTCACTTTTGGTTCGTGCATGGGGACACATTTAAGCATTCCTACCATTCAAGTCACTCTTATCCATCCTTGCTCCTTCCTGGTTCTTTTTTACCCTGTGATGATTGTCTTTCCCGGCAAACCGTCATGGTAAGGTTTTATGTTGAAAAAATCAACCGCTTCTTTTTCTGTAAAAATGACCCAATAGACTGTGACGATGTATTTTTTAATTGGAAAATACGGCGCAGCCTTCACCAAGGGACAATGCACGAGGGCGGAAACGTCTTGAAAGCTTGCACCAAGACCCGTTCCCAATCCCTTATGAACCCTTTTAGTTAGCTTTTATATGCGCGGACATCTTTTGTGAACGGACACTTTTTCTGGTCACGGGAATGTCCCTTCACTCAAAGACAATAGTCCGACCGTAATCCTCTCTTTTGCAGATCGATTTCGGCCGCACCGTTGAGGTGACTTCTGTTGCTACTCAAGGACACCCGAGAGAAGAAAAATGGATCCAGAGATATATATTGAGATATTCACTGGGGAAGAATTGGTTCACTTACCAAGCATCAGGCCGTGATAAAGTAATACAGCATCTGTTATGCTTTCTTTGTTTCGCTTCTAAATTTTTTCTGGAAGATGATATCTTGCAACATGTCGAGGTTTTTATGAGGAGCTATATAATTAGAATGAAATATTTCTGATCGAGTCTTAGTCCTATTACAGCATGAATAAAATTGAATGGTCTAAAAATTTGCTTTTGACATTTTTTTCCCTCATGACAAGGTATTCAAAGGAAACAGGGATGGCAGGAGTGCTGTGAGACACTATTTAAAGGAACGGCTGGTGGCTAAGAAATTAAGAATAGTACGCCATGAAAACTCACGAGACTTCATGGGATCCACTGTATGCTTGAGGGCTGAGGTGTATGGATGTTCATTCGACACAGGTGAATATGTTATTGCTATTTTTAGTTTCTGGCTTAACGCTGTAATGTGTTAAGAGCAGTTCCAGCAGGAAAAGGCGACCGTAAACAAGAAATTTAAATCAGATGAAATGGGTTAAGAGAGTAAACGCGAAGGGAACACTATAGCCGGCGACAACTTAGAAAAACGTCGGTAAAGCTTTACCATAGTCACTAATGCACCGATGCTTGTAAGCATTAAGTATCTCCAGCTATCTATTACTTATGTTACGCTTGAGAACCTCTTGAATCGATATTATTAGGTCGTAAAAAAATGATAGAAATGTGTATCACCAACATCCTCACATTGCTTAATTTTCGTATCATTGTCCTTCTTCAGAATGTCTCACCTTCGGTTCTGAAGTATTTGCTCACTGGAATTCCATCAAGAAACATACGCGCTATATTCATGGCTACGTCACAAAGGTTCACCGAACAAGCGTCCATATATCTCCCTCGGGTAAACATGGTGGAAACGCCGACAGCATCTTTGAATTACCACGAGAGAAGGAATTTTACGTGATCAAAGATGAAAAATCCAGTCCACAAGAGATAAAAATTGGATCGGATGTCATCGTAGCTTCCAAGGATAAAGTCGGTTTTTCCCAAGGCAAAGTGACGCAGAAATATTACTCTTGGTATGGAGTCGAACTCGGCAACGGAAAGACGGTTTGGGGGAAAGTGGACGAAATCAGGCTACTGAAAAGGCCAATTTATTGTGAAAAAGAATATATAACGGCATGAAATGTTATAGATTTTTTCGAGATATCTTTGAATGACAGTGAGAAGCAACACTTTACATCTTTAATTGTATGATTAGGAAAGTGGGTACCCTTCTGTTTTTAGCCTTCGTAGAACGTTTAAGCGACCGATTATCTAAGAGTTCCATAACTTACTTTAGAGAGTCAACTCTCAATCTAACTTTTTTTGAAATTTTCTTTATATTAATGTGAGCAAGCTAGTGTCCATAAGTGAACATGGTTAGCCTAATTAGGTACCATCAAAAGACAAGTGATCAAAAGCTTTGAACTTGCAGATTGTCAAAAGTGTTGAACAGTTTCTGTTTCTCATATCTTTCATGCTTCATACGCGTTGAAAGAGACTGATGAAAAAAATGATAAATTCATTGACTGCTAGCTAATATTTGTTTCCAATGTTTTTTATTTTATCGACAAAAAAGGAAATAAATTGTTAATGTAAGAAAAATTGTGGAGGCTTGGGATCAAGTTATGATAGGGGTCTGAATCTCTGACGTCATATCGGGTTTGCGTAAAAGCTTATGATAGCGCTTCCATTTTCGTTTCACCTCGTGCGGAAGTGTGCCATTTCTACTCGTTCATTCACTGCTTTACATCGCTGTAAATAAGCTGTTTCTTTCAGTATATTCAGCTGGGAGCCGGATGTTAATCGATCAAGCAAGCAACCGGCTGATTGACTAAGAGCTTGGTATCTGAATTTTATCACCAAGATATCAATCTGAGTGGTACGCGCCAATTTTACCATGGAATGGTCTTGGGAAACCTTCTTGTTGCCTTTACGTAATGGTGATCTGACGTGTCATCCTTCTCCCAGAAGTGTGACATTTACACCCCAGTTCTTATCGTCTCATTCGCTCGTACGGAGATTCTCGAGAGATCTGCAAAGACAAGATTTGCAGAAGACGGAAGAGAAAAGGATTGCCGTTGCTTCTGCCGAAGCTACCCTTAGGAGTTTGTTTCAGTTTGGTCGAGTAGATCTTAAAGAACTGGGAAGAAAATGGAAAACAGTTTTCTGCTTTAAACTCTATCGAAAACTTTCGACGCAATTAAAAGCCCGTTACCCTTAGTGGGTAACTCATGACTTTCATACTTTGAAAACAGTTTCAAAGTAAATACTTTTCGGTAATGCATACAGTAAAACTGGCAAATAACAAAAATATTAACCAATTCGCAATCTGAGCGAAGTAGGACGTTGAAGGCATTCCTTTGGGATCACTCGCTGTCTTAACAGTAAAACGGTCAATCCTAAAGATATGATTACCTGCGAGTGGACCAATTCGACAAAATAGCATCAGTTGTGTATCGTGTTGTTTGTTATCTATGTTCTTGCGATCAGTGTAACCGTGAGATATTTACATTTCCTTGTTATAGTGCAGAGTTGCGTTACTCCACGCAAGCCAATGCACGGGAAGTTTAAATCAGAGCCTCGAAGGAAGTACTACTTTGAAAATATCGTTGGTTACCAGTGCGATAGTGGATACTCTCTTCGTGGTCATGAAAGGACAAAATGCTTGATTCATAATAACTGGAGTCATGCAGCACCCACGTGTACGGCTACGTTAATTGTTATTGTTTAGTGCTCATTCTTCACGTCCCAATCCTTGAGTAACGAATCCAGTAATCCTCACAAGAAATGTTTCATAGGGACCCCGTTGTTTTAACACCTGCCGTCGGGCTATGAGATTATTTTTGTCGTAATGGCAGCGTGGATGGATTGCTGCATTCGATAAATGATGAAGCGTTCTTGTTTGGATGTTGAAATTGGTCTTTCAGAGCAGAAAACGTGTTGGCTATTAGTCTTCATGAAGGTTGCCTCTTCTGAATGGACGGCATTTTATTGTGTTTAAAATAACTCGAAATTGTATTGTTTTAGGTTCACTCGCTCTTTAACTAGTTTTAGGAACTTGCAGCATTCCTACAAAAAAAAAATCAGATGCTAAATTAACGGCTGGTTTCATACATTTGCTTTGAGATTTTAGTGACTCCTTGTAACTTTTTCCGTTTGTTCTCGTTGTCGTTTGTATTTACCTGGTATTACTACGTTCTGTGACTAAATCCGTGACATGCTCCCCACAAAAAGCCTTTTCTTCACCTTGAAAGGGCATTGCGGTCACTTCCATTTTTATTTCCATCAATGCCCACAGTAACTTCATTTTAAAATAATCTCTGGTATGATTAGGATGTTCCAAACCTCTTGGTTTAAAGAGCAGAGAGATCTTCAGCCGCCAGTTGTCAGCGTCATCAGAGCGAGATTCGCGACACTCCGCCCGACATGGCCGTCTAGATGGTAACAGCGCTTGGTGTTCTGCGAGAAGCAGCTTCGCAAAATATTTTCAGGTTCGTAAAAATGTTTTCTAAACTTAGCCGCCGCTTATCTTTGTGAGCATATTTTTGTGAGGCAAGGGTACATTTCTACTAACAGGTTAAGAGCGGCATGCGTTTTACAGAACGAATGCTAAACTGAACGTAAAGGAGTCACTTTTGGTTCGTGCATGGGGACACATTTAAGCATTCCTACCATTCAAGTCACTCTTATCCATCCTTGCTCCTTCCTGGTTCTTTTTTACCCTGTGATGATTGTCTTTCCCGGCAAACCGTCATGGTAAGGTTTTATGTTGAAAAAATCAACCGCTTCTTTTTCTGTAAAAATGACCCAATAGACTGTGACGATGTATTTTTTAATTGGAAAATACGGCGCAGCCTTCACCAAGGGACAATGCACGAGGGCGGAAACTTCTTGAAAGCTTGCACCAAGACCCGTTCCCAATCCCTTATGAACCCTTTTAGTTAGCTTTTATATGCGCGGACATCTTTTGTGAACGGACACTTTTTCTGGTCACGGGAATGTCCCTTCACTCAAAGACAATAGTCCGACCGTAATCCTCTCTTTTGCAGATCGATTTCGGCCGCACCGTTGAGGTGACTTCTGTTGCTACTCAAGGACACCCGAGAGAAGAAAAATGGATCCAGAGATATATATTGAGATATTCACTGGGGAAGAATTGGTTCACTTACCAAGCATCAGGCCGTGATAAAGTAATACAGCATCTGTTATGCTTTCTTTGTTTCGCTTCTAAATTTTTTCTGGAAGATGATATCTTGCAACATGTCGAGGTTTTTATGAGTAGCTATATAATTAGAATGAAATATTTCTGATCGAGTCTTAGTCCTATTACAGCATGAATAAAATTGAATGGTCTATAAATTTGCTTTTGACATTTTTTTCCCTCATGACAAGGTATTCAAAGGAAACAGGGATGGCAGGAGTGCTGTGAGACACTATTTAAAGGAACGGCTGGTGGCTAAGAAATTAAGAATAGTACGCCATGAAAACTCACGAGACTTCATGGGATCCACTGTATGCTTGAGGGCTGAGGTGTATGGATGTTCATTCGACACAGGTGAATATGTTATTACTATTTTTAGTTTCTGGCTTAACGCTGTAATGTGTTAAGAGCAGTTCCAGTAGGAAAAGGCGACCGTAAACAAGAAATTTAAATCAGACGAAATGGGTTAAGAGAGTAAACGCGAAGGGAACACTCTAGCCGGCGACAACTTAGAAAAACGTCGGTAAAGCTTTACCATAGTCACTAATGCACCGATGCTTGTAAGCATTAAGTATCTCCAGCTATCTATTACTTATGTTACGCTTGAGAACCTCTTGAATCGATATTATTAGGTCGTAAAAAAATGATAGAAATGTGTATCACCAACATCCTCACATTGCTTAATTTTCGTATCATTGTCCTTCTTCAGAATGTCTCACCTTCGGTTCTGAAGTATTTGCTCACTGGAATTCCATCAAGAAACATACGCGCTATATTCATGGCTACGTCACAAAGGTTCACCGAACAAGCGTCCATATATCTCCCTCGGGTAAACATGGTGGAAACGCCGACAGCATCTTTGAATTACCACGAGAGAAGGAATTTTACGTGATCAAAGATGAAAAATCCAGTCCACAAGAGATAAAAATTGGATCGGATGTCATCGTAGCTTCCAAGGATAAAGTCGGTTTTTCCCAAGGCAAAGTGACGCAGAAATATTACTCTTGGTATGGAGTCGAACTCGGCAACGGAAAGACGGTTTGGGGGAAAGTGGACGAAATCAGGCTACTGAAAAGGCCAATTTATTGTGAAAAAGAATATATAACGGCATGAAATGTTATAGATTTTTTCGAGATATCTTTGAATGACAGTGAGAAGCAACACTTTACATCTTTAATTGTATGATTAGGAAAGTGGGTACCCTTCTGTTTTTAGCCTTCGTAGAACGTTTAAGCGACCGATTATCTAAGAGTTCCATAACTTACTTTAGAGAGTCAACTCTCAATCTAACTTTTTTGAAATTTTCTTTATATTAATGTGAGCAAGCTAGTGTCCATAAGTGAACATGGTTAGCCTAATTAGGTACCATCAAAAGACAAGTGATCAAAAGCTTTGAACTTGCAGATTGTCAAAAGTGTTGAACAGTTTCTGTTTGTCATATCTTTCATGCTTCATACGCGTTGAAAGAGACTGATGAAAAAAAATGATAAATTCATTGACTGCTAGCTAATATTTGTTTCCAATGTTTTTTATTTTATCGACAAAAAAGGAAATAAATTGTTAATGTAAGAAAAATTGTGGAGGCTTGGGATCAAGTTATGATAGGGGTCTGAATCTCTGACGTCATATCGGGTTTGCGTAAAAGCTTATGATAGCGCTTCCATTTTCGTTTCACCTCGTGCGGAAGTGTGCCATTTCTACTCGTTCATTCACTGCTTTACATCGCTGTAAATAAGCTGTTTCTTTCAGTATATTCAGCTGGGAGCCGGATGTTAATCGATCAAGCAAGCAACCGGCTGATTGACTAAGAGCTTGGTATCTGAATTTTATCACCAAGATATCAATCTGAGTGGTACGCGCCAATTTTACCATGGAATGGTCTTGGGAAACCTTCTTGTTGCCTTTACGTAATGGTGATCTGACGTGTCATCCTTCTCCCAGAAGTGTGACATTTACACCCCAGTTCTTATCGTCTCATTCGCTCGTACGGAGATTCTCGAGAGATCTGCAAAGACAAGATTTGCAGAAGACGGAAGAGAAAAGGATTGCCGTTGCTTCTGCCGAAGCTACCCTTAGGAGTTTTTTCAGTTTGGTCGAGTAGATCTTAAAGAACTGGGAAGAAAATGGAAAACAGTTTTCTGCTTTAAACTCTATCGAAAATTTTCGACGCAATTAAAAGCCCGTTACCCTTAGTGGGTAACTCATGACTTTCATACTTTGAAAACAGTTTCAAAGTAAATACTTTTCGGTAATGCATACAGTAAAACTGGCAAATAACAAAAATATTAACCAATTCGCAATCTGAGCGAAGTAGGACGTTGAAGGCATTCCTTTGGGATCACTCGCTGTCTTAACAGTAAAACGGTCAATCCTAAAGATATGATTACCTGCGAGTGGACCAATTCGACAAAATAGCATCAGTTGTGTATCGTGTTGTTTGTTATCTATGTTCTTGCGATCAGTGTAACCGTGAGATATTTACATTTCCTTGTTATAGTGCAGAGTTGCGTTACTCCACGCAAGCCAATGCACGGGAAGTTTAAATCAGAGCCTCGAAGGAAGTACTACTTTGAAAATATCGTTGGTTACCAGTGCGATAGTGGATACTCTCTTCGTGGTCATGAAAGGACAAAATGCTTGATTCATAATAACTGGAGTCATGCAGCACCCACGTGTACGGCTACGTTAATTGTTATTGTTTAGTGCTCATTCTTCACGTCCCAATCCTTGAGTAACGAATCCAGTAATCCTCACAAGAAATGTTTCATAGGGACCCCGTTGTTTTAACACCTGCCGTCGGGCTATGAGATTATTTTTGTCGTAATGGCAGCGTGGATGGATTGCTGCATTCGATAAATGATGAAGCGTTCTTGTTTGGATGTTGAAATTGGTCTTTCAGAGCAGAAAACGTGTTGGCTATTAGTCTTCATGAAGGTTGCCTCTTCTGAATGGACGGCATTTTATTGTGTTTAAAATAACTCGAAATTGTATTGTTTTAGGTTCACTCGCTCTTTAACTAGTTTTAGGAACTTGCAGCATTCCTACAAAAAAAATCAGACGCTAAATTAACGGCTGGTTTCATACATTTGCTTTGAGATTTTAGTGACTCCTTGTAACTTTTTCCGTTTGTTCTCGTTGTCGTTTGTATTTACCTGGTATTACTGCGTTCTGTGACTAAATCCCAGACATGCTCCCCGTAAAAAGCCTTTTCTTCACCTTGAAAGGGCATTGCGGTCACTTCCATTTTTATTTCCATCAATGCCCACAGTAACTTCATTTTAAAATAATCTCTGGTATGATTAGGATGTTCCAAACCTCTTGGTTTAAAGAGCAGAATGATCTTCAGCCGCCAGTTGTCAGCGTCATCAGAGCGAGATTCGCGACACTCCGCCCGACATGGCCGTCTAGATGGTAACAGCGCTTGGTGTTCTGCGAGAAGCAGCTTCGCAAAATATTTTCAGGTTCGTAAAAATGTTTTCTAAACTTAGCCGCCGCTTATCTTTGTGAGCATATTTTTGTGAGGCAAGGGTACATTTCTACTAACAGGTTAAGAGCGGCATGCGTTTTACAGAACGAATGCTAAACTGAACGTAAAGGAGTCACTTTTGGTTCGTGCATGGGGACACATTTAAGCATTCCTACCATTCAAGTCACTCTTATCCATCCTTGCTCCTTCCTGGTTCTTTTTTACCCTGTGATGATTGTCTTTCCCGGCAAACCGTCATGGTAAGGTTTTATGTTGAAAAAATCAACCGCTTCTTTTTCTGTAAAAATGACCCAATAGACTGTGACGATGTATTTTTTAATTGGAAAATACGGCGCAGCCTTCACCAAGGGACAATGCACGAGGGCGGAAACTTCTTGAAAGCTTGCACCAAGACCCGTTCCCAATCCCTTATGAACCCTTTTAGTTAGCTTTTATATGCGCGGACATCTTTTGTGAACGGACACTTTTTCTGGTCACGGGAATGTCCCTTCACTCAAAGACAATAGTCCGACCGTAATCCTCTCTTTTGCAGATCGATTTCGGCCGCACCGTTGAGGTGACTTCTGTTGCTACTCAAGGACACCCGAGAGAAGAAAAATGGATCCAGAGATATATATTGAGATATTCACTGGGGAAGAATTGGTTCACTTACCAAGCATCAGGCCGTGATAAAGTAATACAGCATCTGTTGTGCTTTCTTTGTTTCGCTTCTAAATTTTTTCTGGAAGATGATATCTTGCAACATGTCGAGGTTTTTATGAGGAGCTATATAATTAGAATGAAATATTTCTGATCGAGTCTTAGTCCTATTACAGCATGAATAAAATTGAATGGTCTATAAATTTGCTTTTGACATTTTTTTCCCTCATGACAAGGTATTCAAAGGAAACAGGGATGGCAGGAGTGCTGTGAGACACTATTTAAAGGAACGGCTGGTGGCTAAGAAATTAAGAATAGTACGCCATGAAAACTCACGAGACTTCATGGGATCCACTGTATGCTTGAGGGCTGAGGTGTATGGATGTTCATTCGACACAGGTGAATATGTTATTACTATTTTTAGTTTCTGGCTTAACGCTGTAATGTGTTAAGAGCAGTTCCAGTAGGAAAAGGCGACCGTAAACAAGAAATTTAAATCAGACGAAATGGGTTAAGAGAGTAAACGCGAAGGGAACACTCTAGCCGGCGACAACTTAGAAAAACGTCGGTAAAGCTTTACCATAGTCACTAATGCACCGATGCTTGTAAGCATTAAGTATCTCCAGCTATCTATTACTTATGTTACGCTTGAGAACCTCTTGAATCGATATTATTAGGTCGTAAAAAAATGATAGAAATGTGTATCACCAACATCCTCACATTGCTTAATTTTCGTATCATTGTCCTTCTTCAGAATGTCTCACCTTCGGTTCTGAAGTATTTGCTCACTGGAATTCCATCAAGAAACATACGCGCTATATTCATGGCTACGTCACAAAGGTTCACCGAACAAGCGTCCATATATCTCCCTCGGGTAAACATGGTGGAAACGCCGACAGCATCTTTGAATTACCACGAGAGAAGGAATTTTACGTGATCAAAGATGAAAAATCCAGTCCACAAGAGATAAAAATTGGATCGGATGTCATCGTAGCTTCCAAGGATAAAGTCGGTTTTTCCCAAGGCAAAGTGACGCAGAAATATTACTCTTGGTATGGAGTCGAACTCGGCAACGGAAAGACGGTTTGGGGGAAAGTGGACGAAATCAGGCTACTGAAAAGGCCAATTTATTGTGAAAAAGAATATATAACGGCATGAAATGTTATAGATTTTTTCGAGATATCTTTGAATGACAGTGAGAAGCAACACTTTACATCTTTAATTGTATGATTAGGAAAGTGGGTACCCTTCTGTTTTTAGCCTTCGTAGAACGTTTAAGCGACCGATTATCTAAGAGTTCCATAACTTACTTTAGAGAGTCAACTCTCAATCTAACTTTTTTTGAAATTTTCTTTATATTAATGTGAGCAAGCTAGTGTCCATAAGTGAACATGGTTAGCCTAATTAGGTACCATCAAAAGACAAGTGATCAAAAGCTTTGAACTTGCAGATTGTCAAAAGTGTTGAACAGTTTCTGTTTCTCATATCTTTCATGCTTCATACGCGTTGAAAGAGACTGATGAAAAAAAATGATAAATTCATTGACTGCTAGCTAATATTTGTTTCCAATGTTTTTTATTTTATCGACAAAAAAGGAAATAAATTGTTAATGTAAGAAAAATTGTGGAGGCTTGGGACCAAGTTATGATAGGGGTCTGAATCTCTGACGTCATATCGGGTTTGCGTAAAAGCTTATGAAAGCGCTTCCATTTTCGTTTCACCTCGTGCGGAAGTGTGCCATTTCTACTCGTTCATTCACTGCTTTACATCGCTGTAAATAAGCTGTTTCTTTCAGTATATTCAGCTGGGAGCCGGATGTTAATCGATCAAGCAAGCAACCGGCTGATTGACTAAGAGCTTGGTATCTGAATTTTATCACCAAGATATCAATCTGAGTGGTACGCGCCAATTTTACCATGGAATGGTCTTGGGAAACCTTCTTGTTGCCTTTGCGTAATGGTGATCTGACGTGTCATCCTTCTCCCAGAAGTGTGACATTTACACCCCAGTTCTTATCGTCTCATTCGCTCGTACGGAGATTCTCGAGAGATCTGCAAAGACAAGATTTGCAGAAGACGGAAGAGAAAAGGATTGCCGTTGCTTCTGCCGAAGCTACCCTTAGGAGTTTGTTTCAGTTTGGTCGAGTAGATCTTAAAGAACTGGGAAGAGAATGGAAAACTTATCAAAGAGCCTTGAATAGCAAGTCTGACCGTGACAGTTCAGGTTCGGCTTGGACGATTGAAATCCTGCAAAAATACATTCAACGTAGCGACATTGTCTGTTTTCAACCTTGCCCATCGCTCTTTGCAGTGCAAGAAGCGCAATACATCAGGGATAAAGTTGCACTGTCACTGGCAGCCCTTTGTGGCAATCAGGGTAACGGAATCGACGAAAACCTTCTACTGTTTCATGGTATGCGCGATAGCACGGAAGGCGACTCAAGAATGATTCTCGAGGCAATCTTACAGCCACTTTGTGCCGCTAAGGGACTTGCACTTCGATGTGAGCAAAGCCTAACTTGCAATGATCTTCCCGATAACAGATTTGATTACATCATGTACTACAATAACCAACCGCTTGGTTTTGTCGAAGCCAAAAGACAACATTGCATTAAAGATCAGTCCGTGGTGCAGCTAATCGTTCAACTCCTGCTTCTTTCTGCGGAGGACTCGCATGGTTTCCGATTTGGTGTTTTGTCTGACGCACGCCGTTTTATTTTGGCTGGGGTTTCGCAAAACAAAGTGGTTTTCTTTCAAAAAGACATTCATCCAATCAGAATAAGATATATGGAATCTGAAGCAGATCTGCTTTCCATAGCAAATGAGATAGCATGGTTGATTGACCTCGCAGTTTACTCGAGGCAAACAAACCGTTCAATCGAAGAATGTCTCAGTCAAGTTAACGATGTTTGCTATGAAGTTCAAGGTGAATTCTTTTTTCCATTTTGTTCCATACTGTAGCCGTAGGAACAATGAGATTAACGGTGATAAACAGATTGCGAGTGAAACATTTAGGAGTCAGTGGCGGAGGATCAGGTTGAAAGGTCTGACGAAGTATACTATGATAATGACGGAAGCTTACCAGGGAGGTATAAAACATTAGCGAGGCCTTCAAAACCTCCCCGTTGTGATAGAAAAGCTGTGCTTTTATTTTATTTTATGCCATATTACTTATTGGCGCTAATGCAATGTAATACCGATAACACAGAAAGATGTGACTTTCTACACATTGACGAAGCTTTAAAACTTAGACATCGCAGACCTTTTCTTTTGAGCCATTCACTCGGTAAAGTGAACTCTTTACCTTTAAACACTTCCACATAAAGATTAAATACTTGTATTCTGTCGGAAAGGCTGGACATTTCCGGTTCAAATTTCCCCCCCCCCCCCGGCTAAGCCTGTAGGTTACCCGGGCAGGGAATGTTGAGGCTTCGAATTGATCGGCCCATAAACCGATAGAAAGTGCGTTGCCCTGCTTAATGAGAACCATATCTGTAAACAATTTTTTCCATTTTCATCAAAATAACAGCTCCAAATCACTGTAATTGCATCGATCGAATCCTTTTTTAGTTCATAAAATTCTAAGCCAAGCGTGCATGTTGTATTTTCAACAAATACTCTTTGTCTTTTCCAGAATACGAAGAACCTATGACATCAGCTAAGTGCACTTCCGTGTTGAAGTACGAAGTATTTTTAATAGTGCATATTGAAATTACGGTGGCATTAAAATGCTGCAATTGTTTATGTTCATGTTATTATTTCCAGTATCTCCAGTGAGGAATGTATCACACTATAAGTAACCATTTTTCGCAAGCTACGAATAAAAAAAGCAATCTATGTTTTTTATCAAATCAGCCTAGTTGACAATTATAAAGTAGGCCTGTGACATGTGACGAGCTTGTATTTGTCTGTGATCTCAGACTATCTTATTTTGAACACCACTCACCACACTCGAGCTCATTATACTAACAAAGCTTCTCACCAACATTTGTTCCATTTTGTTTTTGTAAATCAGACTAATACTTTTGAGAAGACTTACAACGTTTAGCACAAACCATGCTTTTGATAGGTTTTTCTCCTCTCTGAGTTCTCCTATGCCACTGAAGATGAAATGTTTAACCAAAACACGCCACTCTAAACATTTCTAAGGGACTGCACCAGTATGCGCGTGCTTGTGTCCTTGCCGCAAATGTTAAGTCTGAAAATACTTGTTAAAAACCATATGAATAAGACCCTTCGAAAAATGCAATGCCTCGAGATGGAGAATTTTTTACCGAGTGAAACATGAAATAAACGAAAACTGATTTAGATGTGATGAAAAACTGCGTTACTTTCTGCCGTTTAAAATTCAATAATGATCCTTACTGACAAGGAGACTGGGAATGAAAATGCCAACTTGAGAATTCAGTTTGATTGAATCTCTACGCGTCTCAAAGTTTAGTTATTTTCATTCATATTGGCCGCGATTACTCATCGACTATTATTGCTAAGTCGCAATGGCAAGAAACTCAGAATATAGCAAATCACTTGATTCCGAAGTGAGCATGAGTGAAACTGATGATTTTGAGAAAGAATTGAGGGGTTTATAAATACTTTGATGACTCCTGAAAAAGATGAACCACCCGCTGAAATTGGTGATGACCAGGCAGGGGAGTCCGAGGAAGAAACAGACGTCAATGGTTTCACTCTGGCCGTTTTGGCACAGAGACACTAAGGAACTGTGAGCGTGGATACTTGGTCAGTAAAGTTTTTGATATTACACTCTTAATAAACGCAATATGGGTCATAATGGGATATTACTAAAAGCGGGAATGAGGAGTGGGAAATTGAAAATAGGAACTTCATTTTTTAATTTTTTTCCCTTTGGTTTCAGATTTACTCTTTATAATGAGGACCAGATATTTTGCATCGATATCCACATTTTCCTTCAAAAACTTTCAGGGGCAAAATTCGAGACATGAAATTAAGCAATGATAAGGAAAGAAATGTGCTTTGAGGAACAGATAATGTCCAAAGAGAAAGAGGCAACCATATTTTGGTGCAAAATAGAGGTTATTGTGTTTCATATCCTTCAAACATTTTGCAATGCCTACTGTTTTTTCGTGGGATATTTTCTTACAAGGTTTCTACCATACAACTTTATGAACAAACAAGTATTTCCCTTTTTCTGTAACAACCATCTGTAACCAAATTTTACTTGAAGACTTATTGTAGCAAATGTAAGGTTTGAAAATTGGTGAGTATGACTTGGGTGATAATCTCGGGTATCCCCCAGTTTAAGCAAGGGAATATATGTTAATATGATGCATTTAGGCCAGTCGCACAAGAGCAAAAATATTTGATGGATCATAATTGAGGATATACCCCTAGAGATAATCTCTAAATTTTAAGCCCTATGTCCATTATGATATGGTGAGAAGGTGTTCTGTGGCCTTTAAATAAAGAGGGGACATGTTTGTTTGTTCATAAAACCATACCAGAGAACACTGAAAAGAGAACATCCAATGCACTGAAGGGTTAGCTGTCAGTAAACATCTTTTCCTGCAATTTTAAAAGATATTTGAAAGACACTAAACAAAACAACTTCCACTTGAGGGGAAAGATGCTTGTTCATTCACACTCTAAAGACAAGATTACATATGTTTGCAAGAAACCTTTGTAAATTTAAGGAGTTGGCTGCACACTTGCCACCAATATTCATGCAAATTACCACTTGAACCTGATAGATATGTTATCTGTATGAAAGTAAAATTATTCTTTGATTGTGGTGTATAATCACTGGACAGTTGACATGCAATCACTGTCCACAGTGAAATTTGAGTTGTCCTTGAGTCATTTTTGTCAGAAAGACACTATACCAGTGGGAAAATATCAGTTCAAGGGTTTTACCTTTTCATCTTTTGTTCTTTAAATGGAATGTACAAGGAATCCCAAGTCCTTACAGCCTTCACAGATGAAACAACATTTAGAGAGCTACACCAACACAGTTTAACACCTCGTCTTCTTAGTTTTTTTTATTGTTTTCAGTGATGTACATGCTTTCATGGGATAATTGCTTTATATGTTAGCATGGATAGAATCACAAGAGACAATAAGATAACCTAATTTTTGTTGCATTGTAACCATGTGATGGTTGAGAATAAGTGATGGAAGTTTGGGTAGGACCAACATATCAAGACAGGATCATAAAGTATCAAAAGCATTGAAGACAAAAAGACAAATATATAAGCATTTGATGCTTTGACCCTTTACAAATATGGCCTTAAAATTTTTGAAACAAGACACAGAGATCTGCTTTGGCCATCAATCCCCAGTTAATAGTTTCTGCTTAATTTGACCTTAATGTATGTCAAATGAAGAGGCTGTGAGGCCTCTATATAGAACTAATGAAAGTTATTTTACTCATACTGTTGTTAATTAAAGGTTCTCTGAAAGCAAGATACTCCTTTATCTTCTTAAGATGATTCTGTGATAGAGACAAAACAAGGGTGATTTACATACCATATTTCAGCTGATAAGTGTTAACAAAACATACTGTACTATCCAAAGGATGGAGATCTATACAGTGCATAGCATTTTACACCCTCGAACAACCAGGGCCTGATCTTGACTGCAAATGTGTCAAAATAAAAAGTTAATAGAACAAGAAAGGGATCAATATCAGTATCTGGGCAACTGCCCACCTACTCCTCCCCTAACTCAACAACAGTTAATTGACAACAAGTTAAGGTTAATGTAGGGTTAGGGGAGGGATACGTGGGCAGTTGCCCAGATACTGATATTGATCCCAAGAAAGTTCTATATACATGAGAAATCCTTTAGAAAGCACAATAAAGAAATGACGAAGTCCGCTTGCATCTTCCAAGAGTGATAGTCCTGGGTAGAAGCAAGGTCAGCTAAAGACAGGATAGTCTCTTTTTCGTGTTACTGTCTACCAATATCAATTCTGAAACAACACGTGACCTTGCTTCCTTAGTTCATACATAGTTAGTAGAGGAGACTCCTCTACTAACTATGGTTCATAGAAATACGGTATAAGTGACAAGAGTTCCTGGCAGGTCTTGGATGCCAACCAAATGGTGCAAATAGTCCAGCACTGTAACAAACCAATCAAAACACCACAGAACACATCACTCACGTGATGTCTGCCAAGTATGATACGAGACATCGACACGCACAGGGCCCAACAACCAATCAGAATTCTCCAAAGTCCATTTTCAATAAACATTGCAAATAAACCTGCAACCATCGCAGCTCGTGTAGAGTGACCAGAAGGAAATGAGTAATTATCCACGGACACTGTAGCAAACATGTCTTCTTCGTTGTATACTGGTCTTTTTCGTCGCACCATAACTTTTAAGCCTCCAACCACGCCTAGATCGAATATCAGAGCTAGAAGCAAATTACAAGCGAATTCTTGTTTAACACCTGAGAAAAATATCACAGAAAACACCGTTCCAACAATCCATGGAACTCCGTGCCCACTGATTTCAAGAAGAATCATCAGCGATCTCCATCTCCCTGATTTTTTGTCCGCACAAACGCTTAGATTCCTTGACAACGTGATGTCAAAGTTATAAAGATTTTCCATCAAACTCGATTCGCTCGTGTTCACATCACGTTTGTGACTTTCTTTTGGAGACAATTCTTTCTTTCCTTTTGTTTTACATTCAACCACATTTTTCTTCGTTTGGTGAAAATTGTTGGACTCAATCGCTTTCTTGCGTCCACGCTCCTTCAAGTTGGGTTGATGTACCAAATCGTCTTCAACCAGAACCATTTCTCAACAACCTTTGCTCGACTATTAGGACAGTTGATCGCCGGCTGATTCGGTGTTGAAGGCACGAGCCCGCAATATTCAACGGTGAACGACGAAAGAAAGCAAATTTTTCAGGGGCCCAGAAAAGTAGAGTGACATTTTTGGAAATACTGTCTTATTTTGACCACTTCGCTGCCGCCTAGATTATCTATTCTGATTTTATTGACAGTTTTTCTTTTTTTCATAAAATAGAAAGAAGAGTAAAAACGCATAAATGGATAAGAATCATGAGCAATTAAACCCGCTCCCTTCCCTCTCCTCCCCTCTCCTCCCCTAGAAAAGTACGATAAAAGAGAGGTTACACAGCTCTCTTACTGCATTGAGAAATATGTCTTTGACTTCTTGAACGTTAGTGGAATTTGTTCACAAACAGATTGATTTTTGAGTCAAATTACCGAGAAGAGGAAAAGAAACTAAATATCTTAACCTACCAAGTTGATGTTAGTCATAATTGCTTCGTTCTCGTGACTTTGTGTGGAAATTAAAATGGGTTGCCACGTGTAAAGGTACGTTATTAATGGCGATTCAGCTGATGACGTTCACGTGAAGAAACAAGAAAACACCAATTCCTTGGTACCAATTTAAAAGAAGATATGCCTCCCAAGTTTAGTCGAGTTAACGGGGACGACAGATCCACCGCCAGAGCTTCTGAAAGGGTAAGAAAGATGTAGAGTAATGATTAGTAATGACTTTGTCAGTTTGCCACGACTGACACTAAACAAACTTCACGTTCTCATTGATGTAAACTTGTCGATGCTGCACAGAAATACTGGCTTTTGATCTTAAATTTTCCACATTCTAGTAAGTACCCAGAATTTTTTTTTTACCATATGATGCAAGATTGGCTTGTATCAATAGTGCAGATAAAAATCTTTCACATTTGGAGCAAGCAAACTTGTAGTGGTCTTCCTGCTCATGGCAAGCCTATGAGGAAGAATTGTCATGAGAAGCAAACCCTGAAATAATGGCTTGCGGTATTTTACCAAATCTAAGCCAGGCATCGCTGGGGTTCCCTTTTTAGACAACTGTCTTGTGTCAAATTATTTGTTCATGCCTTGTCTGTAAAAGTGTAAGGGTTATGTGACGCTTAAATAGACAGTTTTGATGTTAGAAATAACCATGCCTTTGAAATAATGGCTTGAGGCTGAATTTTGTTCCATGATTTCTAAGGGATAGCTTGAAAAGAACTAATTTAAGGTGGCTCCTTAGAGTATTCAGTAATGAACCTCCCTTCAGAACGCAAGTTTTGAAGGAAATCAGTTGATTTATCTCCCACAAGATATATACCAGTTCAGCAAATGATTTGATAAGGCTTCTGTTTTGGGTGTCAATTTTAAGATTTATGATGTTACCATGGCAATATCACCTCAAATGACAGGCAGATAAATCACAATTTTAATTTGGCCTGAATACAGTAAAATTCTTACTTTCCCACAGTGAAATGTCTTCTTTCTTTGCCAAATCATAGACATGATGTTGCATGACTTTTTGAGATGGAAGAAACTTAGGAACATTTGGACAGTTTTGCCAATATTCTCTAATTTGTCATTTTTCTGAATGTATTTGATTAGCTCCGAGAGATTTTTACTAAAATAGACTGTTGATATTGAATGTATGTGGCTAGAACTTAGTCAATTTTCAAAATAATTTTTCCAAGCAAATGCAATAAATCTCACTTGAAAGATCTGCTTTTCCTTGCTCCCATGAATAAGAAATAAAATAGCACTTTACAAAGATTGATATCTGGGCATACTTAAACTTTTGTAATCTGTTGCCTTTACCCAATCTTTTACCTGGTGTTTTCTTTTCTGGCCACCTCTTTTCTCAGGCATAGGGGACCTATGGATATTATGGGTATAGTTGCTAGAAACCTCAGAAACCCATGTTAATTTTTCAAAGACTACAAATTGAAAATTAACTTGGTCTTATTAACACAAAATTGCAATTGAAATCATTTATTAAGTATACTAATCACCATGATGAGCTAGCCGCGATAGACCTTAGCATGATCGTAGTCGCTCTGACACCATCACGATTAGTATGAATTTTAACAGTTATGCCAGGTTATATTTTTCATCATTCCTGTTTTTTCTGTTTTGTTTTTGAAAACAAAACTTTATATACTATACAAGTGTTAGCTGTGTTTGATTTTTATTACCATATGTAAACTCGCAATCTAACTGAGTGTGAAAACCGTTAAAACTCAGACTGTCTATTTTGTTTTATCTTTGAGGATTTTTGTCTCTGCTCATGCTACAGTAACATAAATTACTACACCTGGCATTTTTGCAAACATTTTCTTGCTTGTTCTGAAATTTCACTTTCAATTAACGAAAGAAAAGCTAGAAGGAAGTCCCAGAAAAGGTCAGACATAGTACGATTTGGCAGATGGCATGACAGCTTTAGCTCAGTTCTATGCTCTATACTCTCATAGAGCACGCTCTTTCAACCAATGACAGTACATGTTATATCTGAACTTTATTACAATTTGGTTTATTATTTATGGATTATCACAGGTCAGTTTACTTGATGACTCAGATGATGAAGATGGATCCAACATGTAAGTGACAACTTAATCTTAAACTGATTTGGAGAGCCAAGATATACATGTACATGTACAATGTAGGTAGCCTGTGGTCATTTATCCTACTCTCTACCCAACCCTCAGACTGGAGCACCCAAGGGTCATATTTACAAGTTCTGTTTGTTCAACCTAAAACTATGTAGCACTGGGCACAAAAACACCCACTGGTATAGGTGTAGGGGTCCGTAAAGCTGATTTTTTTTTTATTTGAGATGATTCTTTCAAGTTTTGACAGTTATAAAATAAATTTATCAGCTACAAAAACAAAATGGAATGGTTAGGGTGCCACAACCTTCTTCTCCATTCTTTAAATTTTGATTTCGAAATATGGTTTTGGGCCTGTTTAGTTACTGGGAATTTCAAGAAATGAGCCCTAGTGGTCCAAGGGTACAGAGGCTGTTACACAAACAGTGTGCTGTAGTGTGTGTTTATAAGGTCCAAATTAAGGCAAATTGGTGTGACTGTACTTTTGGTTCTCCTTCCTTGGGCAAGGAAAGATAACCAAAATAGCCAGAATTGTATCTTGTTTGGGACAATATCTGATAGCTTTCATGATTTTAGGACCCTGTCCCTAGATGCCTTTTTTAGAGATAATTTGTGAATGAGATTACTTTAAAGAAAAAAAATTTCTCAGGTTTTTATCTGGATTGAAATGGTAGGAAAGGGGCAGGGGGAGATGTTCCAGGAGGAATTATTTGACCTAATTGGAGTAAATTTCTTGGCTAACAGTCAAAAAAAAATTTTTTTGAACTTGCTGCCTTCTTTTGACAAGTATGGGATATCAAAAAAATTATTTCTACAGGCTAATCTATGTTTTTCAATTTATAAAGATTTGCAGCACCTGATGGTTTTCATCACATAAAACCGCAACCAACAGTGAAGGATGGGATAGCAAAGGTGAAATCAGAAATTAAGGGTGTCATGGGAATAATGCAAGACAATATATCAAAAGTACTGGACAGAGGTTCAAAGTTAGAAGACCTGCAAGATAAATCAGGTAAATTAAATACAGGTGCAGCTGTGCTGTAAATATTTGAATATATATATATATATATATCTGTTTACTTTTTGCATGTTATTTTCATTACATTTTAACATACCTGAAATACTGAATTACAAGCATGATGTAGTTTGCACGATCGTAAATGTAGCATACAACAGTGATGGCTGAAACTTATCGGGGCTCCAAATGAAAAAAAAAATTTAAAGAAAAAACTTAGGTATATTCAGTTTCAGTCAGTGGAGTAATAGTTTAGGACAATGTACAGTGTACTATCTGTAACGATTCTTTTTTTTTAGTGGGTTCAACATGATGATAGTTACTGTGTTGAGCTCTTTCTTGGTTAGAGGGATCTACATTTGAGCTGTTGGTGGGTTGTTGTGTTGTGTTCTTAGGCTAGCCTGCAGAGCAGGCATACAAAGTGTAACTTTTGGCATGTGAGTGCTCAGTATTTTCTTAGCAAAAATTATGGTTGCCATCTTTGATTTAAATAGGAATGGAAGGTTGGAGAGAGAAAGACATTTGTAGTGTACCTGTCAAAAATAAGGAGAGGGGTGGGAATGGGGGAGTTGATATTTTTGGCCTTTCCTGCCCACTTCCCCCACCGCCACCTCTATTTCCAAATCAAACATGGCCGGTTGAATAGACAACCGCAAGATTCTTAATGTTAACTTGCCCTAAAAAGACGCCTGCACTGCATGCTATTCTGGGGCACAACACTTTATTCTCATATTATCTCTCTCCAGTGAGGGATATGAATGGGAACCAGCAAACTGTTGGAGAAACATGGCAAAATGCTGAAGGATGACCTGCAGTGAGGCAGTACTTCATCCATTGGGTAGTACAGAAACAGTGCTTTAAGTGCTGTAGCTTAATGCTACAGAAAATAAGATATTAATCTTCTGTAAGATGTCCCACCTGGCTTGTGTGTTATTTTAATGATTGCATTTTTTCAGAGGGACTGGAGATGAGTGCATCACATTTTAGATCAGGGTCCAGAAGACTACAGAGAAAGTTATGGTGGCAAAATTTTAGAGTGAGTGTCAATTTTCTTCATCTGAAAATGTCTAAAGATGTATGTCATTTCCGCTCTCAAATGGTTGCAACCACTTTGTAGAAAAATGTTACTTAATATGTATTTAGTATCCTTTGTTTTAATTTTCAAAGTGAATGCAAATTTTGTTTGTCTTAAAATGTCTTACCTTTCTTTCTTTTTCTCCCTTTGGGCTCCTCATTCTGCTCTATGACTTCAACAATTCTTCCAAACATTGTGACTCATTTCTCTTAGGATTATCACTTATTAATACATTTATAAAAGTCTTTCTCACATCATGGGGAGGGCAGCCTGCAAGGTTCCAGGACATGGATAGCATAGTTTTCAAAATGAACACTTTAAAAATAATTCACCCAATCACACTTATCCCATCCAATGTTTTTTTTTTACCTGTGAAATTTAATATTTTGGGTTGCTGGTCGGTTTGGAATGTGGAAAGTTTCTCTTGATAAATCTGATATCTTTTTTTTGCAATGAACTGTAAGAGTTGTAGGAGAAGCTTTCAAATTATTGTCCAAGAAATGTCCTCACCTTTGCTACAGAAAGTCTTACAGGTTAACTCAACCCATCCAGAAACTTTTATTTGCCATAATGTTTTCATTTGTAATAGCTTGAAACCAGGCCTACATTGATTATACATCCCATATTTTTTTTCTGATGAGATTTTCTTTTTTCCTTTAGCTCAAGTTAATCTTTGCATTTATCTTCATTGTAATTCTCATTATCATAATAGGTGAGTTTTAACAGTAAATAGAAAACATATGTTTCTTTAGGGTAATAATGATATTTACATACAGTATGTAGGGATTGCTAATGAAGGTAAAGCTACAGCCAAACTTTTCTATAGCAGCCACAATGGGGGCACAGGAAAGTGGCCATTATGGGGAGGGAGGGGTGTAATGTGACGTGCTGGTTGGGAGGTTCCATTTTCAACTTTCAAGATATCTTATTGTGGTATATATGAAGTGCAGCTCAATGTAGAAAAATGTATCAAATCATTGATCAATAAACAAGTGTTCAGAAGGAAAAAAGTTATGAAAGGCAACTATGGAGGAAGACTGAGTTCATCAGCTTGTACAAATAATGTTTCATTTTTATGCTATTAGAGGCATGTTATTGCATTCAAGCTGTCCAAAATGGTCACTAGCTTGTAGCATGAACGAGTTCTTTTGTTCCCCATAAACTTTCTGATGGGTTATCCATTGGCCATTGCTGTAGGGACAAAGACATAGTGGCTGATGTGTTTTTGTAGCTGCTGTGGAGAGCTGCCTGTTTAAGGTGTTAAGCTGTATTTTTAAAGATAGTATTTGGGATGAATTTTCTAGCGATTCATAGTCGAAGTGTAGGATATGTTATTGTGTTATAATCACTCCCCTCGTTTTCAACATGGTTACCAGGTGACACCTTAAAATCTTGGTTACATGGGTGCCCTGTGTGAACTTCTGCTGTTTGGTGACATTTTTTTCTTCCGTTATGTTTGCAGTTCCGATTGTTGTGAAGAGTAAAAAGAAGTCAGAAGAGTAAAAAGAAGTCAGAAGACAACTCCAGATGAAGGTCGTTTTTTCAAAAATATATTGAATTATAAATGAAATTTATTTCAGCCTAGGATTATGATCAAATGTTAGAGTACTGCTGAATGAAATATTTTAGGAAATTGCAGCAAGAGGAAACAATGAGAAAAATGTTTAACGTGTAGGTGTCTTTACGTGCCTTTACGGACTTGTATATAAAAATAGCTTAACCTAATAGTACACAAATTGAAAATCTCACAGTTTTAGCCTTGACATTTTTTCTTTTCTTTTTTGTTAAATATTTGTGTACTTGTATAATTATTTCTATTTGATAGATGTTCCTAAATTGTCTCTACCATTTAAATTCAGTTTTCTCTGCGGGACTAAAAATAACTGTACTTCACTAAGATTACATATATTTTCGGGTGGGAGTTAAATTCACAATCTGTGAAAGATGAGGAACTCTTTTTTTAAAATATAATATTTATTTGAAATGCAGAGAAAGTTTGTGAACAGTTCTTCTGGAGTGTCAATTATGTCTGAATATTCACCAAGATAAGCTCATTATGACTAAATTCCAAGCGACCTGATACTTGCTATGCACCGACTGAACATTTCGTGAATTAGAAAACCTAATTTAGCAGTAGAACACATTATTCCGGGCTCTGCAACGTAATAACGTTACCGATAAGCTTGAAAGTCACTCGCCTTCGACTTGTGATTTACAAGCTTTTCTCTTGTTCTCCCAACAGTCCATGTAGCTTTAAAAAGTTATAGATCCCAGTAAATTGTTATGTGTTGCTCACTTAGGCATGCACAATTAAACTGGTACTGATCTAACCAAGCGCTTTTGCAATAAAGTTCCTCTTCTCAAAAACTATCAGAAGAATATCAGAATGAGCAATTGTTGCATGAGAACTTGCCTCCAAAGGTAGCCATTCTCGTTCAGCAGCGATTTGAGGGAAAAAGAGTGCTATAAGGTGGCAAAGTTTATTTATGTTATTGCACGAGATTAACTTCAAACACGGAAAACGGTTGGTTAAAGTTGAGCAGGCTTCAATCCAAACGATGAAAAGTTGACGCGATAGAGGGTGTGGTTCGGAAGGAAAATGGGAAGGACAAAAAGTAAATGGAAAAAAAAAAGGAGATAAAGAGCTTCATAGAAAAAGCACATATGATTTCCAGTACACGTCGCATAGTTGATGTGAGTATGTAAATTTTTGTTTTTTTTTTTTTTTTTGAATGTCTGCTCCCACGTAAAAATAGGCGCGCAGAAGGCGGAATTGAACCGCTCCGACGCTAATCGGCTACAGGTTTGAAGCCTGCACCCCACACCAGTGAGGCTCATCCGCGCGATGAAAGTATAGTTGGCCATTCGTTTATATATGTTAGAGTATATAACGCCGCCTACTTGTGGTATGGGAGGTCCTTTTTCAAAAAATTTAACCCTTGTATCACAAGAGTAAGGTAGGTGCCTTAGAGGACCTTTTACCTGCTTTAAGTTCTGCTTCGTCACTGAGAATCGTTGAAAAATAGTTAGGGTCTAAATTAGATTGTAGCACTCTCACGCATGCGCAAAGGAAACCAGTAAAACTTCCTAAATTGGAAATCAGTCGAGAGGTCAGTCCGCCTCCGCCTCCACACATTTTATTGAACTTATTGTGAAACAATGCTTTTGTTTTTCATTTCCTTTTCTTTTAGAACGATTTCTTGTGAGATGTGCATATAAAATTCGTCAACGGAGTAAAAATATACTGTTTATTGCAAATCACGTTGAAGTGACGTATCGATTTTCTGAGTTTTTTCACGCTATTAATTACAAATTATCACCCCTTTCTGTCAGAAAAAGACTGATATTCTAATGATAAAGTCTCATGCAATTTGTTTATGAATGCTGACACACCGAGTTTCAATTTTCATTCATTAACTGGCACTCGTTCTCTACATTTTAAACGGGCTATAAATTTTGACCTCCTTTTAAACGCAAACTCCGTACTGGTACGAACGTTTTATTGACACGTCCCTAAATACCTACGCCGTTTGAGTAATTCGTTATAAATTGATTCTTGAAATCATGAAAGTTCTTTACTGTTGTAAAAATATGATTTAAAGCAGTTATATTTGAATAAACGTAGACTGCCATATTCCTTCTGACAGTCACGCAGCCTTTTCACCCTTTTTTGTGTGACAGCCGAACGAAAGGCTGATCACTGAATAGACGCCTGCCTAAGGTAAGCTGGAAAGATCTCTCTTTGGGGCGACGCCTTTCGGTTTTGCTTTCTCCTTCTTCTTTTCTTCAAACATCAAGATCCTATAAGGGTGGTGGAGAAAGGACAGAGCATAAACAAGGTTTCTTTATTTCAACATTTTCAAACGGTATAGGGAAGCACACTGCCCCACCCACCCTCCCAACCCTTTCATTTAATTAGTTTTTCTTATGCATTTTTTTAAGGGATTGGAAAGAGGGTAATCTCGTACCCAGATCCTACCTTGTAACTGAAATGCAAGTACAACTGCATGGCCGTGGGAGGCTTGGGTAAGAGAATAGAAAGAGGGGGTATTCTCCGTCACCCTCAAAAACAAGGTGATCATTACTCCTAAAATACCCTGCGTGAGACATTTTGTTGTTTTTGGTTTTTGTTTTTTTTTTTGTTTTTGTCAAAGCGCATGTACCGAATACTTACAATTTCAGAACACTTGATTTCTTTCCGAGCATCATTGTCAGAAATTCGGTATACGAAATTGTTCCTGCAAGAGTAATAAAAACATTCATTGTCACGAAAAGCAAGTTTATAGAGTGCAGCGACGGTAATCAGTTTTTAACTCGTCTTTTAGGCATCGTAACACACTTAACTTTTTAGAATACCAACCTGAGTTCGTTGTATCGACTTCAGCGATCATTTTCTTCAGCTCCAAGTGGGTCTTCGCTTGTCCAAGTTTTTCCATCATGCGTTTGAGTTCCATGATGTCTAACAAAAAATAATGATAAAATAGAGAAATTTAACCTCGATATCTTTGTGACACTTTAAAGTGGAACGTTATTTTACCAGGTGCTGTTTAGAGACTTTCCATTTGGAGTGTTGGGATAACTCGTTACAACCTCACATCAAAATGCATACTCTCCAGACTGTTCTCTTTAAATTGCCTAAGGCGCTGACAATTAAGGAGAATTTGTTTGAACAGTTAAGAGCTTCTTTAGTTTGTGATCATTTCCTTTACTTTCGTGACACTGATGTGTGATTCCGTGATCATGTTAAAAGAGACTAACTGCTAGCCACTTTTAGTGGTCAACGGGCTAATAGGCTCCAAGTCAAGGACTTTCCGAGTGGATGGTTGTGCTCCAAGTGTACCGAAGGCAATTGTCATCGTTGTTCAGTCACCGTTTTTCAAATTATCTTTAGATAGTCTCTCGAACGAGGATGTGTTTTCCAAAACGTCCGCATAAGGGCTAAGCTCGACCCAATTCTCGAGTGAAAGCAGTACAGCCTGGCGGACAGCGTAGAGATAAGGGGGGTAGTTTTCTAAAGAAACTGTGGTGCTGCGTCGGTGAGAGGGTACAACAGGGTAATTTAGTCGTTCAAGCTATATGCATATACGTGCACACTACTGAGACAGAGAAAAAAACGAATCCAACTGCATGACAATTTTTGTGTTGTTTTTTTCTTTTGGTCGCTCCTAGAAAAGAAGAGAAGCATAGTCGTAACTGGGGATCGGAAATACTGTTGCTTCTCTCCCAATTCTCACTCTCGGTCAAACCTTTAGCAGCAGATCAGATGCACGTAATCTTGTCACACATTGGTTGTTTTGCGTGACAACATTTCAGACGATGGTCCGCTGAGTCAAATAGAAGATATCTCGGCTACCTTTTCAAAATTTTGCGGAACTCTTGAAAGCAAGAAAATCAATTAATCGCATGTCACCATCGATATGGTCAAATAGTTATTTTCATTTTAAAAAGCCTTAACGCTGAAAGCTTTCGGGTGGTTTTGTTTTGACAATTGATGACAATTGGTCGGATGATCTTTGGTCTGTCTTTTTGTGTAGCAATTGTTTTTTTTAATTAGTAGTTCCCTTACACCAGACACCTCGAAAAAATAGTAGACATATTAATTTCACTTTTTTAAAATGTCAATCAATCATGGGTTTAACCGAGATTCCAAACAGAGCCATGCACATAAAATTATATTAATTGAAAAATTGCATTATGGCAAAGTTCTGAAAATTCCAAATATGTTAACAGATCTTTGTTTGCTTTCACTTGAATACTTTTATTTGCTAAGCGTAATAAGATCAATATTTCAGCCATCGTTTTATCGCATATAGATATAGATATCACGCATGAAAACTCACCGATATCCCCCGAATTATCTTCGTCAAATTCCATGAACTGCTCTGTTGACCGAGAAAAAAATATGAGTCAAAAGGTCTCTTGAGATCTCAAGAAACATAAAACGATCGTAAGAATATCACTTTTGGGATTTGAATTATTCGTGATTCTCACGTGAAATAAATTGCTGGCAATTGTTCAAAAGCCAAACAAACATAATTAGTATTCCTCGACGCAACTTACTTTTGTAGCCTTCCAGCCGATCGTTGAGATCAGGGTAGTCATCTTCGTCATCGTAATCGCCGCTGTCTACGAAGGACTAGGATAAATACAGTATTCTTTATTTAGAGTTATTTAGCAATGCAAGCCAAACGTATGTTCAAGGCCTTTTGAAGTCGACTGCGTCGATGAATAAAGGAATGATTAAAATGCAACTTTAACGCCAGCTGGCTGAAATTATGCAAAGGGTTTCAATTTCGGAAGCGTCAACTTCGTAGCCCTTCAGCTTTGATTAGCTTGAGAAGTATTTGATTTTAAAGTAAGTTATTCATCTCACATACAGATCGCAAACACAGATCAGGATAGTGGTAAGCCAGAGAAACCGGAAGCGAATTCATCAGTGAATTGTCTTGTAAGTTTACTAACGTATCACTCAGCTTTTAAACCCACCTTGTTGATTTCATCTAGATTTCTTTCTTGGTCGGTTCGAAGTTGTCCATAGCGCTTGCCACCTGAAAGAACATATGATCAGCACTGATATTTTTTAGATAGCCACCGATCAAAAACTTAGGTTCACCTTGATAATCGATAGAAGTCATCTTGAATAGAATCAGCTCTTCCCGTTCCTTGACTGGCGTGGACAAGCCTTTGATTCTGTATTTAAAAGGTCACAAATTCGACACGGCCCACCAAATTTCTTTCGTTTGATTGGTTCATGCTGATAATTATGCAAAAAAAGGCGACCCGCCTTGTGCCTTCGGCGAAACCGGAAGCCCTTTTGATCCCACGTAAATCACGGTATTCGATTCCACATCTGGCTTTTATAGCTTTCGATGACTTCAACCTTTGATATTGAAATACAGTGTACGAATATTGGGCTAAATTTAACAGAGAACAAAATCAACGCGAACGAGGGAGCTTTTATTAGATCGTCTTTTGTACTCCCGAACGGAAGTGAAAGCTGGTGACTAAGAAAACAGTGAGATTTGATTGCATGTTTTGTTTTCAAGATAGTTCAAAACGTTTCTCGTCTCCTTTAATATATAGGCAGATTTCCAACACACTGAGAGGTTAATGTCTGGAAGACTTAACACATTCTCCTAGATATATGCTTAGTGGTAAGAAGCAAAGATATTATTGATGATTTTCATATATTCACAGTCATTTACAAACGGAAATGTTAAATTTCTTGAACGTCAGTTTCAACTGGTTTGATACTTCCTTGTTTACTTTCTTTCGTTTCCGAAGACGCGGACGTGGGACTGAGTAAGTGTTTGTGTCTACACAGCAAGGACTGAATCACTGCCTTTTATGGTAAAAATTCAACTTTAAGTTTGGATAGAAGACGACTTCTTCCTGATTATGTACGCATTAATTTTCAAGTGTATGCGATCACGAAGAAATTATCAAATCGTGGGAAACGTAAAAAACTTAACTATGGGAATTTTTGGAGTGTGGCGCATGAATCCTTTTAAGGGTAACGGAAGACCACAATCGAATGAATTTATTCATTTATCTATCTATTTTTATTCACTTACATAAATTTTTCCTTCATTTAACCAGCTACGTAGGTGAGGCCAGTGAAACACTCAGTCAAATATGGACGTGAAGTTGAACTGAAATAAGGCTCAGGTAGAGGTAAATTAACTGCCATACCGAATCAGCGAAATTTTAAGAACCAAACGGAAGGGACAGGACGGGCTTACCCTGCAGCCATCAACCTTACCAGCGGTTAACACGAGGCCGAGAATATACGGGCTGACTGATACCCACCCCTTCTCCATACTGTTGTATAAGGAGGGATAGATGGAGCCCTCATATCCTTTATTAAGGAGGGGGTTTTCTTCAAGCTTAATTTAAAACGATTCAACTATGGGGGGATAAAAGGTTTGCGAAGGCGCTTTTTGTTAATGAAATCGAGGTGGCGCGGTAGGTGGACTGTTAAGAGAGAGCGAGATTCGATTTATTAGGATTCTCAAATGTACTAATGAAAATTCAACTCCGATCCTAAGGCAGCCAGGGGCACAGAGGCATAAAATTGACAAAAAGTGAACAAAATGTGGCTATTTTTATCCAAGTCTTTATCATACGCCTTCTTAAGAGCAATCCCAGAGAAATCACCAGACACTGTCTGAACGGGTGAAAACTTAGATCGCAAAAAACTATCAAATAACGCCAGGGTTGCCTATGGGTTACGTGACGTGAGCGTGACACAACCGTGACATATAATTCGTGATGGACGGAAGACTTGGCACCATGGGAACTAATTTCAATATGGCGGCTGATAATTCAGTTCGAACGCCGTGCGACTGGCACCACCAAACCTTTCGAGGAAAAAACACTCTCAAAGTCATCATTTGCCTTAAAAAATGTTCCATTTTGCTTAGCAAGAACTGAAAGCGATGGTAGCGATAAAGAAGCTAAAATGGATACCACTTAATCTTTCTTAGGTAAGGATTATCTTTTTCCAAATAAGTTCACTAATTAAATTCAATAATGAAGACTTCATACAGTTTTCATTAAGCGTAAATGAGGGAAATGGATGTACTGTGGTTGTGATTTAAGCATGCATGTTGAGGTGGAGTATGGAAGTGAGCTTGTTTGGACTGTTACTTGTTTCTTAGGATGTTGCTGGTAGTTGAACGTAAGGCAGCGTCCTACCCGTAGTGTGATTCTCTAGTCATAATTTCGCAGAAACTATTCTGTACTTAAAGGGCATTTCCGAAACCATCTTATAATTTTGTGTTATTTAAATGAACCCAAGGATTTGAAAGGTTGGAAAATGATGAAAATAGGAAAAAAACACATTTAACTTGTATTGCAAGGGGGAAGGATAATTTTGATTGTCAGGAATCCATCCACTTACTGAAAAATGTATTCTATGAGTAACTCTGACATTACAAAAAGGTGTTAGTAGTTTTCATAATAAATAGCAATTACTTTGAAATTTCCTTTGATGTCAAAATCCCTCTAGCTTTTCTTTGGAAGTTTGAGATTTGAGTATTTTCAAACATGTGGTATTTAATGTCAGTTTCTGTTCAAGATGTTTGGATTTCAAGTAATACCTGGAGCAGAAAATTAGCCACAGTTCCTATGTGAAGAAAACAAACATTTACCAGGGCTTGACTTATTTCATGATAGACCATCAAAGGAATTTTACATGTCACAAGAATCCATTCACTTTAAGACTTGCTCTTATTTTTATTTTAAAACCAATTTTGCTTGTAACTATCCTTTTTAAAGAGCTCAGCATCTAGGAGTATACAGTTTTGTCTTTAAAAGCCTTGAAATTTTTCTGTCTGAAACAACTACAGTTCCCCCCTTTTCATTTTACTCTTGAAGGGAGCAGGTAAATTCAGATTTTTGTCAGTACAGAGCAAACTAATGTCAAGTGTAAGCCCATTTCCCTCCAAATTCAGAAAGTGGATGATATTTTGAACATGTTTCTGCTTTTCTGGATCAATCTCAGAAGATGAATGGCAGTAACATCAAAAAGGAAGTGGGGAAAAGAAAGAGAGGGAGAAAAAAACTTGTCTTTCAGCCCTTTTGCTCCCCTTCCATCAGGACTTCAAACAAATGAAAATATTATCATTAGGGCTCATCTGACAGACACTCTTACTTACAGTCTCCAAGCTTGACTTTTTTCACCAGTGGTTGTCAGAAATAAAAGGTTGGTCACCAGAAGAAAAATAACACCTTTTGTAATGTAACATGACATACCAAGCTACTGACCATGCCTCCTGTCTTTAGAGTAAGCAGTACGGCTGGCATTTGTTCATTAGAGATTCATGTGACATCTCAGAGCTTAACACTCAGGAAACTGAAGATAAAGAGGCAAAGTTTTATAGATTTGAAGAACAAAAGTTAACATAAATTAAGTTTCCTCAAAATGTTAATCTTATTCTTATTCAGACCATAAAAACTAAAAGAGAAGAACTTAATCACCTCACAAATGATAGCTGAACACAGGTCACCAAAATTGTTCTGCAAATGAATTTACCAGAATTTTCCATTCTTATTTTGGGAACCCAAACTATTGCTAGCTAGGAACGATTATATTTATCTCACAGACTCAATTACTGACAAACTAAAATGCATAACTGACAGGCAGTGACTGATTAAATACCCACAAAATTGTTTTATTTTAATTACACCAAAATTTTTCTGCAAATTTTCCTTCCAGAATTTTCCATTGTCAACTCTGGAACCAAAACTGTTGCCGCTGGAAGGGCTGGGAATGACTTTATTTCTCACACAAACTCATTTAATGACAAACTAAATTGTTTACTGATTAGGGCACTGATGGATTAACTATCCATGAAATTGAAGGGCTGTATTTTTTTAATTACAGGTTATTGAAACAGGCTGTTTGAAGTGGATTATACACTGACTGGCTTCCTTCCTAACACTTCACTGACCTAACCTATCCATTTAATAGAATGGCTTCAGTGTCTAAACCTGCAGATGCTTTGAAAACTACATAAGGAAATCTTAATTGACAGAAAGCTAGATTGCATGATTATTGCATGCAGTAACCATGTTATTGACTGGTTGGCGCTGGCCTACCTGCCAGCTTGACTGATGCATTGATTGATTGACTTATTGATTGAGTGAGTGAGTGACTGACTGACTGATTGATGTACTGAATGGTGAAATGATTAAATGACTGACCCACCAACTGACATACAAGTTTACTGACTGATTGAGTGGTTGCATAACAGACTGATTGTCAAGCTGACTTATTGATTGAGTGACTGCATGACTGATTGACTGACTGACTTGCTGACATGCAGTCTGGCTGACTGGCTGGCTGACTGCCTTACTTACTGACCTAAAGTGCACTGATATACTCCCTGACTGACTGACCAACTGGTTGGCTAGCTTACTGATTAATTGGCTGCCTGACTGACTTTACAGAATTATTGACCTGTAACTGACAGACTATGCTGCTATGCATTGGACGCCAGAAGGGAAACGCAAGCGGGGTCGCCCCAAGATCACATGGCTACGGACAGTTGAGAAGGAAATAAAGAAGATGGGGAAGACCTGGGAGGGCATCAAGTTCATGACAAGGGATCGCCAGACGTGGAGGGAACACGTTGCTGCCCTACATGCCTGTTAGGTGTAAAGGGCATGATGATGATGATGATGATGATGAACTGACAGACTGTCTGACTGATTGGCTGGCTGGCTGAACTGCTGACTGACTGTGGCTACATGTAAATGATGGGCTGGTTGGTCTGCTGGCTCACCGATTGACCTAATGATGAAATGACTGACTGGGTGACTAGCCAAATGTTTTCTCATTGTTTCACAAGCTAACTGAGCAATGGAATAACTGATTGGCTGGCTGGTAGTTTACTGTTTGGCTCACCAACTGACTGGCTGATTTGCTGGCTCAAAATAGCCCAATTGACATTATCAAAGTGTTTCATTGACAAGCCGACTTCCTTGATAATTGAATGACTGAGTGATTGGCTAAATGCTGACTGATTAAATGGCTGACTGGCAACTGACTGCCTGACAGGCTGACTGAGTGTTTTAGGCTGATGAACAATGCAATTTCACAAAGCTGCAAGGAAGTGAAAAAAATGATGGGTCGTGAATTTTTTTCAGCTTTGGCCGAATCAAAATCTGTGATATGGTAAGAGGCATGCATTGTTCACAGATGTAGTTGATTTGCACTGCATAGAGAAACATAATAAAGCCGCTATAAAATTCAAGGTTTTTTGCATACGTTATTTCTCGAAAACGAAGCGCAAACCAGCGAAAAAAAAAACCACAACAGTGTATATCGAGTAAAACTAAGTCCACATGCCAAAATTCAACTACTTCTGAACACTTTCAAAAATGGCCGAAAAATCAAGGGGTCGTTCTTGCTCTGAGCCTTTCAATTGATAGTGTGTCGTCACTTCTCTAATGTCTCTAATGTTAGTTTTTTTGGAGGATTTTGAAAAGATTTGGAAATGCTCTATTAGATTTTGTATGTTATGGGTCATTTTTAGGTTGTTACATTTGTGTTAGCTCTTCATTCTAGTGTTTCATTTTTTCTTTCCCTTTCTTCCTATAAATGTTGTGACAAGATAGATATTTACCCTATTTCCTTCTTCAACTTATGTAAGATTTTGAGTGAAGCGTTGGAGAAGTAAATGGGCCCAGCTTGGTTGCTACAGGTCAGGAAATGATCAGGTAAGAAAAACTGTCCTCAAAGGCAGAGAATGTCTCTGAGTCAGGAAAAATTCATATATTTGACAAAAGTCAGGGAGAGGTGAAAACTAGACTTGATATGAACTCTTTCATCTTGTCTTACCCTTTTCATGAGGAAAGATTCTTGATTTTTTGTGATGTTGATGTTGTACAGTTCTATGGTTCCTGACTTGTGAAGCATATCGCTTCCCCTTATAATGCAATCTGAAGCTGGTTTGTGCCATGAAGTCATACATTTTTCCTTCTGATTTCACTTTTTTAAGACATGAAATGTATTGGTTGGTTGAGAACTTTTCAATGAATTTAAAGGAACACCTTCTGTGTGCTTTCCAAGAAATTCAGTCCTTTACCCATGTTACGTTAAGGAACTATCAATTCAAGTAGTACAATACATGACTTACTAATGGCGTACATTAAAAGTGAAATTATACGTTCAGTTGCTTGGGGAAATACATGTTCAATTCCTGCTGTCTTTTTCACTTCAGATACTGCATGGATTACACGTTGAGAAAGAAGGTCCAGGAAGAAAGGAATACAACAAGTCATGGTTAGTGTAACTGGGTTTTTTTTATTGTTGAACCCCCATGTGTTAAAATCTGTATATTTTTTGTTCAAGTTGTTATCGTCGAAAAATTTTCACCGGTGAATGTTCTCGCTGTCGCTGGGCAATCAGTGGTTCCTAACTAGAACCAGAAATGCCAAACTCTTCAGAAGGGACCTAAATCAGCCTGGACGAAAACGCTGAGGAAGATGTCAATTAAAAAATTAATTTGTATTCTCAGTTTGAATTTTGCGAATGACTGGATGAGCCTACTGTCTCTTACGGTGTCACACCTCAACTCTAGCATAACATATGTGAGCAGTGGTTTAGTTCTAAAAGGAGACTAAAAACAATTTTCTGTCGATCTCAGACCGCGTTGTTATTTTGCTGAAGACGGCTAAGATATGTACAAAGTTTTAAAACGAACGTGCGGAGCTTTTTTTTTGTACTCGTTAGATCTTTTGTTTTGCCATGTCCTCGTTGCCGTGGTGGTTTACTTAAGGGTCCTTAGTATCTCTCGATTTCTTTCCCTCTTCCAGGTGTTGCAAGGATTACAAGTTTATAAGGTCAAGGGAGAGAAGAAAACTCTTCATTTTGGTGAGTATAATTGATGTGATATGGTTGAACCTTTAGACCTGAGACCAAGGTAATTCTAAGTAAGGGTCAATAATCGAAAATTTTGCGTATTTTTTCAGTGTTATTCGGTACTTATTTAATTTTAACGAGAACCAGAGGTGTTAAGTTGTTGAAACTGTTATTTATTTACGTATTTCTCGATTACTTATTTGTTTCAGATACCTTAAAACTACAAGCTTAAAAAGAAGGTCAAGGTGGACTGAGTAATGTCTATGTATCGTCAAAAGTCAGGAAGTTTAACTCGTTTCCAATTTTTCTTTGTCAGGGAACACTTCTAAAAATTGTAATTATTAGTTTGAGGAAGTAGCCATATTTTTAGTTCAGACCGCTACTAGGGTTTGTTAAGATTGACAGAGTAAGCCTTTTGAAAGTCGTATTTGCTGTACTTTGCATACGAACTGATAGTTTAATCTTTATTAGATACTTAATAAAGACACTTAAGTTTTGTGTGATTATTTTATTCTCCAGAAGACGATGCTGATATTGACCATATTGGGGGGTCGTGATTATTTTATTCTCCCTCTTAAAGACAGTTGTTTTGTAATTTGAGACAAGTTCATAATTATGGTAACCTACATCTTTTAATACTCATGCGTGTTGTAAGACGCATGCTTATTAGGATATATCATACCACAATGTTAAACTAGTCTCAAATTACAAACCAACTGTCTGTAAGAGGTGGGTGTGGAGGGGGCCGGTGGCGGATCGACCCCCCAATTTTTCGTTCATTCCGAAGATAGAACCACGTTCACGGGGGATTTTAGACACCCGATTTCGACTTCTTTTCAAGGTCGAAGTTTTTCTTTGGCTTCTTTCGTGAAGGGGGTAGAGATACCTGCGATGTCAATAGAAATAACACAATTACCAACTTAAATAACATGACCAGCGAGGGCTTCTGCTTTCCTTCCATGGTTGATATATTTACTTGGTGTCTTGCTTGAGATGGTCTGTCCCTCTGACATCTACTGATAGAGAAAGAACAAGTTACGAGCTATGATATGAATGCGTACAGCAGACAATGAAACTGTACCCCAAAGATGGGATCATTTAAACTTTGTCGTTAAGTATAACACGACTGCTAATTGCGGATGCTCAGATGACGGACGCACACGGTAAAATCCCCACTTTTTTAAGGTGGTAATTTTTCTTGAGATGGCCATTGGTAATTAGCGGTTTCTGGCATTGATGAATGTCTCATCGTCTCTGGTCATAACTGAAACTGAAACTGAAAAGTTTTTGAGGCGATTGCTCGTTTTTGACGTTGAGTCATTTGACTTTTTACTGCATTTTTACTATAGATTGATTCAATCTTAACCCCATTCTTTGCTCCTTAACCCAACGCCCTAACCTTACGCCATATGTTCAAAATAAACAATTCTGAAAACATGGAGGGCAAAAACTTACATTTTCTCTACATCCTTAACCCTCTTAAGAGAAAGCCAACTCTATGGGTCCAACGGAAAAAAAAAACTTGGAGATCTATTGATCACGGATGAGGAAACTCTACACTGTTAAGAAAACGAAAAGAAAAAAAACATGAAAAAATTCCTCTAAAGATACGAGTATATTTTTTACTGTCTGTTTGCATGAGATTGATTCAATCTTAAACCAATTCTTTGCTCCTTAATTCAAAGCCCAAACCTCACTCCCTATTTTCAAAGTAAACAATCCTCGATTTGATTTTCTACCGCATGTTTGCAATTGATTGATTCGATTTCAAGCTCAACTCATTAAAGCGTGAAACAGCAGCAGCACTTGAGGTACTATAAACACTAGGCAACGAAAGCTGCTTTTCCCAGAATAAGATTTTTGGTTGAAGGAAACTTCTCTATGGGTCGGCTATTAATCACCCATCTCTTATACACCATTCAATATCCATTGAGCGCAGCAAAACTGTCCAGTTCCCGAAACAGATTTCACCCGCTTCTCTTTTTTTTTGGTGGACCAGGACTAAGCGTCCCAGATCAAGACTGAGGAAGAGAATCTATGGGTGAGGCCAACTCCACTGCGGGTCAGCTGTTAGTTACCCATCTCTTGTACACAGTTCAAGATCCGATCAGCACAGCGAGACAATCCAGTTTCCGAAAAAGTTTCCACACTCTTCTCTTTATTTTTTGGTGGACCAGGTCGAAGCATCTCTGATCAACACTGAGGAAGAGACTTTATGAGTGAAGCTGAATCCATTGCAGGTCAGCCATAAGTTACCCATCTCTTATACACAGATCAAGATCCGATCGGCACAGCAAGACAGTCCAGTTTCCCAAATAGTTTTCACACTCTTCTCTGTGTTTTTCGGTGGACCAAGTCTGATAGCATCCCAGATCAAGACTGTGGAAGAGACTTTATGGATGAAGCCGACTCCATTGCTAGTCAGCCATTAGTCATCCACCTCTTGTACACAGTTCAAGATCCGATCAGCACAACAAGACGGTCCAGTTTCTGAAACAGTTTTCACACTCTTCTCTTTGCATTTTGGTGAGCCAAGTCTTAGCATCGCAGATTAAGACTTAAAAAGAGACTTCATGGGTGAAGCCAAGATAGCTATTTGTCACCCATCTCTTGTGCACAGTTCAAGCTCAGTTCAGCGCAGCATGACAGTCAAATTTCCCACTCAGTTCTCACACCCATCTCTTGTACACCATTCAATATCCGTTGAGCGCAGCAAAACAGTCCAGTTCCCAAAACAGATTTCTTCTCTGTGTTTTTTGGTGACCAAGTCTTAAGACCCCAGACTGAGGAAGAGAATCTATTGGTGAAACCAAGACAGCCATTAGTCACCCATCTCTTGAGCACAATTCAAAATCCGTTCAGCGTAGTTTCCTCTCTGTTTTTTGGTGGCCTAAGTATTAGGATCCCAGATCAAGACTGGGTAAGAGACTTAATGGGTAAAGCTGACTCCAGTGCAGGTCAGTGAGAAGTCACCCACCTCTAATACACAGTTCAAGATCCATTCAGCAAAGCAAGACGGCCTAGTCTCAAAAACAGCTGTAACTTTCTTTACTTTAATTTTTTTATTTTTTTTTATTGTCGACCAGGTCTTTGAATCCCAGATCAAAACTTACACCAGTGAGACAAGAATCGAGTATTTAAATAGGTAATGAAATTATTTCAAGTGCAACTTTGACTTAATAAGCAATTTGGTTTGAGTTAGCAAGGGTTTGAATTATCAGGATTCAACTGTGTATGTAACTTCACAGGAGACATGGTGATAAACGTGTATCCATAGGGAGGTACAACATGCCACAAGATTCTGTTAGAGCTTATAGCAAACTTCATGAGCAGTTTCTTTTGGATTTTAAAGCAGTTACTAGTGCCAGTTGGCAAAATGTCATAATTTTCAGTACCTTTTCATTTTGTCTTTGCCTTTTAACCCTATGGTTTGCCACTTGTTATCCAGCTTCATACACCAACCACTCTTGTCCAGGTCTACATTTTAGATTCTCCACTTTCCATGAAGACTTGTCCACAGGCATTTATCAAGGCTTGCTACGTGTACACTGTATCAAGGCTTATCCATAGGTTGGAACCAAGGCTTGTTCACAACAGATCTCCACTGACAATCTATCAATTAAATAAAAAGAGGCAAATGAGTAAAGTACATTGCATCATGTGAATACTGCCAAAACCCAAGAACTAACTAAATTCATTTATCATTATGGAAAGACCTTGATATGATGCACACTGTGATTAGTTTTTGCTCATGATCTACACTGTATCCAAGTTCAGAAGCATTTTGCATATCATTCCCAAATTGTGATCATTAGTTTGCCAAACATGACACACAGTTCGCAAAATAATTTCAAGATTTTTTCAGATTTAGCCTGTAAAGATGAGGGAAAAAATTAGCTGGGAGCTGTTTGTGAACAGGAAAAAGGGAGTGAGTTCAAAGCAACTTGAAAGTCAATAGGCATGATTATTTAAAGGAGAGTTAGTTTTTCTTTACTTTACTTTTCTATTAATGAAGGAGACAACTAGATATCATTTTAATTTGGTTTTAGCAACTGAGTTCACAATATCAATTGGCCACAGTGAAAAGAGGTTAAAGCTGTTGTTTTGATAGTTAGCCCTTTGTCAGAGCTCTGATGAAGGACTGATGCTTGAAACTCTTTATGAAGGCCAATTTATGTGATCATAAACTCTGTTGAGAAACTCAAATTATATTTTAATAGTTCTTTAGAAACTTACCCCCTTCAGTTTATACATTTCATTGTGCCATTAGATATCTCTATTTAATCATAGCCATTACAATTTCCTCAAATGTGATCGGTGCATCAGCTGCTTCATTTTCTGTACAGTTGTAATTGGACAGTGTAATCGGACAGTTGGCTGTAATCAGACACCTGTAATCAGACAGTTGAAGCAGCCAATCATACTAAGTCCACTCAGCTGAATCCACCAATCACAGAATTGATCACAATAACCATAGCAACAACCACTTATACAAAGAAAAACAAGGCAATTTCCAAAATGAAGGAATATTCAACTCAATACATTGTCTCCACTGGAGATATTTGTCCTAGGTGTATTTGTTTTTTTGGAAATTGAAATGGTTATGATTAATTGGTAACAGAATTTCTTGTGGTCCAATTCTGTCAGTAATCATACTCGTGATAAACAAATCGGACTCCCACTTCGCAGTCGTCTGATTTTGTTAATCATTTGTTTGATTATAGACCGAATTGGACTCCACTCAGTCCTATTACTATTATTAATCAAAGACCACATAAGTCAACAAAACATGGTAGGATTCAATAGAAAAGAGGAATTTTTGGCAAGTTTATATTTTTCTTCTTAATCAAAGAAGACAACTGTATTTCATTTTTCCATGTATCTGTATATTTACAGACTACAAAAGGCACAGTAATGCATCATTTGCCACTTTTTCATTTTGATCAAATATTTGTCCATACAATACTGTTTACTTTCTGGGTTTGAATCATTTCAAACTATTATAATTACATACTACTAGGTCATGAGAGAAAAAAATTTCAGAGTAGAATAAAAAGATGTTAAGTTAATCCCAATTCAACTGACTTTGAATATGAAAAAACTTTGATTATGAAATTTAGAACACATTCATGGGGGATTTGTCTTATCGTGTCCCTCCTCCCTGAAGGGATGTGATCTCAAACTTACACTGGGGAATTTTTTTGAGCCAGAAGTCAGTATCTTCATGTATTATGCACCATGCACCAGTCAGCAGTCAATCAGCCAGACAGTCAGTCTTCATTCAGATGGTTAGTCAACCAGCTTGCAGTTAGTCAGTCAGTGAGCCCACTGGCTTGTGGTCAGTCTGTTAGCCAGTTTGTTGGTGTGTCAGTCAATCAGTCACTAAACCAAAACATCTTCCAGATATTAGCCTGTGTCAGTCAATCAGCTTGCAGTCAGTAAATCAGTGAGCCTACCAGCTTGCTGTCAGTCTGTCAATCAGTCGGTCAGCATGTTGG